ACACCCTTACACCCTTACACCCTTACACCCTTACACCCACACCCTCACACACTCTCTTCCCTCATCTCCCTTCTCAACACCCCCACATCTTCTTTCTCCTTCACTCTCCTTCTCAACACCCCCACATCTTCTTTCTCCTTCTCTCTACTCTTCATCATTATCATCTTCTTTCTCTCCCTTCTCAACACCCCCACATCTTCTTTCTCCTTCTCTCTACTCTTCATCATTATCATCTTCTTTCTCTCCATTCTCCATTATTCTACCTTCATTCATCTTCCCCAACACCCCTACATCTTCATTCTCCTTCCTTTTTTCATCTTATATTCTCCATTCTTTTTCCTACTCATCATTATCATCTTCTTTCTCCATCTCTCTTCCTTCATCTCCCTTCTCAACACCCCCACTCTCTCTACTCTCCATCACTCTCCATCACCCCCACTCTCTCTACTCTTCATCATTCTCCATCACCCCCACTCTCTCTACTCTCCATCCTTTCTTTCATCTTATTTTATCCTCATCATCACCACTTATTTATCATTCTCAACTCCCTATTTTTTCTACTTTCCATTCTCCATCCTTTTCTCCACCCTTCACCCTTCATCCCTCTCCCTATTTTTACTACCTTCTCTACCTTATATCCTCCACATCTCTCCACAATCTCCTCATACTTCCCCTACTTATCATCACACCATCACTTTCCCTTCCATATCACCCATTCCAATCACTTCCTCAACACATTTCCCACTTTTCCACCAAAGAATACATCCTCTTTTCACCACTAGACACATCTCATCAAAATTACCATTCTACCTATTTTTCCACCACATTTCAACCTCAATATTTCATATTATATTCTTATCCATACCAATTCTTCGACATTTTCAACATATCTCCTTCACTTTTTTCTCAACTCCTTTTTTTCATCAAATACCCAAACATTCAATTCTCACTTATCCTCATATATGACCTTCCATCATCAAACATTCGACATCCCCATTTTTCCACCACATTTCAACCTCAATATCTTATTCAACAATCAAAATCATAATAAATATCCCTAAATATTCCACAAACAATCTCACTTTTTTTTTCACTCCCTTTTTTTTCAAAATATCTCATCATTCAATTCATCTTCATACATCTTCTCTAACAAATAATTCCATCATTTCTCAACCACATTTTCACTTCCATCTCCTATCTTTCAATCATAATCATAATAAATATCCCTAAATATTCCATAACCAATCTTACTTTTTTTCATCAATTTTTTTTTTCTAAAATACACACACATTCAATTCATCTTCATACATACATCCGCACCATCATCCAAAATTTGACATCCCCATTTTTCCACAATATTTCTATTTTCCTCACCTACTTTTTAATCTTAATCATATTGAAATCCTTCAAAAATTCCATAAACAATCTCACTTTTTTTTTCACTTTTTTTTTCACTCTCTTTTTCTCCAAAATAAATCTCCCTCATTTCTCCACAATACATCATTCCCCGACCTTCACACAAATTCAACATACCCTATTTTTATCTCTCAATTATTTCTCAATATTCCATATCATGATCTTATCCACATAAAATGATCTCAATTATTTCATCTAAAATCTTACTTTTTCTCTCTATCTTTTTTTTTCATTAATATCTACACATCTATTTCTCATCCATACAATAATCCCGATCTTCCTCAAAAATTACTCACCTAATTTCTCCGCCACATTTTCATTTCCCTCTCCTATTTTTTAATCTTAATCATATTAACATTTCCCAAATATTTTATAAACATTCTTACTTTTTTCTCAATTTGATTTTTTCATAAAATACCCTACCCTTAAATTCTCACTTATACTCACATATGACCTTGGAACATCACCTCAGTTTCCCACCACATTTTCCTTTCCATCTTCTACTTAACAATCATATCTATATTAAAATTTTGGAAATATTTCATAAACAATCTTTCTTTTTCTCTCTCACTTTTTTTTTGGAAATACTTGACCCTTAAATTCATCTTCAATATAATACCCCGACCATCACTCGAAATTTGACATCCCCATTTTCCTCCACATTTTTATTTCCCTTTCCTCTTTTTTAATCTTAATCATATCAAATTCTCCAAATATTTCAACTACAATCCTACTTTTTCCATAGGGACCTCTTTTTCAAAAATATTCTATCCCTCAATTTTTCATGACCCACGGCCACCGCACAACATGCTCTACCACATTTCTCCCGCAAATCTCCTTCTTATCCTCCAATATTTTTACAATCATCCCAAACTCTTCGAAATATGAAAATGATAATACTGCCTTCAATTTCTGACCTCATATACCTCCACAATTCACACATCCTAATCCATCCTAGCTTCAACAATAATCACATATCTTCTTTAATACTTCTCCACTTTTTTATCCTTTATTTAAAAATCATCCTCTTCTAATCCTTCCACAATACTCACACAAATCTCAATCCTCGCCATACCATCGCTTTCTTCAATATCAGACGTAATACTGCTCGCCCAATACAAAGGGGTATCTCACCCTCGTTAGCTCTCAATGATTTCTGCTGAAGATGTAGAGAATTCCGCTGATTGTGGAACGGGGTCCCAAACCCCCTGAATATTTCCGCGGATTATGCCAAAACATTATGGCTGATTGTGCAACGCACATTTCAAGCGCCAATATCTCTACCACATTATATTATCTTTCAGATAAAATTATATATTTTTGCTCAGCATCCTCTCCAGATTTCAACAGCATCATTACTAGCCATTTCCACCCAGTATTCATCATTTAAAAATTCCGGCTGATTGTGCTGCAATGTATGGCATTCCGGCGGATTGCGCGACTGTATCCCTAGGTGTATTGCAAAGGGGCTTTATTGGGTGTGCGGGTCCCCTATAACATGTTTAATAATATCAAAGATAAAATATTAATGAAAGCATAAGAATTTTATGCATTTAGTATGAATTTTATATTCTGTTGGTATGAATAATTGAAGTGCAATAGTATGAACTATTTTTCTTAGATGGTTTGAATAAATCCCGCTGCGGTGGTACGAAAAATACCGGGGGTCGGTATGAATTATTTTTTGCCACTGGTATGAACATTTCCGGTGGTTGGTACGAATAAAAAATGAAAACACAGTATGTTGAAGTGCTTTGTGGGTGTGTATTTAGTCGACATCAATTAATCCAAACCTTTTTATGATTAATGGATGCGTGTTTAATGGGAAAAATGAGGAGGTAATGATGGAGAACTGTTCAAATATTCTTGCAGCGGATAAGTGGGGTCAAAATTTCAACAAGTTTATACCAAGTATAAAAATTGAAAGTAGCCAGAGGTCACTGCACTGTTTCTAATTTCTTTGATTTTCCGCTGCAGTCATCACCGTTTTCTACGACATGTTCATAATTAAAGTAACTGGTAATATAACATATATAAAAGATAAAAAAAATTTAGATAGGAATCATAGATGAAAATTAATAATGTACGTTTTTTCCGTACATGACATTCTTGAAATTTCCAGATAAGATATCTCTGACATCCTCTCTTGTACTTCTCAAGTTTTGTTTGATAATGAAACTTGTTGGTTTACTAAAAACATCGTCAACTTCTTCCAAAGATTTTCCTTTTGTTTCAACAACAAACATGATTTGATAAATGAAACCGAGAACGGCAATCCCACCGTAAAAACCAAGAGTTAAACCAGTTTTTGTCATCTTATCAAACATTGAGCTGAAGTTGTAAGTGATGATAAAACTCCACAAGTATAACATTGTTGAGGTAATGGTAGTACCGTAACTTCTTAAGTAAGTTGGGAAAACTTCTGCTGGAGTAACCCATGTTAATGTGGAATATGAACCAAAGAAGATCATGTAAAGAATCACACCGGTTAAGTATAAGCCTTTAGAGGCAGCGGTGGTAGTTGGCAATAGGTATCCGATACCCACAAGAACCAAGCCGATGAAGAACCAAGGTAAACAAAAGTTTGCCCAGAAACGTCTCCCACATTTATCCATCCACAAGATTGCTGGAATGGTACCGATTAAAAGTGAGCCACCGCCGACAAGAGACATAAACACACTATTTTTGGTATCAAACCCAATTGCATGCATAACCGTAGAAAGGTAGTATAATAAACCATTAATACCAGTAAATTGACCTAAGAAGATAATAATGTTGGCATAAATAATGGAACGTCTTGCTCTTGCATTTTTGATAAAATCGAGAACTTCAAAACGTTTCTTTGTACCATCATCCAATTTAGCTTGCTCTGCACTTTGTAACATATCAAGGAATTCCATCTTGTTATGAATATCATCAACATCACGAAGGATCTTCCATATTCTCCAGCCATGACCAACTTTTTCCCTAGTCACGACCAAATAACGAGGACTTTCTGGAAGGAAAATCATACCGATGAACAAAAGTGTAGAGAAGACCAATGAACTACCTAAAATAAATCTCCAAGCATCATGTACTTCGTAAAAAATAGCAGCGATGGCGTACCCAAAAACTTCACCAAGAGCGATATTGAATTGATAAAGAGAAACCAAGTTCCCTCTAATATCAGCAGGAGCACACTCACCAACATAAGCTGGAATAACTGATTCTAAACCAATACCGACACCAATGAATATTCTACCTGCATACAATCCATGTACGTTAGGAGTGAAAGCACAAAGCAAGCCACCAATGGTATACATAATGCAAGCCACCATAATACAAATTCTTCTCCCAATTTTTTGATTAAGAGGAGAAACAATAAGAGAGCCCAAAATAGCTCCGACAGGCACAAGGGAGCTAACAAGTGATTGCTCATGATCTGTCAAGCTTAGATCTGGAACTAAACTCACATTTGCCCCGGAAATCAAAGATTGGTCAACACCAGAAAGCATACCACCCATACTAGCAAAGAATCCTAACATCCAAGTCATATGTCTTCTGTTTTTGAATATGATCTCTTTATTTGTACCAAACACGAGATGGTCCCACCATGTGCGTGGAGCATTAACAGCAGCAACTTGGAGCGCTTCAAGCTTTTCAAACTCCGCATCGAAATCTATACCTTCAAACCGTTCAACATTAGCGATTTTTTCAGCTTGATCGTACTTTACTTCAGTATGGCCGGAGTACGCAGACTTTTCCAGTTGAATTTCGGATTCAACCACCGTTTGTTTTTGTTCGTCACAGGACATTTTGTTGTGTTTGGTTTAATATTGGACAAACCGGACAAAGAAGAGAGTCTACCCTGTATTTATACGTTTTCAGAGGGAGTTTTTTTTCCACTTTTTTTCTGAGTATGATGTCGCAGATTTACCCCATGGGGATGCACCTCCCACCCCACGGGCATGCAGCCCATGGGGGATCTGCGTTTTCACGGACTGGATTTTCCGAATGCGGGGGTCATTTACAATAGAATATATCTTAGCTTTTGTGCTAAAAGCCGGAATGCTTGCGCTATTTTATTTTTTGTGGAGTCACCCCCTTATACTTCTAATGCAAAGTAGTTATTGTTCTTTGTCTAATAGGAATGGGAAAAGTGGGGATACATTTTGATCAAGTCAGAATAGATAAATTATGTGTTTATACGCCGGGTATCAATCAATAACGAAACATCATGTTGCCACTGTGCAAATAATAAAAAAAAAGGGTGTAAAAAAAATAACTTGGGTTGACCGTGTTCGGAGTATGTGCGAAAAATAAGCTAACACTGCAGAAGAGTGTGTACTATATTACGTTAATTAATCTATACTGCCGAGCATTGGCTGACCAGCTTTTTTCCTTGTCTTATTCAATTATCCGCACAGGAACAATCAATTTTCCGAGTAGGGGTTATCCAATTTTCCGCTCACAAAACAAAAAAAGGGTATTCAAAATATATGATTATGCTTGGATAGCAAAAATTAGGACACAACAACAAGATATCTGAACCTCTTCATGATCGTTAATTTAGACATATTTGATATTTTGAATTTTAGGTGTTCTAAAAGGGAAGCTCAAACTAAAAAAAATTAGTCACCTCTATTCTCTAAGATCAATGAGTGAGTGACCTCAAATGTCACTCAGTAATTCTGTGATTTTTTTTTATTTGTCTGCGCAGTTCATGGTCACTCAATGCTTGAAATTTTGCCGATATATGTGGAAGCAGTGGACTCAGAATTTTATCAAATACCATCTACCTAATTTAAAATATAGAAATACCACAAATATGTAATAACAGAAACTGTCTCACCATATGTGGCTTCCCAACATCATTTTTCTTCATTCATGCCATATCCAAAATTTGAAACTGGAATAAGTACTTAGAAGCAACCGTCTCAAATCTCTTTAACCCCCCTCCCCCTCTCCAGAAGAATTTCATTTGATATTTTTCATTAATCTGGAGTCTTAATGCTAGTACTAGTCGTAAGGGACTGTTGCAATGCCACAATAGAAATTGACATCTTATCCACTGTGTTGATGATCCAATTAAATGACTCGGAATTTTGACATGTTTTGTGCCGTCACCAGTATAATATTATACTCATTACACCCTTTGTATTGTTGCTGGACTGGTTGTTTGGAGTTCATTTTATGAGATTGGTGATTGACTGAAGTGAGACTCAAAACGACTAATGCAAAGATTACGATAAGATATTGTAAATAAATAAGGGGAAGTCAATTTTTTTTTTGGTTGTGTCTTCTATATAAAATATAAGACCATATGAAAGTTTTGTTGGACCTTTGCTTGAAATCCAGTTTTGCTGTATGGAGCTATGTCTATAACTAGTCTGATATGGCGTGGATTAACAAAAATGAAACCTTTAAACCCTAGAAGTTGATTGGCTCAATTATACCTTCAAATACTGATTTTTCACTTCTGGTATTTGCGTTGCTGTTCCGAAAAATGTTGTCCAATGGAAAATTAATCTATTGGAAATCCAAAAAATCTGCAGCCAATATTATGTTTGTGAAGTACTCTTTGAAATAAATCATAATTACTGCTGTATCTGGGAACATCACTCAAGTATGAAGGTGGTAGTAAATAAAGCTTTCTGATCCAAAAGCTTGGGCCATGGTCATAGTTTCATAGACTGCACGATTTTGAGAAATGTTTAATGTTTAATGAGAGGTCCGTAACTTGAAAAGAAGTTTGAGATACCAGCCATTCCAGAGGCATTTGTTTTAGCTGCCAACTAAGCGAGGTTATCCATATTCATTTCATCAGATAAGGAACCAACATTGATAGCTGATAAATGAGTTATATTTTTTTTGTACACCCGGAATGGAAGTTGAAATTAGCTAATCCATTTGGTATTGTTTGTGAGATTTCCATCCCTCTTATCGTTTTCATAGTTTTTCAAAATTGATTTCCCAAAGATCCACATATTTGAGTGCTCCAGAAACTATGACGAAAAGTTACTGCAATGCAAATGAACGAAGATTCTTCACCACGCTCGAGGGAAAATATGATAGCATTAGCAGCAATGACAACACAAAGGATATGATTTTCAAAAACTTCTAAAATTGGATGAAAAGTTTTTTCATGGCTCTGCATATTACCTTGAGTCTCACCCCAAGCTCCAGAAGTATTCAGGGATCTTTTATACCAAAGACAAAATACATTTTAGCCGGCGTTGCATTTAAATCAACATTTTTGCGATGCTCTATGAAAAAAGGTTGAAATATTCTCTAGCCATCGCGATTCACACGTATTAGCAATAACTGGGCAATGAATGGGACCATTACAATGAAATTCAACTAAATCTAGCTTTATTTCCAAAGCCTGTAATGCATGTGACACCTCATAACGGATGTTTGAGCGATCGACCAGCTCATTGACCATCTATCACTGCTTTAGCAGCCACAGCTTCTTACAATCCCAAATCAGTCCAGTTAGCTCTTTAGCAATTTGGTTGGCATTTTTAGAAGAAAAAACCAATACTTTGCAATTATCGTTGAATTGTGATAGTGTATTGCTTATACTTATTGATTGTCGAAACCACTGCAGAAGGTGAATGAGCACTAATAGAAGCATCTTTTAAGCTAAAAAATATATTGAAGTTATTTCTTTTCTTCTTCATATTGTTTGAATGGAGGTTTTTGGCATATTTATGAATAGCAAAGGAGTGAACAAAGTTTGTGCCTCATATGGTTAAAAGTCAATGGCAACTTGTATGCGAATGATGTTCCATCACTGATGATATCACGCAAGAACCATTTCTAGATCAGTAGAAAAAAGTGATTATGGCTCATTTTAACCTACGATATTAATATCAAGGTTGATATACTATCATAAAACAATTGTTGATCTACTTAATATCTTCATAGCGATAAGGAAACTCCGTGTGATAGTCTTTTTCAGAGCTATTTTGCAAACCACAACGACGTAAGGAACCTTCATCTTTCTCCTCTTTATTCTGCTGTACAAGCCCAGATCAGATATCAAATACCAAAAAAAACCAATATCCGCTCTTTATTATTCATTGATTTGGTTTTATTCTTGGCAATATTTTAATCAATGGCCACAATTGTAATCCATAGCTATAGTTATAACAAAATGCGGGAATTTTTTTTACCCTTTGATTTTTTTGCATGCAAAAAAAATATATAATAATTCTGGAGCTCTTTTCGTCTCTTGGCACACTTTAACAACCACTTGGGGGCTTTCAATGATCCGGGGTTAGCATAGAGCACGCTCCAGACTAATGACGGATTTCTATTCTGTGGATTAAAATTTCTGGTTTCACAAGTAACAAGGAGGTAGGAGATATGAAATTGTATAAAAAATTATCCATTCGCTAAGTCTTCATTTAATGAATTCATCGTACAAATAGTGCACTACCAACAGACAAAAAAATATACTGTCCCACCAATAGCTAGACCTAATTCATCCTGAAACATACAAATGCCTTGCAGTCAGAACTATAGGGTAGATCAACAGAAGGTGAATTGGAAAAAAAAAGTTGAAAAATACAAAACCGGACAACTTTGAGATACGGGCTTTTTATTAATGAAACCTGTACTTTTCCCAAGTGCAGCTAAATAACAACTACGATACCTCCAATACAATCAGCTCCCTGACTACTCACTCACTAGACCGCATATATAAAAAAAACACGCTAGGTACTACTAACTATAGGGACATACTATTTAGACGTTGTGGCAGGAGATCAAATTTCTTTAAAAAAAATTTTTAAGTGCATGCATGCCCTATACGAACAACCCGAATTTCAAGAGATGTCACGTAGGTGGATCGCCATGTAAAAATGGAGCAGTTAATGGATGATCAAAGGACTGCTTTTAAATTGGCTTAAATATTTAGCTTATATATTTAGCTTATTCAGTGTATCATCATACAAAGTAATCTTGATGGCCAAATCTGCTAATTATTTGAATATTTCAATTTTCCATTATTACCCTGTCGATTTACAAATGCGTACTAGTCTCTAGTGTTGTTAAAGTAATATAAAAAGTAACGGATGAAAAGCACGTAGCATTCATTATAACAACAAAACAATTGATGAATAAATTAAATACTAGATTTTGAAGCTGCTACGCTATATAAATATAATATCTATATCCGTGTGTATTTAGTAGGTAGTGCTTGGTTTCGAAACCAGAAGGTACTAATGCAGATTAATGCATCTTAGATTGGTTATCCAACAAAAAGTGTCCTATTATGGTATGGTATTGGACAAAAAAATTTGATATGTCAACCTTAGATAATCCACAAACAAAAAAAAAAAAAAAGAATACAAATACCTCACAAGTGGCCTCATTATACACCTTCATGGAACTGCCATTTGGTAAATAAACCCTTGTTACCCACTCTTTTTATTGTTCTATACTATCACTGCTACTGGTATATTCATCAATTATTACTAAACACTTCACTGTACTATTGGAATTGTAATGGGCCGTTCTGTCTCTGCAAATCCTAAAATCACAATCATAGGGTCGGGAACCTTTGGGAACTACGCTGCAAATATCCTCGTTAAGTCATATCCACATTATCATATTACTTTAATCGCTGTCAATGACTACGCTTACAATTTGATGGCAACTCATAGACTCATAACCGGAGGATTCAAACCAAAAGACATAACAAGGCCTCTCTCTGAAATCATTTCAAGTAAAGTTAACATAGTTCTTGTCAAGGAGGTAGTCGAATTCAATGAGAAAAACACCAGACTCATAACTTCTAATGATGCCGAGGAAACTATTGACCATGATATACTTATCCTTGCAACAGGCTCTAAATGGGCCAACCCCATTGCTGCTCAAAATTTCGGCAGTTCCGTTGATTCAATGACTGAATATTTACATAATGAAATTGAGAAATTCAAAGATGCCAAAAAGATTTTAATTGCTGGCCTAGGATTTGTAGGCGTGGAGTTGGCTGGTGAATTGGGTTACGCATTCAAGGCACAATTGGCTAGCGGTGAAAAAGAAATTGTATGTGTTCATTCTTTTGAAAATGTGATTGACAATAGATACTCAGAAAGTATCAGGAATAGTATTAAACAATATTTGAAAAATATGAACATTAAGATGGTCTTCAAAGAAAAGGCAGTATATGATCCAGAAACCAATCCAAGACAGGTGAAATTGACACATTCCACTATTGAAGATATTGACCTTTTTTACAGTTGCACAGGTCCAATAGCTAATCTTCCCCTGAATACCTTAACTGGCTTAGAAGTTGATAAGAAAGGTTATATCAAAGTAAAAAAAACTCTTCAAACTTTGAAATACCCAAATATTTTTGCGTTTGGTGACATTAACAATGTGCCAGGCAAAAGATTTGTTTACAGAGAAGAGCATGGTGAGGTTTTAAGAAAGAATGTTGAGTTGGTTGTTGTTGGTGCTTCTCACGGATTCAAAGAGTATGTTACCAAACCAAGACCAGTAGGAGTTTCTATTGGTCCGGAGTTAGGGGTTGGCCAGGCACCATTGGGTAAGTTAGGTACGGTTAAAGTTCCTGAATTTTTGATAGTGAAAAAGAAGAGCAAGCATTTGTTTACCGATAAACTTGATGAGGTTTTGGGTAAGGTATGACATTTGGCTTGGTGAGAAACACTTTTACTTTTGCACGCAGCGCTTTCACGTTTTCCAATCATTTTTTATTATTATTCAAATTCGATTGATAGTATACCTCTTGATTGAAAACTCTCTGATTATAGTAGTGTGAAATGCTTATGATCTTGCAATCAAGAAAGTCTGTTTTGGCTAGATTCCAGCTATTTATCTTACCAATGTGTCAAAGGCATTGAGTGGTGTAAGTGCAAAAGAGCAAAATATAGACAATAACACCTGTTGTAGGCTCATAAACATAATTTATAAACACCTAAGAATAATTATGGCCTTTTTGTGTGGGTAAATTGTATAAGCTGTTGTCAGGACTATTCATTAGATGTCAAAGGTCACATAGGATTCGATACACAAATAGCAACAGCCCTTCTCTCATAATTCAGATCCTATACTATATATTTTTCAAGGCTTTGCGAAACTGCAAGTCAACAAAATAAATATTTGAGGATTACGGAGATAGACAACACTGACGGTATAAAACTTGACAACGAAAATGCTTTGAAGGGGTGAATCACCCCATTTCAGACATGAACGGGAAAAGTGGGAAACAATCTGTTACTGGCAGGGTAAACAAATGAGAGGTTTTTTAACACAAGCATAAATGGCAATCATTAACACCAAAAATAGACCAAATAATAGGGCAAATAACATGGATGCTACAGTGACTAAGATGGATATATTATTCTTACTCATAATCCAAGACGCCATATGATAGATGTGCTCAAAACTTTCGAAAGACACACCTTCAGTCTCGTGACTCATCATCGTTCGGAGCCCCTGTTTTTTTTATTAGTCGCGCTCACGGGTTTACCGTGGCATTACCCGGCCTCAGGGCTGGCTATCTTGCCACCGCGGCGGTATTTATAACCGGATTACCTCGCCCGCGTTTTTCAGATTTTTCAACATTTTTTTCTTTAATCTGAAAATAAAAATAAAGACACTGACGCGTGTCATTTGTCTTGAAATTTCCACAACATAAAATTGATCAAAAACCCCCAGATATATCGATCTATCTCCATTATTTGGCTTTTAGGACTTACATAATATCTTTGATTGTATACATAAACCATATCTTCAATTTTATTGACTTCTTTAATCAAAGTACGCGTCTATTATTTACTTTTGTGTTTTGTGAGCATTAGGTAATATTCTCGTCTTTTTGTGAACAAATATGCTGGAGAAGGATACGAACTCATCAACTTCTAATGTTCAGATTGAATCGGATGCCCCTTTAGAATCAATCAATAACACCAAACATGCTAGAGATGAAAATGAGGAGAAATCAGACGAACCAGATTCAAAGAAATTAAAATTGGATTATTCGGAAACACAAATCGAAACAAAAGAGCAACAATCGACAATGGAGCCACCAACTCAAACAGAGAAACCATCATCGGGATCAACATCGCTAGAAAAGTCTGCTACACTGGAAAACCCTTCAAAAGAATCAATAAACTCGGATACACAACCAAAAACAACTGATATTGTATTCAAGGAAGATGGCACTGTGGATACTTCACAGATGATTCCTGCAGCCAAACCTGATTTGAAAATTGAAGAAAATATTTCCAATGCAATGCCAAATCACCAAAAACAGTATTTATTGAAATCGCTCAAATCAATCAAAAGGTTGAAAGATTCTCTGCCATTCTTACTCCCAGTTGATATCGTCAAATTACAAATTCCTTTCTATTACAATTTTATCCCAAAACCAATGGATCTATCAACTATAGAGAAGAAATTAACAGTTGATGGGTACGAGACTCCAGATGCAGTCCATGAAGATTTCAACTTAATGATAAGTAATTGTATCAAATTTAATGGCGAGAAAGCTTCAATTTCAAGGATGGGTCTAAATATTCAAGCAAGCTTTGAAAAGTTATTGCTTAACGTTCCAGACAAAAATATAGCACCTGGAAGCTCCTCAGATTCTAACAGAAATAAAAGAAAACCTACTACAGCTGGCAATTCCACAGGCAATGGCGTTCCGAAAATTAGAAGAGATAATACTTCTGGCAGACCAAAGCGAGAAATTCACCCTCCCAAGCCAAAAGATATGCCATACGATATTCGACCAAGAAACAAAAAGTTGCTTGCAGATTTAAGATTTGCTGGCCAAACTTTGAAAGAATTAACATCCAAAAAACACGAAACCTATAACTATCCATTTCTTGAGCCTGTTGATCCAGTGGCTTTGGACTGTCCAACATATTTTGATATTGTTAAAATACCAATGGATTTATCGACTATTCAAAACAAGTTACAAAATAACCAATATAATGCATTGGAAGAATTTTACAACGATGTCAAATTGGTTTTCAAAAACTGTTATGCATTTAACCCGGAGAATACTCCCGTTAATTTGATGGGTCATAAGTTAGAAGCTATATTTGATAAGAAATGGCTCGATAAACCAGTCCATGACCCCACTCCACCTCCAGGCAGTGCAAAAGGTGAAGAATTCTATGATGAGGATCATGAAGATGATGATGAAGAATTTGACGAAGAAGACGAAATTGACATTGAGCAATCAATCATGAACAACCAAGCGATTCAATTTTTGGAAGCTCAAATTGAACGTATGAAGAAAGATTTAGAAAAAATGAAAAAAGAGGAATATGAAAAGGCAAAGAAGCGGGCTCTCAAGCAAAAGAAAAAGAAAGGTCTGGCGAAGGGTAAGAAATCAGGTGCAGCAGCCATTAGAAATCGTAAGCTTTCCAAGAGTACGGTGGATGGTATTGATGAACCAATTGAGTTAACATTTGACATGAAAAAAGAATTAAGTGAAAAAATTAATTATCTCAATGAAAAGAAGTTGCAACATGTTATGAAGATCATAAATGAATCGGTTCCGGATTTGCAAAAGGATGGAGAGGATGAAATTGAATTAGATATGGATATGGTGGATGATGAAACATTATTGAAATTGTACAATTATGTAGTAGCTAAAAATTCAAACGCGGGAACAAGCAAGAAAGGTAAGGGCAAAGCAGGTAATGGGAAAGCAAAGAGAAAATCGATTACAAAAAAGGCTAGTGACCGTGATAAGAAGATTGATATTTTGAAGCAACGATTAGAGGAATACGATAAGGGTAATAGCTACCAAAATGGTATTGAAAGTAGTGATGAAGATGATGAAGATGATGATGACGAAAGTGAAAGTTCTGAAGAAGAGTGATTAAGTCCACTTTAAAAAAACCAAAAAAAACAAAAATATATTTTTCTTTCTTACAGTTTCTTACTAGCCCAGGTTTTTCTAATTTAGCTTTCTTTTATTCTTAGTGTTATTGTTATTATTGTTACTATTATTGTTACTATTACTATTATTGATCAATGAAAAGAATTTTAATGTTTTACTTTTTTTTTTTTTCTATCTTTGTTTGTCCATTGCTCATATGAATTCATCCGGTGGATATAGTGTACATTACTTTTTATATTTATTTATGTGTAGTAAGTAATTTTTTCACGTTTTTCTAACCTTCAAAAGCTTTAACATTTGCTATTCCAAGTGGTCAAATAAGCAGAATTTATTGCTTACTGTGTATAGCTCCAATAGTGACATTGATCACAATTTCCCTACACTCATTATTTGGTCATCAAAAGAGTTTATTATACAACAACCTTCGGCGGAGTCAAATATTCAATAAAACAAAGGGAAAAATCAAGAGGCGAAAAAAAAAATTAACAAAGGAGGTTAAAGGACTATCTTAGATTAAAGTAACGAAATAACAAGACGGCCGAAGAAAACGAAAGCTTTCATATGTTCACCATTTTTCAAATTCATCATTATTAAAATCCAACTCAATTTCTTTCAATTTGATACTCCAGTCAACCTCAAAATCAAAGAATTTGTAAATATTACTTCCTTTGATATCAGTAGAATCAATATTATCTATTCTTTGGAACCAAACATGCAATTTCTTATTAAATTTCCAGTTTCTTGCTTGAAGTTCTCTCAATGCCAAATATTGAATATATGAACCATTGTCATAGTCATTGAAATCAAGCAATGAGGAATTAGGCTCATTAAAATTTTCCTGCTCGGTTGATACATTATTTCCTGTTATTGTAACAGTCGCATTTGCAGAAGATGGAGATTCCTTACTTAAAAGAATGTCCTTTGGATTTGTTAAAATTGTCTGTTTCTGTTGGAAATTCAAATAATAGTTAGGATTCGAGCCATTATCATCTCCATAGTAAAAAATATAGAAGAGTGTTTCTATGCTTAACTTTTTGAATAAATCTTTATTAAATCCATTTATCAAACAGAAATTGTTTTTATTATCAATACCCGCCTGTTTTTGTTGACCCTCCTGCAAGTTATTCAAACTATCAATATTCTTCTCAAACACAGGATAATCGATAGAAGTTGGATGAGGTTTTGAAGCAAAATAATTAAATGGCTTTTCAGAGTCAACAGAATCAGGACAATTTATCAAAGAATTAGAAATATACTTGAAAATGGCTGCACTATTGAATGATTCACTGCTTGGCTCAATTCTTTCACCGAGAACCTCTTGCTGATAAAACAAGTCCACTTTGTTTTTATTTTGCTCAAATAATGGCACAAGATCTGACAAGCCCGGGAGTGTTGCCAATACTTTATCAATGGTATGAATAACCTCTTCTTGGTGCTCTTCATCTTTGACTTCAAATTTTTCTGATTCTTTGATACTAACTTGAGATTTTTCAGCATTAATAGGAGGTGGAGTAGACATTATAGATTTACTCGAATCAGTAGCAGCTGCTAAATTACTAACAAGTTTAGAATATGAAAGTACAGGCGTTGAAGTCGTTGTTGGCTTTACTGCCTTGACAGAGCCAGAAGCTGTGCAGCTTGATGCTGACATTTTTTGTTGTTGCGGCGACGCCTGTTGTTGAACTAGAGTTGAGTATTTAACTTCATTATTCTTTGGGACAGGAGCAGGTTTCAAACTATTTAATATTGTGTTTGATGGAGTCGAGGCTCTTATCACAGGGCTTTCCTGATGTTTCTTGGTTGGAGTAATATTTGAGGATATGGACAAATCCTTAACCGAGTTTGTCAACTCATTAGTATGAATGTTATCTTTTTTCTGCTTATCTATTTCCTCGTGATCATCAGATTCATCTTCCTCATCAGAATCAGCGTTAGCACTAACGAATTCTCCAACAGGGCCAAAAGTAGGCTCCACTTCATCTAATCCCAATTCATCATATACTGTATCATCATCATAGAAGTCTGGATCTTGGTTGCTATCAACATAGTAAGTGATTGATTCTTTAATATCGCTGATCTGATCTGGTTCCAATTTACCATTTTCCAAAAATCGCAAAATGGTTTCCAATTTGGCCAAATGCCAATTGTTTCTATCCATAATTTCTTGAAATCCATCAATCTGAGATTGTTTGGATAAAGAAACCTTTTTGTTTTTCTTGACTGTTGATTGAATTTGTTGGATCTTGGCCTCAAGTCCTTCATTCTGCTGATTAATTTTCTCAATGTTGTCACTAACGAAATCTGTGGCTTCAATCTTTTCACGTTCTCTTGGATCTAATTTCTTTTCCATGTTTAATCCTTCTTTTGAAAATGCCTTTGTTTTCATGTCTCTCTCCACAAGCTTGAATCTTTCCATTTGGCGTTCAATTTTCTTTCTATACTCGAGAAGAGGTTTCTTATCTTTGACATCATTACCACTTATCCAATTCTTGATCTGTTCTCTTTGTCTTTGAAGCTTCTTGATTTCTTTCTTCAAGTCACTCTCAAGTTTCTCTTTTTGCGATGGGTTTTCACAACTTATTACTTTGTCATAAAGATAATCAAATCCCATCAACCCTTCATTGACCCGCTTAAACACACGGTCAATTTCTTGTTGTAGCTTTCTTTGGGCCATCATCTTGACGGTTTATATATATTTGATTGTTGACTCTTCTTATTTGCTATAATACTAGTTTTGACAGGGGCTCGATATTTTTAGGTTTCGATCTTTCTTGGTCAATGATTTTAAGGGCCACTAAAGTTGTCTCAGTAGCCAACCGACTTGTAGCGTTTTTTTTTTCTGATGGTTTCGGTTGTATTAGAAAATCAACAACATACAAAGGAAAAAGTTACCCGGTTATATACCATACTTTGTCGCTCCCCATGAGATAAGCCGAGCACCGCTTATATATTGTATAGAACAACTATTATATATATTTAGAAGTTTTTTATAATATTATATATATATATAATATCATTATCACGCATTATGTCATCACGACCATCATCATCATAGCAAAGAGCGTGGGACCAAGCGGATAATTAAAAGCATCACAATAACAGCTATTACCAAACCACCAGTCGCATAAACGTAGAACCAAAATCCCACTTTCCCCTGTTCGTTGAATACCCTCATTTTTTTCCCAACTTGGTGCGCCACAGTATCGACCTTTTCTAGGTTCTTGGTTGTGTCATTCAATATATTCGTGTCGTTGACAATACTATCATTAAGTCTACTCATGTTTTCTCTGAATTGACCCACAAGACCCATCATATCGTTCAATATAGAGTCCTGTCGCAACTGATGATTGTCATTTTGGTTTTCCATATTCAAGTTAGAAGATACGAGGGAAGATCCTTTCCGTGACAATAAACGATGGCGAAGCTGAGTTAAATCGTCTTCTTCGGTCTCTTGTAGATTTATGCTCGTGGCACTTGTGATATTCTCATTGCCTCTAATTATTTCTGGTTTTGTGATGGAGTGTTCCTGCTGTGTTTGTGATCCAGTAACTGACTCTGCTATTTGCTTCTTTTTTGCCTCTTCATTTTCCTTATTCAAATGTCTCAACGACGAAAGGGCCTGGAATTGTTCTTCATAAATTTTGTTATTTGTTTCATGGAGCTTCTCTTTGAGATTATTAAGATTATTGGATATGATCAATCTGTGGATCATATCGGCATCATATTGCAAGCTATTACCTACCACCAAGTTCAAAAAACTGGAATCATTGGCACTTGTTGATGATTGTTGCTTATGGCGTGCTACTTGAACATCTAAATTAGTAATGAGGTTTCCGATTCTTGTCTCCATTTTTGTTCATATAGATATATATATACTTATTGCACTGAGAGTGCTTCACCTTCGAGAGCCTTCTTCCCACCTAATCTTTTTTTTTTGTGACGGGTGGATTTTCCTGGTGGTACTATCCGGGGGTCACACACCCCTATTTGGATTGCAACCACCATACTTCTCTTTATTGTAGATAGGTGGTATCTTTTGAACACAAGCTATTCAAGAGAAAGAGAGAGAGATTTGTAAATAAAGGACATTCTTATTATTGATGGGCCAGAGATTCCTGTTGTACTGGATCTTTGATTGGAAGCAGATTTTATAGCAAATTACCACTTAGAAGCTTTGAAAGAGAAATGTTGGCCTGATTGTTAAAACGCAAGAAGACTTGGAGTAGCATGTGCTGATGTTTGGGGCTGAGAATAATTCTGTAATGAAATTCTATTAACAATTCCGTGGTTGATAAGCAAAAAATATCTCTATCTATTCTGGAGGGGGGAAATCGGTAGATACCAAAATGATATTTTCAACGATGACATCACTAGTACCATATTACTATTCCTCTTCTCTTCAAGTTTGGAAAGTAATTGCACAAGCAATTATTATTTGTAATCAAGATATAAATCATTTGATAACTGTTTCTTTGACAATCCATCCGATCATGATTTCTGTTTTCATTTGATATTCTAAGAATTATTGCCAGTCTTAAATTTCCTGTACGAATTATGTCCCACATGCAAAAAAAAAAAAAAAAAAAAAATTACCCCGGATTTCTATCACATTTCAATCATCGATTACAGTTGATCATCACATCTTCTCTTCAATAAATTATCCCCACCACTAACAAGTCACACAAAACCCCAGAAATCATCTGCAAAGTAAAATACACAAAAAAAAAAAAAAAAAAAAAAAAAAAAAGGTCACAAGCATCCAAACAATTATAAAGGAGAGAAAACAACAAAAACACAAAAAAAAAAACTCAATCCATAAGAAATACACAAAACACTTCGTTCTTCTTTTCAAATAAGGTTGGATCATGCTACTCACCTTGCTATTATATTTCACAACAGTCTATGCCTTGGTCATACCATCAGTGGTGGTCCAACCTCAAGACGTTTTACAAAGCCATCGTTCTCGACCTGTTGATGTCTCGTCTTTAATTGATAGAAATGATTTTGATTCCTGGATCGCTGTCCAGCCAAACATATCCATCGACCATATATTGGATAACATTGGAGGTCCTTGCTCCTTCAATAATGATAATGATCACCTTCCTCCAGGAGTTGTGGTTGCTGCCACTTCGATAAAAGATCCTAACTATAACTACCAATGGATCAGAGATGCTGCTATAACCATCGACACGTTGATAACACATTTGAATGACATTGGTTTTGCAAACCATTCTATTGCTCGGACCATCGAGAATTATATAAGCAACAGCTACCTTGTGCAGAGAGCTACAAACCCAAGTGGTGGCTTCAACTCTGGTGGCCTTGGAGAGCCAAAGTTCAATATTGATAATACGCCATTTACCGCTGACTGGGGGAGACCCCAAAATGACGGCCCCGCTCTCAGGTCAATCACCATTATGAATTACCTAAACTTGGTTAAAAAGTACAATAATGATACGTTGTTGTCGATTTCTGATGGAAACGTTTATTACAATTCTACTAAAGATATTTACACCAACATCATTAAACCTGATTTAACATACATCATTCAACACTGGAATACAAGGGGATTTGATTTATGGGAAGAAATTAACGGAGTTCATTTTTTCACAAGCTTGTCCCAATTCAAAGCCCTCAAAAAAGGTTTAATTATGGCAAAACATTTTAAGGATTATAAGTTTATGGAAAAGTTGAATGCAATCACCATCAGGATCCAAAATTTCATATGGTTTGACTCTGGTTTTATTGATAAGGATTTTCATAGAATATATGAAAATCCAAATTTTGATCATAAATATGGGTTGGATATTGCCACAATCATTGCTTCCTTGTCTTGCCATGCCTACTCCAATGACCTTGATGATAACTTAGGTTTTGAAATACCATTCGATGTTGATGATTCATATGTGTTGAACTCGATATACGGTTTCATCAAGGACCAAAATAGAAGATATTCTGTAAATCATGATGAGGATAAATTAGGAATTAGTTTGGGGAGATATCCCAATGACGTTTATGATGGTGTTGGAACATCACTTGGTAACCCATGGTTCTTATCGAATGCCTATGCTAGTTTATTTATTTATAGAAAGTTGTTTAAACTTTTGCACTATGAGGAAGATTTGGTCATTTCTAATAAGAATTTCGAATTTTACAATGATTACATTTATGATTTATCAAATATCAGTGAAGACTATACGAAATTTGACTTTGTGGTGATAAATTATAGATCTAGCGAGTTCAATATGATGGTGAACAATTTGTTCAGCTTTGGTGATTCTTTCCTCAAGGTTGTATTTGCTCATATCACTGAGGATGGAGAATTAAGTGAGCAATTTAATAGGGATACAGGATTTTCTCAAGGGGCTCAAAATTTGACCTGGAGCTATAGTAGTGTTTGGAATGCTCTTAGAGAGAGGAGCATTATTGACTCACTTCTTTGAGTAGGAAAAAACTAGAGCTTATAATATGTTGCATCAAATTCATTTCACAAAGATGCTATTCTTTTCATTTCGTTTTTTTTTTTCTTCTTCTTTGAGTAGTTCTTCTAAAGCATATTTAAGATTGCTTTTTTTTTCAAATTTGTGGACTATGAGGAATATTTATTTATTTTTATGATTCGAAGGGGGTAATAGGATAATGATGATACTTATGATGAACAAATTTATTGTAATATGCTATATCATGGGAAGTTGTCCCTTGTATAGAGACCTTCATGAATTATTGCCGTTTATCAGTCGTTCTTGCCAAGGTGTTGCGGATATGCAGGCAAACGCGTCAAAAAAATAATAATAAATAAATAAATAGACACGAAAAAATCACAAAAAAAAAAAGCACAAGGAATCAAATGAGCGCGTCTTCCTTTTTCTCTTGCACAGGTATCATAAAGCAACTTGCACAATATCAATGAATCATGATTGTCAAAGTCCTTTATTCATTGAGCAATAATTGCTCAACTAACCAAAGCAATGATAAAAAACTATCGTCAAATTTATATCTCTCAAAGAGTCCTAGTTCCAAAATCCCAAACTTCAATCTTAGGGTGATCAAAATCAGCAAACCCAACGAATCAAGACCTCAACTATATGGATTTGTTAGCCTCAGCAAATGTCTATCAATGGCAATACTTCATAGTCCCGAATTATTTCAATTAGATAAGCTGCCGACTTTGCTGGGAGAAACTCAAGATTCTGCATTAAAGAACCGTGTTGTTGATTATTCTGTTTATAATAGGGATATTTTGGAACTAGACCAGCCACTTGTGGGTCATGGGTCTCTAAAGCAGTTGCTCCAATCAAACAACATTAACAATAATAGCGGCAGGCCTGTTAATATTGATGATGCGGTCAGTGAAAATTATGATCCAATTATTGTGGGGTCGATACTGAAGAAACCAAGCTTCTTCATGGATGATGGCGATTGTGATGATGAGGATGAGGATGATGGCAATGCTCATGATGTCAATGAAGATGTCAGTCAGCCCAATGAGATTATAACCGAAGAAAACCCAATGAAATATTTGGAGAACAATATCTATAGTTTGGAAATACGATTGGAATTCATGAAATTTATTAGGAATTTCAATCCAAAAATGGATAAGATGGAACGTAATAGTAATAGCAACACAAACAACAATAATAGCAATAATACTAAAAAAGAGTTTGCAGTACCAATTCGAAAAACCAATTCGAAAAAAGCACCAAAAGCAGTCAGAACTTTATCGTTACCAATTTTCAACCCTAATTTTGTCCAGTTCCCTCGAGCAAATGGAATGGCAATCAATATTCACGGCCCAAAGACATTTGGAAATCAGGCTGCAACTATGATGGCTTCACCAGTGATGAACAACTTAGCAAGTGGTGAAATGAAACCAACCATAAATGCTAGTAAAACTGTGAAGATGGGAAATAGTTCGTCATCATCATCTTTAGCGTCATCAAAAAAGAAGAAAAAATCCAATGGATTATTATTGAAAAGGAAACTTGTGAAACAAGCTGAAGATTTTAGTGATTTACCAATTTCTCCAATGTGTATCAATTGCAAAACCGATAAGGCAGTCCCTTGGAGTTGGTTCAGAAATGAAACTATGGAAGGATTGATTTGCAAAGATTGTGATGAGTACTATAAAAGATATGACAAAATGAAACCTATTAAAAAAACCACTACTAATAATTATATTGCTGAACCCAAGACCAATGCCAAAACAAAATCAAAAAAGCGCAAAGTAAATAGCCATGATAACGATGATAAGAAGAAACCAATATCTAATCCTGCTAATATCAACAGCCGCAACAACTCCTCTGTTGTGAATCCAAATCCTAATATCCTGCCTCATCAAGGACCTCCTTTTAGTATCGCTCACTCTTTATCAATCAATAGGGAATTGATTATTCAACTGAAAAAGCAATCCCAAGGGCCATCATCACCAGTGGTTGATCAAAAAAACCCGCAAGACACAACAAGGTTCAACAAACAGATACAACAAAAATCAAATCAGAAAAAACCAATCCAGTTTATTCATCACAAGATTCCTAGTGAACCACTGATTATTATTAACACCCCTGCAAAGAAAATTCCAAAACATTTCAATATTAACTCCCCTGATCATATAAATAAATCCCCAAACTCAAAATGGTTATCCAATATGCTAAAGTCTATTGGTACTGAGTCACCTCAACCTTTTGATTTCCATGATCAAACTATTGACATCTTATTATCAGGGTCTCAAAGTGATCACTTAAAACATGATAGTGAACCCCCAAAAGATCACTTTCATAAATTCTCTAATATAACACGAACTTTGAAGGAAATTGAAAGTGAAAGTAATAATAATGAAAATGACAACGATAAGAATGGGGAGAAAGACCAGAAAAATAAAAATGATAATCATAACAAAGGCAATAACAATAGTGGGGATAATAACGACTTTCACAAGATGTTTAATTTTGGTCAAATTTCAAATGATTCAGGAAAGCATCATCATAGCAGTGACGATTCTAATTTGGGTCTTCTTCATGATGGTGAGGACGACCTATATAGCATTAACAAGAACTCATCATCGATACCTTCTTCTCCTATAGAAGCAATGTCATTACCATCGAAAAAACAATTACTGATACTTCATGAAGAATTATCCCAACCCTCTCAATGATTTTTGTTTGGAAGCATATTTTTTTTTTCCATATTTAGCTTACAGGTAGGCAGAGACTGGTTTAAAATATATATGTGATTTCTACAAATATTGTGCCTTGAGACATAATCAAAACCTCCTCGTTTTTTTTTTTTTTGTAAACATTCTACAAACAAAACAGTAGTCACAATCAAAATAAGCTATTTATTTTTAGAAAATTATTAATTATTAGAAATGCCATAATTATAGAAAAAATAACAATAGTTATGAGAATCATAACAATAATAAGTTGAAACTACTACTGACGACATAAAAATAAAATAATATAAATTAGAATATCAAAGTTGCAATAAAAGAGAAACAAAGCCTAATAATAAAAAGAAACACATCACATTCACCCAAAACGATCATTCGATTGGTAGAAGTTAACAAAAATATAATACACCACATAAAATAACAAGACTCTTAAACTTTCCGATGCTTATGAAAATCCAGTTCTTCATCGGATTCAACACGGTGTCTTATGACTCCCAACCTTTCACCAGGTATCACGACTTCGATTCCCGATATTTGTTGTTCTTGTTGGTTAGGATCTTCAGCAGTATCATCATCTATATCATCTGCTTGACCACCGGTATTCAACAAAACTTCACTGCCCTCATGCGAACTGTCTGTATTGCCAATGATCGGAAAATTAGGCATCTCCTGGGACATTTCATCATTTTCTAGTAGTTCTTCTTCGGACTGTGGATCTAGATGGAAAGCAGAGCATTGTGATAACGCATTAAATGTGTTTTCAACCATTTTGTCTCCTTGATTGTCACCACCGAAAAATTCATTAGTAAACAAGGTCTCATTACCCTCTGGCGATACCTTCCTTTCAGGAACCAATCGAGCCTCTATTATCGGTATTTCTTGTTCACCCTCTTCTTCTATTCCTTTAGATGTATCATTGGCATGATCTTCTTTCAATTGTAGGTACAACATCAACTCATTTTCAGGGTTTTTTTGCAAAGCATGCAAAATGATATTCGGGTACATGAACTCCATACCAAACCCGTAACCAGTAAACCACATTATAAATGATGTATTTAAAACAAATACATCTACCGAGAGACCTTGATTTAAATCTTTTCCTAAATGATTCCTTAGAGAACTGAAATACGAATTATCAACGTCTTCAATAGTCAATACCCAACCTCTACCACCACCATACAAAATTGGGTTTTCTTGCAAAGAGAACGTGGACGGAGTGCTTAATTGGTATTTCTTGAAAGGATCAACATTTTCGATCGATGGTTTAACTTTGACTAAATGTATATCAGTCACCATTGCTCCAATTTCAATTTTATTTGTTTATATTCTCTTCTTGTATCTGCCGTACTTCATCAAAAAATATGAAATAATTGAAGAAAAAAAAAAAGGGTGCCTTACCCTCTTCAAATCTTTTTAATTTTTTGCTTTTCTCAATAGGGTTAAAGATTGATTAACATTCACACCATACAATAAATACTACCGAAAAAACAAACGCAATGTCCCTCAATTATGAGCATTTGCTCCCATTAAATGGGGAATGGAAACAAAAAATTACTGATTGGCTATCGGAAGACGTTGCGTCATTTGACTACGGGGCTTATGTTGTTGGTGATAATTTAGATGATGCCAATTTGTACTGCAAACAACAATGCGTTTTAAGTGGAGTGGTATTCGCAAAAGAAGTTTACAAGCAATGCGGAATCACAAATATCGAATGGTTTTATAAAGATGGGGATTACCTTGATCCACAAACCATGGGCAAGGATGGCAAAATCGTTGTTGCTAAAATTACCAAAACTGAAGTACGGAAGATTTTGTTGGCAGAAAGATTGTCTTTAAATATTTTGTCAAGATCTTCGGGGATTGCCACTAAGTCCAATCAGATCATCACTTTGGCTAGATCTAGTGGCTATAAGGGGATAATTGCGGGTACCAGGAAAACCACTCCGGGATTCAGGTTGGTTGACAAATACTCCATGATAATTGGTGGGTGCGATCCTCATAGATACGATTTATCTAGCATGATAATGCTCAAGGATAACCATATTTGGTCTGTTGGTTCCATAACTAAGGCAGTTGAATCGGCAAGAAAGGTTGGTGGGTTCAGTGTGAAGATCGAGGTTGAAGTCCAAAGTGAAGAAGAAGCCAATGAAGCCATTGAAGCTGGGGCTGATATCATTATGTTGGATAACTTTTCTGGAGATGGTTTGAAGGTGGCTGCTGAATCTATTAAAAGTAAATGGAGCAATACACAAAAGAGCTTCTTGTTAGAGTGTTCTGGTGGTTTGACCATTGATAATATTGGCAACTACTTAAGCAATACCATTGATATTTACTCCACCAGTTCTATCCATCAAGGTACAGGGATTGCTGATTTTAGTTTGAAGATCGTTAAACATTAGTTACTTTTATTTTTTAAATATACTTATATTGATAGATTATTGTTGTAGTAAACGCATCGGTTGATTTACCCTATCGTTCTCTTTGAAATTTCCCACTGTAATTTTTTTTTTCCCTTGGCCAATCAAAATTAGTCATTGCAATATAGTTCTCTCTGTGTATATATTGATATATATATATAGATAGATAGATATACGAGTATATTAATAGTTTGGGATTAATTTTGGTTTGAAAAATAAAATCGAACTCCCAAGTGAGCAAAATTTGGATTATACTTGAAACAGTGTTCATCTCTAATCTTCGCAGCCGGTTTTCCAAATAGTATATAAGCAAGACCCCCATATTTTCCATTTAACAACAAATATTCGATTGAAAAAAAAAAAGCAGAAACTCATCATTTTTCCTCTTTATTTTCATTGATAATATGGCTGAGTTAAATAATGGTAAAGACGCCATGAATGGCTTAAATGATGAGAGTGCAACGTCATTGGTTGATGCAGTTGCTTTGTATTCGGAGCGAGCTAATGGATTATTAGAAACAACCACAACAGCTAACCAAACTGGTAGCTACCAAGCACCAGCATTCGATAACAATAATAATGATAACGATAACCAAAACCAGCTTAAACAAAAAAATTTACTTTTGACTGATCAATATAACAATAATAACGATGTGCATTCTTCGACAATGCCAGGAACTGCTTCTACGCAATCAACGGTGCTGATCTCTACAGTTGGTGGTGTGGTAGTTCCCCAAGAAGAACCATTTTATGTCAATGCTAAACAATATCACAGAATTTTAAAAAGACGAATAGCAAGAACAAAGCTCGAGGAAAACTTGAAGTTGTCAAGGGCGAGGAAGCCATATTTACATGAATCAAGACATAAGCATGCTATGAGAAGGCCAAGGGGTCAAGGTGGGAGGTTCTTAACTGCCGCAGAAATTGCTGAAAGGGATAAAGAGGAAGAAGAAAAAAGATTACAAGAGGAACAAGGGAAAATAATTCTGGAAGAAGAAAAAAGACCTCAAGAAGCCATTCAGCAGCTGCAAAGCCTTAATAACAGTTTGAGCAGTATTCCTTCTAGGAATAGTATCTACAGCAACATTCAAGAAAATGGTAACAATGATATCAACGGTAGCACCGCCTTGAATAATGAAAACAACAACATTGCAATCAAAAATGAGGTGACTGAAGCCATGTAGTACTTCTTTCACTTTCTGTATGATGACTTACGATCCCACTTATTTGATATACTATAATTTTCTTTTTTTAGTCTATTCTTTTTGTTATCTCTTTCTCTTTCCTGTTTTTCCAGATCCGATTCAAATAATAAAAATTAATAATAATAATAAAAAATTGAATACTTTTAATATGATAGTTGCATTCAAGGATGAAGAAGTACACTGCGTTGTTATATAATAAATCATGTCTGATGTTTTTGTTTTTGGAACCATCAACACGTGACTGTTTTTCTTTTTTTTTTTTTTTCCTCCGTAGGAAAAAAATTTCATCTTTGATGATTCAGGTTTTTCTTGTGTTAAGGACAACAGTGATATTTTAATAAACAAAATAGATAATTGCATCACTTACTAGGCCAATCATAAATCATGTCTGAAGAAACCAAGCCACAAGAAACCAAGGTTGAAGAAAAGTCTGCCTTGCCAACCCCACCAACTTCTAACGTCTTTGCCTTGTTTGGTGGCAAGAAACCAGAAAAGAAGAAGGAAGAAGAAGGAGAAGAAGAACCAAAGAAAGAATCTAAGAAAGAAGACGCTTCTGCTGAAAATGAAGAAGAACCAGATATTCACTTTGAACCTATTGTCAAATTGGAAAAAGTTGATGTTAAAACCAACGAAGAAGGTGAAGAAGTTTTGTTCAAGATCCGTGCTAAATTGTTCAAGTTCCACGCTGACACTACTGAATGGAAAGAAAGAGGTGTCGGTGACGTCAAGTTCTTGCAAAACAAAGAAACTAAGAAGGTCAGATTATTGATGAGAAGAGACAAAACCATGAAGGTCTGTGCTAACCACATCATCGCTCCACAATACACTTTGAAACCAAACATTGGTAGTGACAAATCTTGGGTTTACAGTGTTACCGCTGATGTCAGTGAAGGTGAAGCTGAAGCTCAAACCTTGGCTATCAGATTTGGTAACAAGGAAAATGCCGAAAAATTCAAGGAATGGTTTGAAAAGGCTCAAGAATTCAACAAATAAATTTAGAGAAAAGTCATATCAGATCAGCCTCAGGAAAAAGTAAAACTAAAAGATCTAGCAAAATAAACTAAAGAAAATTGATTGAAACAATAATATTCTTTGAATACTATATACTTGCTTCATTTCATGTTTTCTCTTACTATCCCATATCCCCCTTTATCATTTATCGTTTCATTTATTCATCAAGTATTTTTTTTATCATTATTATTATTTCCGCTTTTTTTTTAATATATAATCAAAATTTTAACTTCAGGTCATTGTTAACTTTTTCTTGCCTATTCTTTGCTGTCGGCTTTTTAATTTTGATTCATTTTTACTTTTTTTACTACTTGCTGTCTTGGTTAGCTCTTGCATTGGGGAATAGATTTATTCAGAGGAATTTTGCAATTTGTAGAATATTGATTGAACAAACTAATCATATATATATTCAAATGGAACGTGTAAATTTAAGCAGCATGTTCAGTTTCCTCTCCCATAGGAACCACAAATGGAGATAGGTGGATAGCAGGTTCATCAATGTTATGATGTTGGTAACTTAAAACCCCAACAGCCCCAGTATCCAAAAGAAACTGCGGGTTGATATTGAGAGATCTTCCTAACCACAAAGCAGCGAAAGATCTCAAGATATGACCATGGCCGAAGACTACCACGTCGCAAGGTTCGTCCTTTTCAAGGGCCTGCTTATGGAGGGTTCTGATCTTTTCAATCAACCTATTCAAGCGAATGGACACTCTAGTGTAATCCTCACCATTTTCACAACCGTCCGCCCAGATATTCCAAGGAATAGGTTTTCCAGTTGTGATGTCCAACTTATCAGGGATGTTACGTTCCCTTCTCAATTGGATAATTTCTTTTGTGAGCAACCCTTCGTAATCACCGTACTCCCATTCTCTAACATCCTCATCGATTTCAAATGGGATATCATCCATGATTTTCTTGTCAATAGTCTCAAATACTAATTCCTTGGTTTGAATGGCTCTGTAACGAGGAGAGGATATAATCAATTTGACATTGCTGACATTAAGAAGACTACTATTTCCGGTTCCAGTAACAAATTTCCCTAATGCTCTGGCTTGGTTCACTCCTAGAATATAACCCGTTAGTTAGGTGTAACATAGAATTAACTATGGTTGATTGGAGAGATTAAAGAAGAACTTACCGTATTCGGTCAAATGTAAATCAGTTCTTGAAGTGTATTGGCCACTCTAAAGGTTAGTACATTCATGCTTCACCTACATAAAATAATCTATTGGGTTTATACACATACTTTTGACCATTCTGTTTGTCCATGACGGATGAAAATAACTCTTGGAGTTGGACTCTTTGGCATTCTATTGATTCTTGAGAAAAAAGCTTTATCTTTGTTCTTTATGATGTTTGCAAAATAATAAGCAATAGTTTGAAGAAGGATAGCCCTTATTGTACAATTATCATTGGCGGCTTTCTTGAGCCTCTGAGGAAAACGTGACGTTGTGTGTGCCTGATGACACATCAGACGCCCTTTCGGCAAAAATAATATACCAATAATAGTAAAGTCTTAAACGGTTAATAAGACTTCTACCAATACTTTCCATTAATCTTCTCTCCTTTCATTCCTTGAAGTCATTTGATTTTGTTTGCTGGAGTTTTAATTCTATCAAGAGTGATTTTGTTATAATTGATCTCTGTAATAATTATAATAATTATTTTCTATAATAATTGTTCATTGCAAGAGTACTTTCGTTATATATACCATAATTCATATTTCTACACAATTACCTGACAGAATGTCACCTAATAACAAGTCAATACGACTCATCTATTGTATGCATATTCGTCTATTTTCATTTCCCTCACAACTTCTACACCCTAGTTAAGAACCCACCAATACAAGACGATAAAAAACAAAAACAACTGCAAACTCGGCGCGTTGTACTTTCTTTCTTTCTTTTCGAAATATTTGTTACTCATGAGGATATTCGACATTGGTGGAGAAATTTTTCCTGTTGTTATCCAATGTCCGGAATCCAGTCTGGGTGGCCACTCCCATTCCCGCTGCTACTGACTCCAATGGAGCTCCGCAAGCTGAGATCCCCAGTGGTTCTCATCACAATATCATTGAAATATATGACTTATCAGCTGTACATTCATCCAAATAAGTCTTAATTCTGTCAATTGTCAATGTAACAATATTCATGAAAATAAATGAAAGGAATAAAAAAGAGTAATACTCCTGTTAGTGGCCCAATGCTATATTGGGAGTTGGTTAGACACACATGTTACAATGCTTTAACAGTTTTCACTCTACGAATAACATTCAGTTGAATGTATGTGAGCTATTTTTGATTAGTTTATTTAACCAAAGTAATTGGATATCTTTTTTCAGGTACTAGTTTCGAAACATCCATCTTTGGTTTACTGACATCACACAGCACCACTTTGAAGTGGGCATGATAAAAGGAGCACCCAAAATTTTCTTTTTATTATTAGTATCATTTTTAAGAGATACACGGAAACTTTTTGAAATATCTACTGTTCCTTATTATTATTTCTTGTGATATTGATTCTGTTACAAGTCACAATTACAGAGACAGACGTCAATTTTCCAACGGTGGCAATGAGGTTTTCCGTGGGACACTTACCACCATGCAGGATGAGGACAAATAAAACCAACGCCTTAACTAGCGGCTTAGGTGCTGCCTTCCAGCTTTGCATTTCTCCTACCCCAGGTTTTTCAGCTTCCATAACATACTATAGTAGGCTTTCAAAGGCTACTTGTGAATGAAAAAAAAAAGATTCTCACAAGAGGAGCCCTCTTGTGAGAGCCTTCCACAAAAATCCTGAAGTTGCTTTTTTTTTTTTTTTTTTGCTTTGTAGTTTCACAAATTGTTTCCTTTTTCCCCATTACAATCCAAACAATACCTTGGCAGCAACACAATGACACAAATCACCAAAAATATTTTTTACAAGCTACCACAAAACTGTTTTCCAAGAACAGGTTCTCCAGAATGTTTCCCAAACTAGAATTTTTGTGCTACAGTAAAGAATTGTGCGTACCCACAGAACCGCATTTGACTGCGGTGTGGAAAGCTGACATGCAGGAACACCTATGCCAAATACAACAATAGATATATAGTCTTGCTATTGTCCTTATTGTTGAGATTTCTAAAGTCTCTTTCAACTAGTATTGCAAATTTTCATCCATCAAATAAATTATTCAACACTATACACTGGGGGAAACTTAGCCACCATAGCACTCTGAATAATAACGTTCAATATCAACAATAATACAAAAATGAGACTTCAAACAGCTTTGGTCATCGTGTATTTTGCAATGGTCTCCAATGTTGCGGCTATTCCTAATCCACTTGCAGCTGTCGCTGAAAGTCTTACAGCCATTACCAGTGTATTTAATATGATCAACTCAGGGTTGACTTTAAAAAATAATGTAAATGCCGCTGCGTCAGCTTCTGCTTCTGCTTCTGCTTCTGCTTCTGCTTCTGCTGCCAAAACCACTACTACGGTTGCACCAACGGCAACCGTACTTGTCGTCACATCTTCAAATCCTAAATTAGAAAAGACAGTCTTGGCTCCTTCCATTACCGCTTCAATTTCAAGCATTGTATTGAGTGACAAACAAGTCTTGAGGTCAGTTACGACCGTTGTTGTTGATTCCAAGGCCTCAGCAACAATACTCCCTGCAAACGAACAAGGGGCAATTCTTAAAGCCAGCAACTGATATAATTTTTCTCAAAATCACCCCAATAATATCACTATCGCCATAAAAACTATATATACTATGTTGTATTAGCCTACTTCCTTTTTTTTTTTATCTCTATTTTTATTTTTTCTGTCTGCTATCTTTCTTATCACTTTTTTGAATACTTCTTAGAATTTGACATCACAGTCCTCTTTTTTTATTTTTTTTTTTTCACTTTTTTTTTTCATCTTTTTTATCAAAAAGTATATAACTAGACAGTTTCTCACCACATATAAATACAAAACATTATATAATCGTCAAAACAAATAAAAGTCTAGCAGCACTAGCAAGTATCTGCTGTTTGAATTTATAAAAATGAATTTTTACAGAATATATGTAAACCGTGAATATAGAAGAATAACCGAAGATAGAAACGAAATAGAAAACATAAGAAATCAAAATCAATCCATTGAGCTCATTATATCAAAATCTAAAAAAGGGAAAGAAAAATCAAGTCAGGCACTCATAGTTTTCCTTGGGAAACTCATCATTGTCCTTTACAAAATCATCTCTACTGGACGTATTGGTCACTTCAATAACCTCTTCCTGTTCCACTTGGTTTAGAAATTTGGAGCCAGTGACAGCCAATAACACACTGGCAGCCACAGACAAAATACAAAATATACCTCTTCTGGTTAATGACCATCTTAAATTCTCCACACTGAATTTTAGCTCGGAGATCAATCTTGAATTAATCTTGTTTTCAACTTCACGAATTTTGATATTCAATTGTTTTTGAGCAAGACCATTGTCGGATTTATGATCGTTTATCGCAACCTCACACTCATTTTTACATGATATCATTAAATCGTTCAATTCATCGGTCACAGAATTCAATTCACGGTCCAAAATATTAATGCCACCACGTAGCTTATTCAAGTGCTGTTCTCGCGATCTCTTGATTTCGACCAGTAATTCTGATGACGCAGCCTCAAATAAATAATTCTCATTCTCCAAATCCTTCTTAGGGGCACACTTTTGAATCATACAATCGAGATTACTAACCAAGTTCTGTTCGGTGATTTGGATAATCCTTCTGGACTGAAGATCTGTAAATCCTGCCAGTACGAGTTCTTTATAGACTTCCAAAGTGTCAATGTAATGGGTTGGAAATGGGGCTTCGGAACCTTCTTCACTACCCATATCAGCATCACATTCTAATGAAGTCTCGCTATTTATTAGGGGCTGAGAATCTTCATTTTTTATGAGATCATTCGTATTCCCACTAGTAATGCTATTGCCAGTATTAATAAATGATGGAGTCAGCTGAACTTGATGTGATGTCATTTGAAGACACCTTAAGGGATGGTTACCAAATTTTCTTGTGACAGCAGCTCGGTAGGTTACTTTAATCGTGTTGAAAAGTGTGTTCCCAAGGGCCTGATGAGTGAGAAGTGACATTGTTCATATATATATAATAAATGGAGGGAAAAAAAAGGCTTTTTATGTTATACTAAGCTCCACACTCATGTCAAAAAAGAAGTACAACATAGCATTGATCAACTATTTCTTGGGAAAAAAGTAAAACCAATTAACGGCACGTGCAACACAGTGTGCGCACATAGGCACAGACTTACATTGATCAATAATCCACACATTATACTAAAATTACAATAATAACTATTTATCTACGTATTAATCTGTACATCACCAGGTTGAATATCCTTTGTAGGCTCTTCAACCTTCTTCACCTCTGATTCTTGAAGTTCTGGTTCCTTCTTTTCTGTCCCATCCACTTCCGATCCTGCAGGATTATTTGATACCTCATCTTGCACGATAGGCTCTGAAGCACTGGAGACTTCCGTCGGAGCAGTACTTTCCTCAGTATTATTTTGCTGTTCCTTTGCCCTTGTTGCATTGTCGGTGCTCGCACTGAGGCCTGAAATACCTTCTTCAACCCCAACTGCACCTCTGATGTCAGCAGCAGACAAGGCGTTACTGTCATTTTTGTTGGCTAATGCAGCATCAATAGCAGTATCTTCAGCTTCCTTGTCGGTGATAATTTGTTTAATGTCCAAAATATCGTCCTCGTCACAATCCGAAACACTATAAGGTTTTGAGTGAGGGACCCAGGAGAGCACCTTGAAGCTATATTTTGGAGAGTTATTGATAGTTTCTGGCTTACCATTCATAGAAGACAAGCTCACATTTGACCCGTGGATTGAATGTCCATTGGCAAGGGCATTCTTGTCTTCCTCTTCATCTGCGGGTTTGGATGGGTTGATTAATGTGGGTTGGAAATAATGTTCTATGGGTTCAGCAGTTGGGGTACCAAACGAGATATTGCTGGCATTTCTGATAAGTGACTGGCCGTATAAAGAGCGTCTAGCAGTCATACTGGAAATCTTATTTTTGAGGATGTTTTCTTCGCTAACAAAAGTAAACAGTAGCAACAGCAGTATGGGGAGTCTGTGGTTATTACCGCGTTTGGTGCGCTTTATTTTTTATTTATTTGGTGTGCTGACCAGGGACACCAACCAGAAAGTTTTTTTCAGGAGTATAAAAGCAGCAGAAATCTCGGCGGCATTTCCAGTTTTTTTCTTTTTCTTGTTACAGTGTTTGATTTTACATTTTTAGATTTTGCTAAGAAGGCCTTTGTCATGAGTTAGCTGAGGGTCGGAGACTTAGTTCTTTGACCGCTCACGAGCTAAAGTAAGTTCATTGGTCTCAGTGTGGGTTTGATTCTCTCATCCTTTCTTTTATGATGAGCTTAAAGAATTTTTTAGACGTTAGACTACTTAATATTCTTTGCAGATATATTCTTGTTCTGATCAACAAATTAAATTGGAGAATCCATCTTTGTATTTTTGAATCCGTTTCCTGATTGTACTAACGAATAGCTAGTTGAGGCTGTTTCGCCACACCTTTTTATTATATACTTCGTGATTATATATTATTATTCAAAGGAGAACATGAATGTAAGAACAAGAAGAACTTTATCCCTTCTTATATCTTTGAAGTATATCACAATGACTATGATAGATAAACTGAAGAGGCACTGTGATAAACAAAATTCAATATATATTTAATATTTTTCTTGAGAAATAGGTACTTACCTGGGCCTTTAATAATACGCTACAACTGTAGCCTTGAGGGAGAGGAAGAAAAAACAAAAACAAAGAGAATACTGAATTATGGACCACTCAGAAGTCACCATGAGATGGAGCAACGTAATTGCTGCCATTTTTAATGAAATCACCGAAAAAGATGTCAATTAGAGCTCTAGATCCAATTGGCTGAGAATATGGTGCCATATGAGAAGCGTTGGAAATGCCAGCAAACATCAAGTTGCCTTCTTGTTTGACCGTACCATATGTAGTACCATCAACACCGTAGTTGGCATATTCAATATCACTGCTGAAGCCTGGACTCAATTTGTCACCCCAAGTTAATACACTGACCATTTTTTCCAAACCCTTGATATTACAAATAATATCATTTTCGCCAGCAGCAATCAAGATAGGAATTTTAGACAAAATATATGGCAATTTGAAAAATGCAGGGTATGAATAATAGTTAACCAAGTTTTCACCGACCGTACCAGAATCACAATCGGACCAGTTCTTGGCAGTTTTAAGGTTTAAAGCTTCATCTATGGTTGCCAGATTAAGAAAATCATTAATTTGTTGATGGTTTGGTGGAAAGCTATTTGAACCACATAAAGAAGAATCTCTCAATCTGAAATCATAAACATTTATGCATAGCTCGTCTTCTGGTTTACTTGTATCGTAAGTGGCAAGGAGAAACTCATTTAAAAGTTGAATGCATTCGTAAGATTCCACCTTGTTATCATCAGTTTCGAAATCATTTTCGCCTTCATATTCACCGTTAGCTTCAATTTCCTTAATAACGCTCGCCCATAATTGTTGATTAGATTCGTAAGTTTGAATACATTCTTGGATTTCATCCTGAGCTTCATCAGCATCACTTTGACTGATAATGTTATTCTCCACTCCAAATTCAAACAAAGCAGATTGTTGAACATCAGGATAAATATACCCGTTAAAAATAAGCAAACCCTTGAGATTGATATCAGTCTCTTCAGCTAGAATCTTGGCTCCGAAGTATGGAATATACTGTCCAGCATAGCTTTCACCACTCAAATAGAGGTCTTTGGCCTTATCTTCTGGGAAAACTTCAAAGTAGTTCTTCAAGAAGGTCATCATGTTGGCGGCAATATCTTTCAATTCTGAGGAATAATCATTGGAGTCACTGAAACCAACACCACCCGGTTGATCAATGAAAACCAAGTCACCTTCTTCTATCCAGGTGCCTGGACTATAAACAACTTCATCATTATCATTGAGAGTAAGCGGACCATTTTCAGCCAAAGCACCCGCCATCGAAGAGCAACCAGGTCCACCATTAAACCACAAGATTAACCTGTCACTGGAAGCAGACTCGGTTTGATTTTTAGAGAATTTCCAGAAGAAGTAATCTTCATCAACATTTTCTTCAGCTTGTATGTAACCAGCATGCATTTCTGGAACAAACTTTGGATCCATCTTATCTAAACCAGGAAGATTTTTAACCGAATAATCATCAGCACATGTGGCTCTTTTTAATATTTTGTTTTGCTTGAACAAAGCTTCAGTCAATGGTAAAGCATAAGCCGCTTGTAAAATAAACAACAATGAAATAAGGAAACCGATCTTGAACATCGTGACTCAGAAATGATTATTACTTCTTTATGAGATGTGTAAAAATAAGAAGAAGAAATCAAATGAAAATTTAAGGATTCACACAAGGTATTTATAATCTAAATTATGGATCTATGATATATAGGCTTCTTCAGGGTCCTGCATGCCAAGGAACCATATTTTTAGTGCCGCAGTGAGGTACACGATTTGATGAATCGAAAACAGTATTCCTGGAGATAATTGGAGATTTTGATTTGGAATTGATTACTGAAATGGATACAAAAATAATAACAGCAATAGCAATAAAGAACATTGTGATTTGCATACATTGTTGTCAGAGTGTACCGAGATGGCAGCTCTTTATACTATGGATATCAGATTCGTGACGAATATTGCTCTGTACATTGCTTTAGTATGGCGCCAGTAGTGTATTATCACTGAGAAATGTATATGACTATCACTGAGAAATGTACATGACTATTAAGCAACTTTTTAATGAATGCCTCATCTAATTCTTCCACCTTAGAACCCAATGATGCTTAATTGGATAATTATGGCACACACGTGTTGATTCTCATGTTAATCAAAGGATTGAAAGACTTATCTTGTAATCCCAACTGTTGAACTGGTTCTATTAGAGGATGGTTGCTGGAGGCTTTGACCAAGGATTTTATCATAGTCAACATACTGGAGACCATATCTCTGAGTTTGTTGAGCTCATTGATAGTGACAAATTAAGAGTTGTTGTTGTTGGCTTCGTGGTGAGTTGCAATTGGAGCTGACTCGGCGATAACTTTGTTGGAGGTTGTAATGGATTCAGGATTCATGATCGTAATAGACGGATAACTAAATGTCGGTTTATAGATATTAATTTAATGGTAATAATAAGTATAAAGTAAATGTAAATGTTTCATAGTATATAAACAGGGATTTGGTTGTAAGTCTTGATGGTTCTATATACATGATAGTAGTGACTATTAATCATTAAAACCTACAGAAGTAGTGGAAGTGCTTGTGGTTATACGCCATTGGCCATCTAGCCATGTTAGGAGGTCTGTACTACTGACAGACTGACACCAACTACTTGTTATTGTATGGAATTAAACAAAATAAATTGATCGAGAAAGTATGAATAGTGTGTAGGTTTAAAGCGTGAATATCTAAAGTAATATCTAAAATAATGTGATGTAATAGAAGGTAGTAAGAATTAATAGGATTTACAACATTAGCAACCTTAGAATGATCATTACTATAGTAACATATACCGCCAGTATTGTTCATTCATTACCTAATCAATTAATCATAGACAACCCAGAACTACCCTTTCTTGTATTCTATCCTTGACTAATTTATTTTCCCTAGACACTATATCTACAATTTCAGCTACTATGGAAAAATTCGGTCATACCAAAAAAGCCAACCTTGTTGCTAACACTGCTACCACCAAAAAATCAAGTTAATATTACAACTATGATGCAATGGTAGTAAAGATACCTTAATCATGACTTATGCTACAAGCTGAATTACCAGGTATTATGAATTAGTTCTTTACTTTCTCTGCAAATATTTTGAATGACAACTTTTCTTTTTTTTAAGAAAAACTACGAAAATAGAGCGAGATTAAAAAAAATTAAAAACTAATAGTAGAAAAGAAGCAGAAAAACTAAAATGAAATGCAAGAAAGATGGAACATTAACAGAGAAATGTATAATAAAAAGATTTAATTATCGCCATATGATTTAGCAACATATGTTGTACCATCAAGAGAGTAATCATCAAAAAACAAGTCAATAGCAGCTCTGGAGGCGACAGCATGGTCATACGGAACCATGTGAGAAGCACCTGCAATTTTGGCTAACCATAAGCCATCTTCATACTTGGCTTGACCAAAGACAGTGCTATTATCAGCGATGGTGAGATCGCCCCAATTAACCCCATTACTGTATCCAGGAGTAGACTTGGAACCCCAAGTTAATTTGTTGACCATGTCTTGCATACCATAAATATTACACACAAGATCATTTTCACCAACCATTAACATGATCTTGACCTTACTCAAAATGTATGGTAATTTGAAGAAGGCAGGATAAGAGTTGTGGTTCACTAGAGCATTGTATGGGGCATCAGCACATTCGGTCCATTTTTGAGACCCATCAAGGTGCAAATCAGCGTAAACGCTCTGCTCATTAAGGAAAGTGTTCAAGGCAGGTTCTTCAACTGGCCAGTTCATCCCACACGCTGGATAGGAATCTCTCAAGCTAAAATCATATTGATTGAGGCATTGTTGATCGGTTGGCGCTGATTTATCCAATGTCATATCTAAAAGAGCTTCTAAAATACTTGAACAATCATCATCCTCAACCTTATTAGAGTCAGACCCATCGGTGCTCTCATATTCACCAGTTTGTTCCATAGTTTTGAAAATTGAAGCATATTCTTCCTGGGTTTGGGCAATGGTTGTGTTACAGGCAGCAATCATTTGTTGCACTTTTCTGGAGTTGTATTGAGCGTCGGTGATGAGTTTATTATCAAGGGCATAATCAAAGATAGATAAGTTCTGAACATCAGGGTAAATGTAACCATTAATCATGATTAAACCTTTTAAGTTATACTTGTCTGCTGCTTGAGTCAAAATTCTGGCCCCAAAATAAGGAATGTATTGGCCAGCATAACTTTCGCCACCCAAATAAATTTCTTTGCCCAAATCTTCAGGAAAAAGGGCAAAATATTTTTCAAAGAAAGTAAGCATGTCGTCTGCAATTTTGTTTAATTCAGAGTCAGGTTGTTCAGTCTCACTGAAACCAGTACCAGCTGGTTGGTCAACGTAGACAAGATCACCGGTTTCTAACCAAGTACCTTTTTTGTATTCAAGCTTTCCTTCCTGATTAACAAATAATGGTCCACTTTCCAAAAGGGCACCATCCATCGAAGAACATCCTGGACCACCATTGTACCAAAAAATCAATCTATTATTATTAGATGCTTGAGTTTTATTGAATCTGAAAAAAAAGTACTTTTCATCAATACTTTGGTCAATATCAACATAGCCAGCAAACATTTGAGGAATTTGTTCTGTTGGAATACCATCCAAACTTGGAAGGGTGGAAACTGCGTAGTCCTGGGCAGTATAAGACTCTCTTTTATTAAGCAACTGTTTGCCTATGAGGTAGTCGGTGATGACTGCAGCTCTTGCTATGCATTGTAAAATCGTAAGTACCGCAATATATTGAAATTTAAGAAACATCATTGCTAAAATAAAATATAATATAATTGCTAATAAGTTTAAATGGAAATAAAAATATGAATATCTACAGGAAGATTCAAAGGTATTTATAGCTACTAATATCAATATAAAATTGTTGGCGCCGGGACTTGGCGCCGTTCACATTATTCGTGGATCCACGGCGAATTCTATATGCAAGCCCTGTCAATGTTGTCCCTATACTCCAGAAAGTAGAAAGATTTAAATCATTATCGCTTGAAAAAAAAAAAAATTAAACATTACAAAAAAATATTTAGGAAATTTATCAAGTGGTTAATTAGAGTGGAATAATAATAAAAAAATAATAATACAAGGTGAGGAAGCGAAAAAAAATAAAATTGAACGCCTAATCTTCAACTGCTGATTCACTAAATACAGGTTGTGTATGTAAGGCAGGAAGCCCTTTAACAATTGAATCTCCCCCAGCCTTCAAGCCTATGAAGAGCAAACAATCCCTTGCTTGGTCTACTGCTTTCATTAGTTCATCTTCATCAGTTATTGTCCAGCTTCCACCCCCATCTGTTTGAAAAGATTTTTTCTGATTTTGCAATTTCAACATATGGCGAGGATCACCATTAGAGGAGGATACAACCAATAAGGTAGAATCAGGTAAAGATGAGATGACTTTCTCAATACGGTCTGATAAATTTTTATAAATGATGGTTGGGCTGATCTTTTCTTTTTCGGTATCCTGGCTCTTCTCGTCCGCTGGTTCACCATTCTTAGTATCTGGTTTTTCCGACCATCCAAATTCGAATTCGGCTTCTCTAAGCAGTCCAAGAAACAAATCATAGTTGTTAATATTTTGGACCAATGTATCAACGACCTCGTCATCATTTTCTGCTCTCATTCTTTCTCCAAAGTTTAGGTTATGAGGGCTTCCAACAATTGGTCCAGATTTTTTATAATCAACAACCAAGGTCTTTCTTAATCTAGATTTCAAATCATCAAAATTATGTTCCTGGCTGGTGTCCTTAGCTTGGTTGTCACCAACACAGCGATCAATAAGCTTAGAATTGATTCGACTAAAAATTTCGACCGTGCTACTGAAAGTTTTACCGAATTCTATGCCATTTTGCAACTTTAGTTTGACAAGGTCCATGCATGCTTTAGCGTCCTCAACAGAGTCATGTCCTTTCAAGTTATTTTGAATTTCTCTATTCAAAAATTTCTGAACTAGCCACTTCAATGAAGGCTTCAACGGATGGCCATATGTATGATCATATATCAAGGCAGTATCAACGATAGTCTTATGCTTGATTTGAAGGACATTCAAATCAGACTCCAAAGAATGACCAATTAAAACATCATCCGCACTAACGATGGAGAGAATCTTTTTTTGAATCTCACTGCGAGTGGTTGTAACGCCACGGAGTAAATCTTCAGTAATACCAGAATATTTAGTCACATAGTCAGTTATTTCTTCGTCTGGTTTCACAAGCTCATCAATCAAAATCTCATTATTGAAGTTAATCAAAGAAACTCTAGTAAGGACTTTTATAGATCCAGCAAGACACATTTCACAATCCACGGCAAAAGTTTTAGACCCCTCATGTTCGAAAACTTCAGTTTCTACCCAGCCATCCGAGCTGGACTTAAACTCCAATTCTTCAATTAGCTCACATTGATCACTGGTAGATTTTTCTTTCAATAAAGAGTGAATAGGATACTTGTTAGCAATCGCTTGGCCAACAGTCAATATCAAATCATGTAGAGTAATACCAACTTGCTTCTGTTGTTTCTGGACCGCCTTACGCTTCGTTCTAGTCATTGGAACATTAACCAAGGTATGAAAGGTAGAATATAATTTCTGCTTGGAACCTGGTGATTTTGCAGGCCAGGCATATTTAAAAAAATCTTTGAACGGTTTGAGATTCTTATCAATTTCATTTGCCTGAATGAGTTGAGGACTAATAGCATCCTTTTTGATCCCAAAATCAGAACCGCGGATACCAGGAACACACAAAAAAACAGCCTTTTTAATATTCAAGTGATTTTGAAGGCTTAACCACCTGATATTCGAAGGCAATTCATTGAAAATGAATAAAATCAAGTCCCTAATATCAGAAATGGATATCTTGCGGGAAACAAGGTTTGGATCAATGACAAGTTCTGCTGGCTTGGATCTCTTTTTTTTTTGGAAGAGACGGCAACGGTCTGAACACTTGATCTTCTTCTTCTTCTTCGGTTATTTCCTTTAACAGTAGTGCTATTGGAGTCTGCTTTTACCGGACTCTTAGCAATGGAACTTTTGATCATCGACACCATTTGCTTCCGGTCGATATCGGTGGAAATACTTAACCTAGCAACCTCATTTTGCACCCCGGAAGCATCAAAAGTTTTCTCAGTTCCCATAATTCAAGTTACCTGGAGGTGAATAACGGCAGACAAAAATGTGCAATACTGACGTTGTTGCCTCGCCTTTTCTCCCACCAGAAGCCGCTTGGGGTCTTTGTTTCCAGAGTTCCCAATTACACAACAACAGCAGAAAAAAAAAGATGTGTCACATGCGTGTCACATGTGCAACACGACAGCTGTGAATTTTCATGCCAGACGAACAACAAGATCGATCACCCTTTGCTGTTGTGCTGTTATAGCGCTGACAAAATAACAAGTTTTCACTGACATTGGTATCATAGGAACGAACGATGTCTGTGCAGCGTGCCATCAAGTCCATGTTTAATGGCCCAAAGAAAGGCGAAACATTCGAGTTGAAATCAGCTTTGGTATCTCAATACCCCAATGAAAGAAAAGAAGGTATTAAGCGTGTTATCAAGGCTATGACCGTTGGCAAAGACGTTAGTGCCTTGTTCCCTGATGTTTTGAAAAATATTGCCACCAGAGACTTGGAGCAAAAGAAGTTGGTCTATCTATATCTAATGAATTATGCTAAAACAAACCCAGAATTATGTATCTTAGCTGTCAACACTTTTGTTCAAGACACTGAGGACCCAAATCCTTTGGTAAGAGCTCTTGCCATCAGGACGATGGGTTGTATCAGGGTTAACAAAATGGTCGATTATATGCACATACCATTGAAAAGAACGCTTAGTGATGATAACCCGTATGTTCGTAAAACTGCAGCAGTTTGTGTGGCCAAGCTCTTTGATTTAAACAAGGAAATGTGCATTGAACAAGGATTCTTGGATCATTTGAAAAGATTGATCGATGACTCTAACCCTGCGGTGGTGTCCAATGCCATAAATGCTTTGAGTGAAATTAATCAAATGGATCCAACCCAGGATGCTTTAAAAATCGATGGCGCATTATTGAAGAAGATTCTTATGGCACTTAATGAATGTACCGAATGGGGTAGGATTACTATTCTTACTGCGTTAGCTGACTATCATTCAACTTCAAGCATCGAAGCTTCTCACATCATTGAAAGAGTTGTTCCCCAATTGCAGCACGCAAATCCTTCGGTAGTTCTCACTTCCATTAAGACTATTTTGAGCCATATTGATAAATTGGATGGTGCCCAGTATAATGTGACTATCAAGAAGTTGTCAGCTCCTTTGATTTCTTTGATTTCCAGCTCACCAGAGATTCAGTTCATTAGTTTGAGAAATATTAGAATTATTTTGGAAAAATACCCTGATTTGTTGTCCAAAGAATTGAGAATTTTCTACATTAAATACAACGATCCGTTATACTTGAAGTTGGAAAAAGTTGAAATAATGGTCAGATTAGCCAACATGCAAAACTATAAGATCTTACTTAATGAATTGAAGGAATATTCTATGGAAATTGATTATGAATTTGTTAAAAGATCAGTCATAGCTATCGGCCAAGTTGCCATCAAATTAGGAGAGACCGCAACGGCGAAGGCAATTGAAATATTAATAGAACTAATCAATACCAGAAGTGAATATGTTTTGAATGAGGTTTTCATGGTTTTGAAGGATATTTTGAGAAAATTCCCAAATAATAGCAGATTCTTGGGTCTTATAATTCCTGTCATAGTTTCAAATTACCAACAGTTGGATGACTCAAATGCCATTGCAAGCTTCATTTGGCTTCTTGGTGAATATCCAAAGAATTTTGGAGTTGATTTGGATTCTATTTTGCCTAATTACTATCAAAATGATAATTTAGACAACTACTTCAACAATGATGATGATTACACCATACAATTACAATTATTAATTACTATTGTCAGAATTAACATCATTAAACAATCTTCACTGAGCCAAAACTTTTTACAAAAAACTTTGACAATATGTACCGAAAAATCCGATAACCCAGATATCAGAGATCGAGCCTTCATTTATTGGAGATTGTTGTCAAGTAATAACACAACAGTCATTAACAATATTGTTCAAAAACCCTTGCCAATAATTGATTCTACCATTCCAAAGATTCCTCAATATAAGGTTGATGAGCTAGTCTCCGAATTAGGTACCTTAAGTTCTATTTATCACGAACCAGCCTCAGAATTCATGGACAACTACCACAAATTTCATGTCTCTAGAACCGGAAATAATATTGCCAGTAAGAACATAGATGAATTACAGCAGATTGCCAAGAATGAAATTGTTAACAAAGCGGTCAAGTCGGAAACATTATTAGACTTTGATGATGAACCAGAATACGAAGACGTAAACACCACATCTGCTAATTCTGAAACAAATACTTCCTCTACTACTGCAAGTGCAAATGTTTTGAATGAATTGAATGACTTGTTTAACTTTAATGCCTCTCCAGTGGCGTCACAAAGACAGGTATCGAGTGATGGCAAATCAAATGACGATATAATGGGTCTTTTCAGCACCGGGACTGCTGGTGTTGCCAATGGTTTGCAAAATTTGAACTTAAATAGTCAAAGCTCACTTAATAATAGTGTCTCAACTCAAAGCCAACCCCAGCCCGGCTCTCAAAAACCAAGTGATGATTTATTGAATTTGTTTTAATAGTGGGATACAGATATAGAGATTGTTTGTTCAAGCGTTCTTTTTTTTTTTTTTTTTTCTTTTGTTATTTAGTCAACTCTTAACCCATAAGATGATGAGAATTCTAAAATAATTTTATATTGTTCTACTTGTGTACTTAATAAAAATGTAAATAAAGGATAGGGAAATTTATAAAACTTTAACAAAAAGCAGAGAAAGATAGCAAAAAAAACAAACAATTAAACAATAAAAAGCACATCAATAACGATTATTCGTCATCTATTCTCAAATAATCAGATTTGTTAGTGAATTTTGAGAACAAAATAACTGCCCAGGACACCACCAAACAGACACAAATTACCACTAGGAACCCGGTACTAAATTTACCTAAACTGTACTCTGAGTTCAAATTTGGGAACTGAATAACATTTCCTTCTCCAGTGGTAGCATTTTTATAGTTTCCAAACAAATAATTAAGCACAGATCTTGAACTGTATGAATGATCGTAAGGAACCATGTGGGATGAATTGTAAATCTCCATGAGGGTCAAGTTTCTTTCAGATTTTACTTGCCCAAAGTTCTCGCCATTGAGCATCATACTGAAATATTTAGTTGAAGAGGACCAGCCAGTTTGGTTACCCCATTTTAAGGAATCAGTGATATTTTCAACCCCAAGATGATTACAAATAATGTCGTTACCACCGTTAAACAAAACAATAGGGATTTTATCAAGCAAGCTTTCTAAGAAGAAATAAGATGGTGTAGTATTAAAGTTGACAAGAGAACTAGAGACATTGCCATCACATTCACTCCAAGAAGTCTCTGATTCAATATTCAAGTGCTGAAGCACCGTATCGTTTTGAAGCCACAGGGTCACCTGTGGCAAATCGAATGGCCACTCCATTCCACATGAAGGATAAGGAGATTGTAGAGTATAATCGTACATGTTGTGACATGTGTATGAATCATTTGATGATTGTCTGGTGACATTTAAAAGTTGATCAAGAATTTCATCTGTACAAATCGGATGCGAAAACGTGAAAACAGTTTCATTGGATGGTTTCCGAAGAACTGATTCACAAGCCAAATGTGGCTTATAGACTGTATTCAATTGAGTACTATCTGAAGAATTAAGGAGACCCTTACTTAAAGCAAACGGAATATAGGACAATGCCTGCACATCTGGATAAATGTAACCATTCCCTATGAGTAAACCTTGCAAGTTGACAGACTTATTTGATATAAGTATTTCTGGGATTTTGAGATCAATATCTTCGTTTGTCAGTGGCTGTATCTTTAAATCATTGACCATATAGTTCATTTCCATAACTTTGGCCAAATGTGCATTATTTTCAAGAATTCCGTGGGCAAAATAAGGAATATATTGGCCAGCATAACTTTCGCCAGCTAAGTAAATTTCCTTATCTGAATAGTAATCAAATATTTCCACAAAATTACTGTAGAAATTCCAGAAATCGGAAGTAGCCTGATTCAAATCAGCTGCATAGGTCCCGTTAGTGGTTGACAAGCCTGTGCCCTTTGGCTGATCAATAAATAGTAAGTCTGCATCATGAAGCCATGTTCCTTCATTGTACTCCAATTGGCCATCTGGAAGAACCCTGAATGGCCCTACTTCCATAAGTGCACCATCCATTGATGAGCAACCAGGACCACCATTAAGCCAAATAACAAGCTTGTCATGCTTTACAGCTCTCAGCTGGAATAACCAAAAGAAAATCTTCGAAGAGTCTTCAGTACTAATATCTAATTGACCTGCATACATGGTTGGTTGGTTCTCGTTTGATATGCCATCGATCCCAGGTAAAGTATCCACCCGATACTTATCTGCTGCCTGTGAGTTTATAGTATAGAAGCTTGGTGACCCAAGTGCCCCAATTGATAAAAGAAATAGTATTTGTAATATAAGCATATTCGGCACAGTTATTTCTAGCCAATGTCTTATCTATAACTGGCTACAAAAAAAAAACTCAAAAGGAATCTACTCTATACTATCTGAGGGTTTATTACAATGCTAAATTTCTGTTTCAAATCTTACACGTGACTGTCTGACCAAACTCTCCCGGAAAAACCCCGTTGAGGCCCTCCGCCGCGGCCATCTCCGCAAGCAACCGGCGTGGTTCGGCGAGAGGCTCCAATCCAAGGGCAAACGTCCCATAATGAACTCCCATCGTCTTCTTAGCATTAAAAAAAGATGCCACCTTCACAACTTCTGTAGGTGACATGTGGTGATGGTTGGTGACTTTACTGGTAGTGTACTGTCCAATTGGTGCAAGTATTAGAGAAATCGGTTGGTTCGCACAATACTGTGATTTGATGGACTCAAAGAGATCCTGTTGATATCCAGTATCTCCCATGTGGTACAATACTGGTTTTTGATCTTTGAAAAGTATAAAGGAGCACCACAAGGAATTATTAAAGTCTATAAACCAGTTGCCCAGCCAATGCTTTGCAGGACAACAGGCAACTTCCCAATGCTCATCAAGACGTTGTCGCTGCCACCAAGACATCTCAATGATTTTAGAAGATTCCACGCCATTTGACTTTAGTTGCAGTCCCACTCCATCTGGCACTACCCAGAGTGTGTTTTTCTTGGTGCTTAGTTTCTTTATACTGTCAGGTTCTAGATGATCTGGGTGATTATGACTGACAAGGACAATATCGGGTGTTGGAAGATCTTCAATTTGAGCAGGTGATGGAGTAAGTCTCTTTGGACCAAACCTCTTATTAATAATATGATCATTGAAAACGGGATCTGTCAAAATATTTTTGTCCGAAATTTGAATGTAAGCAGAAGACTGACCAAGCCATGTAAACACCAAACGTGAGCTCAAGGGAGGGATACTATGGTATCTATTTGCAACCATCTCGTCACTGTCCTCAGGATTTATATCATTCTTTATTTTCGAGTTATTGAACATTAAAAAGAAGTCCGGCTTGTATATAGGCATGTGAAGTCTCCAAGCCGTACTGTTTTCCACATTCACAATATTCTTGACGCTAAAAAGTTTGCGAACTTGATTATATGCGAAATGAAATAGTGTTTCATGCTCATATTCATAAAATGGGTTCTGGTACCTTCCTAATACTACTAATGGACCGAATCTTGCCACACCATCTTTATCCTGATGGTACTTCTTGGTACGCTTTTCTATTTCTGAGTTAGTCTTGTATACGACAATAGCAGCATAAATCAGATAGGATGAGATTAATCCAAGAGCTATTTTGCTCTTCAATGAGAGGCGCTCGAGAAACATTCAATGGGATGTATCTGTTTCTGAATTATACTTCAACTGCAATTTATTAGTAAATATGTCACTACGGGATTTTTCTATTTTTTTCGTATACAAAAAAAAAATTACTTTTTTCACACAAATCCAATTGGGTGAGTATTCTACATCCCTTTTCTTCTCTTGAAAACGTCTGATTGAGCGGATATGAACGTATATTGCTACTAATAATAATAGCAATTCATTGCTATTTAGTGTTCATAATATCCCTTAAAATGATCCCAAGCTGACAGGTAGTTGTAGTGAAGTAATTATATCAGGCTTATACTTTAAATTATCCATAGACCAATGCAAAGGGCGCAGATAAGCAATAGCTACTGGAATAAACACTAATTACTCATTTCATTCCTCCCCAAATGTGAGGACCTTTTAAAGTAATGAAATTTGCAGTTGTTTTCTTTTGGGAATAATTATTCCCATCTGAAAAAAAAAAAAGCTCTCGCCGGAATGTATCAAACACAGATTAAATTCAATTTGTATAAGTGACAAGCACTGATTGAGTTCTGTTTTCTCTTTTTGCTCCTTCACCACCTCTCAGGGTGGCATTACTTTAAAGTAGTAAGAAAAATAAGCGATTAAGGTGAAACCCCAAGAGAAACCTCTATAATGTTCAAGTGCATTGAGATGTTATTGCATATTTGCGTTTCTTAGGAAAAACTACACAGCCTAAGATTACCTACAATAAAGAAGGGAATGTGGTCCATAACTATTATAATAGTTGATAATCATAGTTGCTATACTTTCCACAGGCCAAGTAAACTATAATTATTATGTTATACTTTTATTTTATACCACCAAAGAGAAAAAAGCAGTCAAACTCCGCAGCAACCAATTTTTTGACTGTTTCTTTTTTCCTGGCCATTATCAGTATCAATAACTATCACAAACCTTTCGGTTAACTGGGACTTTTTTGGATTCCATACAATATTATTGTGATTTATACTATATATTATAGTATACGAGATATACATATCTCATATAAAGCTTTTCGGAAACTGCTCATAGCTGTTGTAATTCTGACATATGATTTGACCTTCATCCAAATGTTTTCTCGTCATCACCATAATGATCTTATCCTATTCGATGTCCGTTTGAAATCAACATTCAAGGATATGATTCTCCTAAAGGGCTCAGAAGTGGATTCCCCGGCATATCTTGTGGAAGGATCAGTGGTTTTCTCGTTGGCCGCCCCGATTCCTGTAAAGAAAGTGACCCTTCGGCTCACAGGAACCTTCAAACTTGAATTCTTTGAAGTCATCAAGGAAAATGGATCTCAGCATTCAATTCCGGTGAAAGAAGAAAAGGCATTATTTCATTGCTATTGGGAAAACTTGTTGGTTGATTCGCAGGGAGAAATCAAGATCCTTGATGGGCAACAAGTTCATGGTGCAACTAATCAACAAGATAATGCCACTGATAATATCAATGCTGAAGATGATAATAACAATAGTGTTCCTGAAGTTGATTTAGAGAATTCAACTTATATTTCTGATTTGAACCTATCAGATTCTGGCCCTGAATCGCACAAAATGGCAAGTATTCGCAAAAATAAGTCGTCAAGTGCTTTGAACTTGGGTTTCAAAACTAAGACTTTCATGAAGTATTCACACTCAAGTTCAAACTTGATCACCCTTTCAGACTCTTCGAATGTCTTTGGAACTCCATTTCATGAACTTAGCAAACTTAACGATGAAGCATTAGAAGGTAAGACTTTTATGTTGCCAGCGGGAAACTATGATTTACCATTCAAGATAATCATCCCGGGAACTATAAGCGAAACGGTAGAAGGGCTAAAGGGTGGATCTATTCTATATAAATTCCAAGCCACTCTACAAAAGGGAAATACAAATCATACCTATCAGCCAAACTTGAAGTTCTACAAGTCTTCTGGTCATACTGGTAGTAACAAGATTACAAAAAATAGATATGTCAGGGTTTTCAGAACGTTACCACCAGAAACATTACTAGTACCAGAATCATTATCAATAAGCAATATATGGCCCTCCAAGGTTCAGTATGCCATGAGCATTTTGTCAAAGCACGTCTCCATTGGTTCCAAGTTTGCCATCGATATCAAACTTATCCCATTGATGAAATATTTACGACTAGGAAAAATAAGCTTGAGCGTTATTGAATATTATGCCTATAAAGGAAAAGGCAACGAAATTTATGATGATAACCATAGAGTGGTGCACAAGATTATCGAACCGAGTATTGATGATGATTTGTACAAACTACACACGGACCAAATTGATGACGCTGGAGATATGGAAAATCAAGAAGCTGAAAGTGCTACAACAAATGTTGCAAAAATGGCTTCTAGTGATGATGAAGTAGATACCATAATTAAAATTAATCAAGACAGTTGGCAGGTGAAAACATTTCTCCAAATACCATCGAAATTGAAAGATGTAACTCAAGATTGCGATTTGAAGAATGATCTCATCAAGGTTCGTCATAAACTTAAGCTAAAAGTCAGTCTAATGAACCCTGACTCACACGTTAGTGAGCTTCGAGCAAATCTACCTATTGTGCTATTTATAAACCCCAATGTCAATGTTTATGGTAGATACGTGGCAATGGATAACACTGGGAAAACTCATTTCCGTTCCCTTGAGGATTCTTTATTTACTATGGGTCCTTCATCAGACTCTGAGGGTGCCAGACCGACAAGTCCTGGGATCATTGGTGATAATGCTCTAGGTGGGCTAAACCAAAATGATCCATATTCCGAAAATTCCATGCTTAGGAATAACAATGGCCATTTGTTTCTAAATGAGCTTTCTGTTCCACCAGACTATCAGCATCATGTCTACGATAGGAAATTTGATCCTAATAAGCCAGCCTTTCCAGAAGATTCTTTACAGCTGACAAATGGTCAAAGTGATGATGATTTGAGATTTTCTACGGAAAGACAGAGGGAGGATGCGTCAGATTCAACTAGTACACCAGTACCTGGAACTCATACAGACCCGTCTCCCTCAACAGGGGGTTTGACGCCTTCATCATCCAGCACTCACCCATTGATTCGAAAAGTTTCCATAGAACAACTTTCAAAGGTACCTAGTTATCATGAAGCAATAGAGGGGTTTAATTCCCTGTTCAACAATTTCCAGTTAGCCCCATTGTACGAATCAGAGAGAGCAGCCGGCGCGGAGCACAGTAACCCACATGGAAGTAGACCTGGCCAGTAAAACGAAACAATCAATAATTCCGGATTATATGCTGCACGAAATTTTTATAAACTATATTTGTCTTACATTTTTTTTTTTCTCTAGTTCAAGGGTAAAGGTATCATATTCGTTTCATTTCTTTTCATTTCATTTCATCTCATTTATTATTATTATTATTATTATCATCGTCATTATTTCCTACTAAACAAACAGAGAATTATAATTTGCGATTTTCTGATTATATTATACAAAATGTCACATCGAATTTTATCTACTCAAAATGAGGTGAAAAAAAATATTGAGATATACTACAATAACAATTCGAGCATGTCATCAAGGTTGTGAAATTAGGAAATTCGAAAACGATGGTGCGATTCTAATTTATTATTGATAGCCACGTTTTTAGGTGGTTTTTTTTTTTTTTTACTATTGCCATGTTGGGAGGTCATCTCTGCGGGTAATGTCGGTTTCCTGCTTGACATGAAAATCTCCTATGTTTCTTTGAATGGGTCACCTACTCCTCGATTTTTTTAATTATTTGGTTATTTAATAACTAATTTTCCACATTGGTACTCAAGAAAATTGCAGACTTCTCCGTAAATCATGCCATTTAAGGACTCGCTGGAAAATCCATTTGTCAAAAGACTTTTGGAGATCCAAACTAGCGAAGAGACCTACCCGAGCAAATGGGACAAATTGATTAGATACGGAAAATTATTGGTGACCCAGAGATTGAATGGTTTCACAAATTTCGAAAAGCTCATTCTCAAAGAACCCAAAGATTGCTCTATTGTTAGTAGATATTCCCAAGTTGAAAGGTTTGAAATAACCAGAAGGTCCACAGGCTTGACGATTGACGAAATATACCTAAATGTTTTGAGGATTCCTCATCCTATGCGGCGATTTATCGAAAAATCAAAAAATATCGATATTTCCGAAAACTGCAAGAACTTGAACTTTGAAAATCTTGAGGAAAAGGCAGACTATTTGAGAAACATTGAAGATAACTTGTCAAAGCTCCCGGTGATTGTGTTAATCCACGGACTTGGCGGTCAGACATCACAATTCGAAGAGCTATTGATGCTATTATCTCAAAGTTGTGACTGTTTCGCCGTTGATTTACCGGGGTTTGGGCATTCTAGATTTACTGATGAGGTTGGGAATTCTATGATCAAACATAGCAAAGAAGATGCAAAAAATTTGAAACAGTCGATGCTGAAGATGACATGGGAAGATTTTCAGACAGATAGAATCGTGGAAATCTTGGAAAATGTTGTAATGAATGACAAAAAACTTCAAAATAGAAAGCTCGTGTTGATTGGTCATTCTATGGGTACCCATATTGTTTTGAAACTTAGTCGCCTGTTGAACCTGTTGACCACAGAAAAGAAGGTAGAGTCCATAGTATTGTTGTCACCGCCAGATATCAGCAATACATTGGGTATTCCTAAGTCTTTATTCTCTACATCAAACTTCTTAATCAGGATATTCATCTATTTTCCGTTCATTTTGAATTTATTGCGGGTGTATGACCGACTAGGAGGACTTTATTCTGGCTCAGTGCTACGAATGGTTGGTAGTCAAGCTTCGATTTACACTAAGGTTAAGCAGATTAGATGGAATTTAGATAGCGATAGTAAGGCTTGGCTAAGATATGTCGAAGGATTTCAAAGAGTCGGGAAATCGCAATTTATCGCCAGCATGTCGAGTTTTAAGAATGATGACGATAAACTGAAAGTGCTAATTCTTTGCGGTGAAGAGGATCAAGCAACCCCCATTAATAAAGGTTTGAGACATATGAAAGAAATCGCAGATAATATTAAAGTCCCAGTGGAAACAGTGGCGATTCACAATTGTGGGCATTCGATAGTATTGGAGAAACCTGAATTTGTTAGTGGAATGATTCTTAAGTTTCTTATGAATAATATAGATGCGAAGTTGGACCCATCATTTGTGTTAACTTTGAAAGCAATCATCAATGGGGATAAATGGGGACTTAAGAATTTGGATAAATGGAAGTCAATTCAGAATGTCAGCGATATAATTATCAACGCCAATACTAATAATATCTCGCCATTGTTAGCAATGAAAACTTTGAGAAATAATGACCCGGCACATTCGCCAGAAATTTTAGAGAACACTAGACCAGATATTATAGGGATCATTGATATTTCAGCGACAGGCACCAGTAATTCTTACGATCCAAAGGCTTTCAAAAGAATCAAGTACCATAAATTGGCAACAATTTCGAAAATTCCTCCCGATACCAGATTAATCAGACTGTTCAACGACTTGGTGACTAGCATTTTAAAGGAGTACTACCATGGGAACTCTGGCAACAATGTGATTCTGAAGGATGGGCCATTTATTGCAGTGCATTGTCACTATGGTTTCAACCGTACAGGTTATTTGCTCTGCAGCTATCTTATTGAACACTTGGAATGGACGGTAAAAGATGCTTTGGAAGCCTTTACCACTGCCAGACCACCGGGAATTCGTCATCCTCACTTTATTGATAGTTTGTATCTTACTTATGAAGATTAGGATAGAATAATGTATTTGTAATTGGTGTGCTTTATGTAATGTATACTCAAACAAACCACCTGGATGGTACTGCTCTTAATAAGCGCATACGCCACAATAATCGTGCCATAATAAATTTCCCGCGGGCGTATAAAAACTCCGCCGTGCCCTGCTCATCTCATCCCATCGCCCTTGTTATACATGTTTACATAAATAAACACCGTACTGTTACACAAAGTCTCTACTAAATATGTCCTTATCAAAACAATTGTTATCTCAAAGAACCCGCCCTTCATGTTACTTATTCCTTCTCTACATCACTGGTGCCATGACCTTGCCATTTGTCTTTACCGCCTACAAGACGCCATTTGATCAAAGCTCCAAAGGGGTCTACGCCCATGAACACTACTGGAGAATCCAGAGACAATAAAATAAACAAATCAAAACAATAATAATGATCAACAGAATCCTATCAACCAACAACTAGGCGCTGTTATCTGCGGATTCCATACAATTGGCTCACATACACGTCGTACGTTTAAGTGCTGCTGTTGATCTAGCTTTTTTGGGTTTGATCCCATTAGCTCCAAGTCCATATTCCATATTCCACCTTATAAACGCAATCAGACAACATACAGCTGTTGATGTTCTAGATATAATCTTTCCTTTTCTCTTTCTACTTTCTACTTCAACTTTCTCTGGGCAATTATAATTGATAAATTGGGTTTCTTTCTGGTAATAACATAATTTTAATAAAGGTTTTTTTCAACAAAATATTTGTTTATTGTTAATGTAGGCTTTCCACCAGTTCACTTACTCTATATTGATTAACGTACTCGCCCTATTGGGCGTTGGTTAACCAATTGGCATTCAGTATGAATTGAGGTACAGCGGTATAAAAATTGGATCCATGAGTATATTATCGACATATATAATGTATATTCTTGCATTTAAAGGCATCAGCCTAAATGAAAGAATAAATCAGTTAAATTCTGACAATAAGATCTATGAGCAGGGGTTAGTAAACACTTAGCTTTGTGAGAAGAGCTGAGAAAACTAAACCATTCTTGTTTAAACCAAGAATTATTTCCTTCTCAAGATAACAATTGAAACAAATTCGGTACCATTCTCATGAGACAAATCACATCAAGTCCCAACAGTAAAATAATATTTCTGAAGGGTCAGTGGATTGACAGAGTTTTTAATCATAGAAAACCTTCATCGTGACAATCTTTCATCAACATTTCAACATACCCTTTACTATCATCATGATAACAAATTATCCGTTTTTGCTTCTTTAGAGCTTCACAAAAAAAAGCGTTTCAAGGTTAGTGAAAAAAATTTTCGCTGCCGGAAGATTTAAATACAGCCAGAGTGCGCGAAGCACTTACATTCTATGCGAGTCTCACATGGGAGTGTGAAAGACCCGCGTACCACCTCTTTCAATTGATCAAAATATTCCAAACTGTCTTCTATTGTAGTTTACAAAGCTTACCAAGCTTTATCAAATAATCAATTAAAGAAAACTAAATGAGCCGTCAGCCATCTATTATGGGTTTCTTTAAAAAACCTCAATCTGCAATCTCCTCCCCCATGAAAGTTGCAGATTCTGAGAAAAATCAAGAACATCAGTTGAAAGAAACTACTAAGATGGAACATTTCAAATTCACCAAATCTCAAGATACTCTTACAAATTATCGAAATTCTTCCGAAAAGCAATTGGTCCATGAAAAATTCAAAGAGAAACTAAAGCATCACAATACCAATGGTGTAAAAAGGAAAATATTAACAGAGGCCGCCATTGAAAACCAAGTGTTGCAGCCGAAGAAGAAATTAGCAAAGGCTAAGAAATTGACACCTTTAGAAACTCAAATTGTCGATCTAAAGCAGAAAAATATGGATAAGATCCTTGCCATCAACGTGGGCTATAAATACAAATTTTTTGGCCCAGATGCTAGAAAAGTTGCTGCAATTCTCAATATCATGGTTATTCCAGGTAAAGAATCAATTGATGGATCAAATCCCAATGACAAATTGTACGATAAATTAGCCTATTGCTCAATTCCTGATACCAGACTCCACATTCATTTGAAGAAATTGATTTCTCAAGGTTTGAAAGTAGGAGTTGTAGAGCAGACAGAAACTGCAGCAGTCAAATCGTTAAGTAGTGGCAAAAATTCATTATTTGAACGAAAATTAACAAATGTTTACACCAGTGCGACATATATTGAAGATGAAATGGAGGATGGAGTGTTTGGTACGAAAGGTGGTGATTGTGTTGTGGCGATAATGGAAGATAAAATCCCAGATTCCCATGGGTTATTGCAGATGTCCGTTGTGTCGGTGAACCCAGTTAACGGAGAAATTCTACATGATCATTTCCAAGATGATTTTTCAAGAAATGAGTTAGAGACTAGGTTATATCACCTCCAACCAAGTGAATATGTAGTTATGGATAATCTTTCTTCACGAACTCTTGATAAAATCAAGTTTTTTCAGAAGCTAAAACATAAGATTAGAATTAATCAGGTTATTTCATCGTTTGATTCCACTTTGACTACATATAATCACATTAATGATTTGACCGATTATTTCAAAGACATTCCTAATGATTCGAAGGCCGAATTGATTGATTTTGCCACCGCGTTGCCAGACCACACTCAATCGTGTTGTTGGTTATTGATCCAGTTTCTCAAGGAGTTTAATCTTGATGGGGTCTTCAAAGTCAAAATAAATTACAACCCATTTCAAGACTCAGTAGCGATGTTACTTAACTCCAATACCTTGGAATCTTTAGAGATTTTTCAGAATTCTACTAATGGCTCAGAAAGAGGCTCATTACTTGAACTATTAGACCACACGAAGACCGTTTTTGGCTATAGATTGTTAAAGCATTGGATAAGTAAACCTTTAATCAATAGAGAGATGATCGAAGAAAGATTGCAAGCCATTAGTGATATCAAAGCTAATTTTAGCAAAGGCGATTTATTCATGGAAAGTTTGAGCAATTTGCTCAGCGATTTACCAGATTTAGAAAAATATTTAAATAGATTGCATTACAAAAAATCCAATCGTAAAGAAATCTATTTGTTCTTGAAAAATATGGATAAAATCGTTGGAATACTACTGAACCCTATTGGCATTACCCAGATCAAATCACCATTACTCTTGAAATGTTTAACCAATTCTTGTCGAATTGTTAAAGAAAATTCTAAAATGGTGAAGGAGTTTCTTGAAGTGATTGATATTCAGGCAGCAATGAATTACAAAGAAAAGGATATCCAAATAGCCAAGTTCTTCAATAAAAAATTCGGTGATTACGGTGAAATTGAAACTGTGAGAAGCAAGATTCAGGAGATCGAAATTTCTTTAACAGAAGAATTGGTGAAAATTAGAGGGCTATTAGGTAAATCCTATTTGGAATACAAATCTGTCGCCAAAGAAGAATACCTCATTGAGATTGGCAGGAACTCGCTCAAAAAAATCCCGAAGGATTGGATTAAAATTAACGATACTAAGTCGGTGGTCAGATTCAGGTCACCAGAAGTTATCCAACTATTAAAACAACTCAATTTTCAAAGGGCTAAAGAGGTTGAAGTTTGTGAAAGTTTATTCATTCGTTTCTTGGGGAAAATTGATGGTTACTATTCAGAATTCCATTCAGTTATCAAGAATCTTGCAATCTTTGATTGTTTGTTCTCTTTGACTGCCGCTTCTTTTAGTGCTTATTCATATGTTCGTCCAAGCTTTGTTGATCAACAAATCATTAGTGTGAAAAATGGCAGACATCCAATCATAGAATCTTTAGTGAATAACTATATCGCCAATGATATTAATATGCGAGACTATAGATCCCGATCATTGGTCTTGACCGGTCCAAATATGGGGGGTAAATCATCTTATGTTAGGCAAATCGCTCTCATCGTCATTATGGCCCAGATTGGTGCTTACGTCCCTGCTGATCTGGCAGTCTTGAGCATTTTTGATGGTGTATTTACGAGAATGGGTTTCAATGATAATATTTTGAAAGGAGAATCGACATTCATGGTGGAAATGAGAGAATGCTTTAATATTCTCCAGCGCGTGACCAGCAAATCTTTGGTAATTCTTGATGAGGTTGGAAGAGGTACGGGAACCACTGATGGGATTTCAATAGCTTACAGTATTTTGGATTATTTGACAAATAATGAAGATAACAAGCTTCCATTCGTATTATTCATAACACATTATACTGAATTATGTGAGATTGAGAAGCAATACCCCAAACTAATCAAGAATGTCCACATGGATTACACAGAGTTCAAAGAAAATGAAGAGGACAATTTGGGAAATGTGGTGTTTTTGTACAAAGTAACTGATGGCTTTGCTAAAAACTCTTATGGTTTGAACGTTGCCAAACTTTGTTCGATTCCTGAACTGATTGTGAATCAAGCTTATGAAATTTCCAGATCGACAGAATCAAAAGTAAAAAAGAATAGAAACATTCACTGGGGTCTAAAATTTAGAGATTTGGTAAAAGATTCAATTTCTTGTGAGAGTACAGCAACCTACGGCTTCAAAGATAAAATACTGCAGCTCATGGATGAAGAAAATTACCTATGATATTTATCGTGACTCTGTTGATGATAATATGATGAAGGATTAACGAAAAAAATAAGAGCTCCAAATATTTTGCTGTTGGAATATCATTTTCTAGACTGAGAATATCTTTCAATGGTGTATATATGATGGTCTAAGAAGTCAGGATCAATAATGTGAAGGAGTAAAGACAGCATAGTGCATTTTTAGATACCAGAAGATATTTAGATGCCAAGTAAGCTTTCATTGATTTCCAACAGATGAACTCTACTACATGCATTGATTACTATGTACCACTATGTAACTCCCTATAATTGTCGATATCAAATATAAGGTTGTTGAATCTGCTGGATTGGCCAGAATTAATAAAAAAAAAAAAAAAAACAGCCTCAAATGGGTGGGGTAGCCTATCAAATTTGTGTATTTCTTTACATTCGAGATTATTTCCTAGAAAAACATTGGAAATGTCTCTATTTTATAATTCTAAAATAGTGCTCGGTTCAGTTCTTCACTAGGCTATAAGATTATTGATAGTTTCACAAGAAAAGCAGGCTATTATCACAAACTTGGTGACAGAAAATATACATTTTTTAGTCTCATGATAACGAAATATACCCCAGAAATATAATACATGTATTGAAGAAAATTTCTAATAGACACAACTAAACCAAATGAGGTGGAAGCAAAAAGTTTGGAATTGAGCTCTTGATGTAGTAAATATGACCGCATTCACCACAATGCATTTCACCTTCGGTTATCTGGGTCTCGATCAATAAAGTATGCAAGTCTTTCAACAATTGTTCGTTTTCAGGATCTTTTGGATCAACATTTTCTGGCTTAGTTGGCGGAAGTGAATCATTTCCCAAATCACCGGCAACAGCAATGATGGCTTCCCAATTAAGTCTATCAAGAATGTTGGCAAGAAATTCTGGGTTGAATTCAAGCTCTTCTTGTATAAGCTCACAGTTCTTATATTGTAATGGGAAGGCCTTGAGTGAGTTATCGCACTTCAGAATTGGGCATCTGACAAAGTTTGTAGTAAGAAACTTCATTCTTGTATATCTTTGGTCAATATTGTTGTAATCAATGATTGTTGGAGTATGATAGAACAATTCTTTAAGTAAAAAAAAAAAATTAAAATTTTCCAGCGATGACGGGGTGTTGCACCCCGCTGATCTAATGAAATTGTGTCATGTGCCGGAAAGGCAAAGTTTTAGGATCAACCGCTACGGATTTCCTCATTGGATCAATCCGTTGTTGACATTTCAGGGAATAAAAAAAAAAATGGCTACGATAGTAGATCAAATATACCGACCGTTGTACCACCCCAAAACGGCCAAGACAAGAAAAAAAAAAGTTATTACGAGGTGGCATCTACAACGGCAATTAACCCTAGATTTATTGCTATTGTTATTACTCTTTCTTAGACGAGCTATTGTGCTATCAGCTTGCCGGATCGTTGCTTACCGCTATCTAATAAAGTCCTCGATCAATCATGGCACCTAAATTCAAACTTCTGAAATCATTCTATGGCGCGACCCAGACTGCCCCAGACTTCTCCCAGCCCACGCTTGTGGCGGACGGCAATGATGATGAGGCTTACCAGACCCCATTTGCAAAACAATACCATCAAGATGAAGACTATTTTCCTTCAGATAGTGTAAATGTGTCACAGGAAACTCCGATCGACCAAGAAACTGTGCCTTCTCTTCCTGGAACACTGACGAGCCCACAGAAACCCAAGGTTCCTACTTTGGATCCCCTTAGTAGAGATGGGCTCCGTGAAACCCTGGGTAGCAAGACTGATTTCAAAGATGAAGCCAAGGATGAACCAACCCCTTTGCCTTCACCAAAAAAACCAACCTCACAGGGTGATACGTTGTTGTATCAAAAACATCGTAGGAACCAATCATCTATAAGTTTGATGAAGACTTATTCCAATGTTCCTGATTACCAAATTGGAGAATATAAACAATCGTCCGCACTACGAGGCAAACCACAGTATCATGTTAAGATTGTGGTGGTGGGTGATGGAGGTTGTGGTAAAACATGTCTTTTAGTATCATATTCCCAAGGTGAGTTTCCAACAGTCTACGTGCCAACAGTATTTGAGAATTATGTGGCACATGTGAAGACCCCTGAACAGGATACAGTCGAATTAGCACTCTGGGACACGGCTGGGCAAGAAGAATTCGATAGATTAAGACCACTATCATATCCAGATGCCGATGTATTTTTAATATGTTACTCTATGGATAGCCCTGTTTCCTTGAATAATGTCAAACAGAGCTGGTATCCTGAAGTGCAGCATTTTTGTCCAGGAGTGCCAACGATTCTTGTTGGATTGAAGTCTGATCTATACCAAGAAAAATCCACAGCTACAAAGATTGATCGAAAAATGACAAAACAGGTTGCCAAAGAGATTAATGCAGTAGCCCATATAGAATGCTCCTCAAAAACCATGTTCAATGTCAAAACAGTGTTTAATGTTGCGTTGGAAACGGTATTAAAGAAACTCAAACAACAACGAGTTTCTGAGAAGAGATCCTCTGTTATTGGTAAAATTAGCAGCTCCGCTAACAAGAAGTCTGCAATGACTTCCAAGAAGCTGGAGCCAATTTTACAATATGGTGCTTCTGCGTACTACGACAATCAGAATGAGCCGGTGAAGACTAGAAAACGGAAATGCGTAATTTTATAAAAAAAAAAAAAAAAAAAAAACATTGGATTTCTTTCATTTTACCCATTTTTTCTTTTTTTTCATTCATTTTTTTTTCTTCTGTTTTGTTTTTTTTTAACTTTCTTGCTCAATTAATATTTCTTCTATTTTTGCTTTTGTTATGTTGCTACGATCTCTATTCAAAACGTATTATTATTTCTACTTTTCTAATATTATTTATTTATTTCTAACTTCATTTTTTAGGCTTTTTCTGCTCCAGTTAGGTTATTTGGTACTTAAATTATACATTCTTACTATATCACTCTCTTATCATTAGCTATTCATAATTATTTCCTTTGTTGTTCCGATCTTACAGTTTTAATATTTTCTTTGTTTTTGAGCATCATTTGAAGGTATATATATTATTCACATTCTTTTCTACTTTTAGGCTCTCCCAGTGGTATACAGCGTTGCTAATTAAATTTAAGGTCAATTTTAATAGGCTCATCAACACAAAGTTGGTTTGGTTTGTAGAACTACGGAAATTTTGTCTTCGAAATGCAATGCTCCATTTGTCATTCTGTGCTATATTGTATGCAATGCCTGTAAGAACATCAAACACGGGAATCCAGACCAGATTAACAATCATTGTATATGGTAAAATATTTACAGGATTCCAGAAATTGATATGTTGAATGTTTTATTATTTTGATTTTTATTATCCCCCCAGAATTCTGATGTCACTACTTTGAAAATACTTAGTATTTGAGAAATAGTGACAAAACCCTTCAACATAGACCTCCATCTCAGTTCATGAAGCTCCTAGTGATGGGTAATTCACTAGCGACTTCATATCATATTTTCACATTGCACCTTTTTTCCTTGATAATCTTAATTGTTGAGTTTTTAACCGGTGATGTGATTAACTCTTAAAGCAAGGAGTGTGATGTTGTGAGAAAGCTAGAGTATTTTACTTACCTATTAGAAACACTTGCATAAATGCCCGGCTTGCATGTTATTTAGAACTTGTGTGACTCGTTAATATACAATTTGATTTGATGATTTGATTTGAATGGTTTATAGCTCATTACTTCAAACCTACTTACACCCTGTACGGTTGATAACTATGCTTATCATTTTGTGCAAACATATACTAATTTTTTTGACATGCATGCAGTTGGTGATGTATGGCACAAGTGAACATAGCGATTGTCATTTCCTAAGTTTCTGAAAATGAAGGAAAAGATAATAATGCAAACGCAAGGCTTTCTATGCTGAAACTTAAGAGAATATAAAAATGCGAAAAGAGCAATTGCCATTCACGGATTATCATTATTGAATACTACGAATGTTTACTGAATATTGAAAATGAGATCATTATTTAAAACTGCACTTCTTTGCACAATATTGTTTGGATATTGTTACGCTAAAAGTTTTCTTTTACCAGTTAATGCAAGTAATGAAACTAAATGGCAGAATAATCTTGCAGTATATTGGGGACAAAATTCAATAGAATTGGATCATGACGATGGTAAACATGTTGAATATACCAGACTCATTGATATTTGTGACGATCCTAATGTTGATATTGTTATCATCTCATTTGTGGATGAGTTTTTAACAGTAGAAAATTCTTTCCAAATCCATAATGATGATGTGAATCACAATAACAATATTGCCATCAATGCTATTTCAATTCTTAGAAATGGGTTTTCCGATGATTTTGATTATTCTCCTCAAACGTTCGGGGAAGAAATAGAAGAGTGCAAATTGAACGAGAAAATTGTTTTGTTATCTTTTGGTGGTGATACGGGATCATATGGGTTTGACTCTGAAGAACATGCCATTGAGTTTGCTGATGTTTTGTATCAATGGTTTGGAAATCATTCTGAAGTCAATATGAGCAAGAAGCCTTTTCGGAACGCTGCAATAAATGGAATAGACTTGGATATTGAGAATTCACAGTATAATAATGTTTATTACATTGGGTTCATTAAGAGGATACGTGAAAATTTTGGCCCAGAATTTTTGATTGCTGGGGCACCTCAATGCTTGTATCCTGATGAAAATATGGATGTATTGCTCACCAGTGAGGAGATTTACTTTGACATATTGTTTATTCAATTTTATAATAATGGTTACGATTGTAATGCTAATACAAATAATTTCAATTGGAATACCTGGGTTGATTATGCCGCAAATCACCAGCCTAACAAACAGCTCAAACTATTCATGGGGTTGCCTGCGAGTGATGGAGAGATTGCTGCAGAAAATGGATACATTGATGACAAGGCACTTTTAAAAGATAAGATCAATTTTGTTGAAGAGAATGGAGGAGACAAATGGTTTGGAGGTATTTCGCTTTGGGAAGCTTCTTTGGGATATAATAATTATGACTTTGGGGGGAATTATATCGAAGAAGTTAAGAAGGAGTTATTGCCTACTAGTGGTGATGTTAGTTTAGGAAAGGATAATACCGGAGAGCAAAATGAAAGTGATGATGACATTGTTCACAATCCCAGGGATCAAACTGACGATAAACTCACATCATCATCGTCATTGACCAAGAAGAATAATAATAATAATTTTCTTTTCATCTTTTTAGCATCATTTTTAATTCATGAATCTTGTTAGAATATGAAGCTCTCTATATAATTATATATATCTGTTTTTTTGTATTTTTTGTATTTTTTGTATTATCTTAGTATTATCTTAGTATTATCTTAGTATTACATTGTAGCCACTATCTATGATAAAAGTTTGCTAGAAAGTTCTCTAATGGTTTATTTCCACCAATATATAGATTGTGGATAAAAACTAGTAGCAAGCAACAAATAATAAATTTAAACAATTCATAAAATTGAGGATATAATTTAACCAAGAAAAATAGTAATGCAATAACAAGATCAGAAAATGGGGCGAGGAAAGAAAAGTTAGGACCAAAGAATGTTACTGGGAGTCAATATTACAAAATTAATGTCTATTGATGTTAAAAACAGTAATACGAGCCATATTTAATAAATTGAGAATCTTCTCCAACCACATTTAATTCTAATTGTTCCCTTCTGTAGCTGCTTTCGAAATTCTTTCCCATCCTCTTTTTCTCATTCACCTCAAATTTACCTGATCTCTTCTTTTATGGTGATTTGTATCTTGATTAACTGCTATTCTACACAATTATTTGAATCCAAATTGCTTGAATCAGTGACTAAGCTTAATCTACACTGATTATGACATCTGGGCTTCAACTACAAAATGATAAGACCAGCAAAAGAAAAAAAAAAAAAATGCAGCCTATTATTGTGTCAATATTAGATAGACACATGAAAAATCTGGTAAGATAAGGTTCAGGAGTCCATAATAAAATCTATCGTACTTCACTAGCTGCTGTGTAGTATTAAATAGATACAACTGGGACGATTTACCTACACAAGTTATTGAATAATAAAACGAAACGTATATCTAAAGAATATTAAAATTAAGCAGGCTGAAGAAAAAAAAAAAAATTAATTGGAGCTGGAAGTTATTTCTACTTTTCCAACTTCTCGGGGACAGTAACTTTGTCGATGCTCACCACTTTCTCCTCACTCTTCTTTTCCAAATTTACTAAGAAATCAGGGTCAGTTTTCAGGTTGTACAAAACAATACCATTTTGTTTAGAGTATTTTCGTTCTTGCTTTTTGTAAAGCCACAAAACCACAAAGGTCCAAACTGACAATAAGAAACCAGCAGTGGCTGTAAAACTATAACCTTTCAAATATCTTGGGGCTTCAACGGTCTTCCATACAAGAACTGAAGTCCACACTGTGGTAGATTGAGCAAGAATATTCATAGTGACCAAGACAACCACTCTTTTTCTTGAGTCTCTACGACAAATGTCATTTTGCCAAGAGTATAAGACTGGAGCCATGGCCCAGCCAAAGTATTGCAAACACCAGGCAAACCATTTAGCACCTTCAGGAACATTCCACACGGCAAGGATAATGTTACCAGTCACATTGAAAATTTGAGACACAACGATTGCACCCCAGCGACATTTGAAGAAATCCGCACCGGCACAAATAACCATGAGCCAAAGTAACCCAAGACCTGGGGTTAAAGCTGTATAATCTTGAAGCTCACCAGCACCGAATTTTGCAACCACTTTACCAGTAAGGGAATCGACCTTTGTTAAAGATTTCAACCAAAGAATATAAGCCCCGGATGCACCATTACTGTTACACCAACAAAGAATATTCCAAAGGGAAAGGACGTAAATATGCCACAGAGAAAAGATTTCTTTCCAAAGTTTTGCGTCAAAGAAGGAAGACACATGGTTGGTTGGAGAGCCAGCTGTATGGTTTCTCTTAAGCTTTCTGCGGAGAAGTCTAATTTCATCATCAGAAAGCCATATCGAGTAACAATTATCTGGGGTGCCTGGAAGCATATAAATACCAATGAAACCAACAATGAGCGAAATAATACCGTCAAATATGAAGATCCATTGCCAAGCATCAAGACCATGAACTCCGCTATAATTTCTGACAATAGCACCGGATAAAAGGCCTGATGTTAAGATTCCTAAGTACTGGCCAAGGTAATAACACATAGAGCGAATGGAAATGTTATGGGTATAAAATGCACCAAACAAAAATTGGTATGCCAAGTAGTTACCACTTTCGCAAGCACCAATGAAGAATCTAATAGCTTTAAGGCCCGGCACATCTGTAACGAAGGCGGTGACAATAGTTAAGATGGACCAAATAAGATCCAAACCTGGAAGAACATAATTCAACGGGAGAGCAACAAGAACGTACATGAATGGGATTTGGAAGATGATGTTACCAATATTGAACATCACTTGTGTGTCGACTAAATCATTACCCTTCATACCAACACCTTGCTTAAGACCAGCGACGTAGGCATTGTTCAAGTTGGATTGATCCAAGTATTTGACCCAGTATGCCATCATGGAGTAAAATGTAAGGAGAATATCCAATTTCATGACAAGCTTTCTCTCAGCAGGAGTGTCATTTGGATCAAACCAATGATACCATTTGGCTGGGATCCGCCCATTGACAGGTTTGTCACCTCTTGGGGCTCTATACTCCCATTCATCAAAAAACCTCCACCAGGAACGGTTGGCCTCGTCACGGTATTCGAATGAGTCGGCTTCTGGAGATTTTTCTACCTCTTCACTGAATGAACCCTTTTCAGAAACAGTGTCTTCCTCTTCATAGTTGTAGTCCAAATCTTCATCGACAATTCTGCGCACTGGGAAAATCCCCCATTTAAGGCGGCCGAGAGATTCTTTAAGGGTCATTATTATATAGCAGTGTTTATTTGCAGAGAATAAAAATCCTAAAATTGTTAGATAATCCTTGCCTGTATATACAATATATATGTCAAATAGAGTCATGATGGAACCATCGCACGTGCACTTCTGAAATCCTGCATCCTGCCGCAGCCCGACAAAACGATTTCCCTTTTTGCCATTTATCTGTTGCAATCTATTCAATGGATATGTTGTTATTACCGTCCTTTGTCCTTTGTCTTTTGTATAAGCTCTAAATTAAACGCCATCACTCATTGGAGAGTGAAAATTTTTCTTTCCCAATTTGGTTTTTACCCCTAGGGTAGTTAAAAAAATAGCAGTCTGAACAACTGGTTGGCAGCTGTAGCCAATGCATTAGTGATAATAGTTTTCTGCAGGCAGATATCAAAATAAACGTTGATTAAAAGCAAAAGGCAGGATTGAGGATTAACTCACAAATAATAGGAAAAATGACTAAATAATAACATTGAATGGCTTAAATACTGCTTTTGCTAAGCACCTAGTGAAATCTTAAAGATGATACTCTGAAGGAAGTAATTTTTGAGCTATTTCAATGAGCGCACAAAAACATTAAAAAGAAATTTGAACTAAAAACGCCTAGGGGGAAAAAAAAGTGTTAGGCATTAGCACAATTAAGTAACAGAAGGTTTTGGAACATAAGGCTCTTCTAAATACTCGATTTCTTCTTTGGTTAATTCTAAACCAAATGAATAGACAGCATCTTCCACTCTTTCAACAGAGTTAAATCCAATGATTGGGCAACAACCCTTTGATAGGACCCAAGCAATAGAGACATTAGCCATAGAGACACCTCTCTTTTTAGCAATTTCCTCTACGCGATTGATGATTTCAATATCAACACCTTCTCCTTCTGTGTGATACATTTTCTTAATCATTTTATCACTACTGGTTCTAGTTCTCAAGGATTTCTCTGAATCCACTGGTTTTCCTAAGAGACCACGAGCTAAAGGAGAATAAGGAATGCAAGTAACTTTCCCAAGGGTAGTATTGTTTTGACAAAATGGAATCATTTCCCTTTCCTGCTCCCTATATAATAAGTTGTAATAATTTTGCATTGAAATAAACTTATGCCAGCTATTACTCTCGGCAAGTGCTTGCAACTCCACAAATTCAAAAGCCTTCATTGCTGAAGCACCAATATAGCGAGCCAATCCTTCATCCACTACGTCATTTAAAGCTTTCATGATTTCACGTCTAGGAGTTTTGTCAAGTCTATGAATTTGTAAAACATCAATGTATGTTCCCAATCTTTCAACAGAGGCTCTGGCTGCTTGAAGAATATGTTTTCGTGACAATCCTCCAGTGTTCAAATGGAAAATTCCATTGGCTGTGTTTGCTAACAGTGATAAGTCTTCTGGATTAACTGGAAAGAAACATTTTGTTAAGATGACAATTTCTCCTCTTGGGATATCATATTTCTTGATAAATTTTCCTAGCAATTTTTCAGAAAGGCCATTGGAATACATATCAGCAGTGTCAAATGTTGTGAGACCTGATTGATAACACTTGTATAAAATCTCCATGACTTTGTCTTCATCTTCAATTACCCAATCCATCCACCGAGAAGACCCAAAGGACATGCATCCAACGATAATTTTGGAAATGTTGAGGCCGGATTCACCTAAAGTAGTATAATTTTGAACAGACATTGATTGTAGTAGTTAAAAATTGGTAAAATTATTAAATTTTATTATGGGATTAATAATTTGAATAAATGGAATCTTATAATGAATAGTAGCGCTTTATATTGCAGAATGTTAAACTACGCCCGTTAAAATCCGGAGCACTTAAATTTCCTAAATGCCGATAAATCCGGCTACCCACCATGGTTCTTTATTGCACTTGCCAAATATTCTTCAAAATATATCGCAATCATCATACACCATTTTGTTTCACCTTTTTGAAGATAAAATTTAGATATATCATATAGAACCTAATAACATACCTCGCACATTTTCAATCTTAGCAAACATGAGCATTAATTTTCTCTAAATGAATTGCAAATATTGTTAGAGTTTTCTTTCAACAATAGGCTGCTATGATGGAAATATAACATATACACACATTATGTATCTTATAAGCTCCGTAAGCTAAGATAAACATATAATAGAAGCTGCATTGCGCTTGGTATATGTTCATAAATCAAACCATTCAATCGCTTATAACTTCTTTTTGCTTTCTCCACAAACCATTTTTAGACTTAAAATGAACACTACGCGTACCAATTTCAAAGAATCCTGAGTTTTTCAATCAAAAAAAAAACACATCTAATTCCAATTGGCTCATGTATTATCACCAGATATCTCCAAACTATAAACTTTGTCTATCATTTCAAGCTATCTACATTAATGCCATTTATGACCATTCAAAACTGGTGAGATTAGGTGCATATTTGAACTCAAAATCAATCTCCGACTTCTGTAGTCATTTTATCTTTTTTTTTTTTCCATATACTCAAACAGAAAAATAGGTGCCTGGTGTTTCAAATGTTTTTGACATTCTAAAGTGAACTTTGATTAAGCATCTAATCAGTTTCTGCTTCGAATGTTAGTAATAAATGGGCCAGATGAAGCATTTCTTCCTGTTCTATTGTGTTTAGACCATGTTTCATTTTTCAGAAAATTTTGTTACTCAAAAATTAGAACACAACTGAATTTATTCTTAATGATATAATCTATATACTAAGTAAAAACGAACTGGAACAACAAATATAAAGGAAAAACAAAGAGTAGGAGAAAGGAAAAGAAAATTAAATAATGGTAATTAAAATTAGAAAATTGAAATAAAGAATAAGTAAAGGATATATAGTTAATATGTTTTTGAGATCTTCATCATTTAGACTTCTTTTGGAATTTTGAGAATATCGATTTTATGTTAATGAGTGATCCTTTTCTGACACGGAAGAACCAATAAGAGGAAACCATGGCAACAAGATTGAACCCAACATAAACCCATAAGAAACCAAAGTTTCTCCACAAGTAAGAACTCTTGACCTCAATATGACTTAAATATTGGTCACCTACTTTGTATGCACAATATTCACAGTTTGAAGTTGCTGAAGGATTATTGATATAACCACCGGCGGCCTCAGCAAAAGGATCAAGATAAGTGGCACAGGTTTGACCACTTGGAGGCTCCACAATTGAAAATTCCGATTTTTTACACTTGATCTTCAATTTATGAAGTGATAAGATCATGAAAGATTGGATAAAGTACGTGTATGGAGAAACCTTCCACATGAACGTCCAGAAACCCGGCATCAAAGCTAAAAAAAGAAATGTTAGTAAATCAAAGCCCAAAAATCGCGTTGATAATAATAGAAAAAATACTTACTAGGTGGTTGAACAACACCACAGAAGGCAATCATGAACGAAAGGAACAAAGAAACCAAAACAGCGGCCGCTGGCAAATTTGGAGACATGTAAACGATCCATAAACCAAAAGAGACATAATACAACTGGAACATAATGGTGTAGAACAAGTAGTAGGTACCAACAGTGTACGAATCATAATTTCTGTGGATTGGGAAATAGAAGGCAACGAAGAAAATCGTCGAGAAAATCAAGTGGTATGGCAATTCATTAATGTATTGTGCCAACAACAAGGTGGACCAGTGATAGGTGTTTGACTTAGATTCTCTGACTTCATAAACTTCTCTAGACTGCAAAGCACGAGCTTGGATTTGATGGATCAACGGGGCGGAAATAACAATAGACATAAACACGGAAAACATGAGATTTTGCATTCCAATAACAGAATGACCGGCGTCCCAATAAGTGAACCCAATGAATAAACCGGCAAACATCATCAACATCATTTTCGCCATAAGGTAGGTAGGATCTCTCCAGAACTGGGTAGCAACTCTGCCAACCACCAATCTAAGTTGATAATGGTAAGGAGTAATGAAAGTCTTCTTCATTTCTGGATCTTCTTCGGTATGGTTGGCACTAGATGTTTTAATCAACTCAGCAATTTCTGAGGTGGTGGACGAAAACTCTGGAGAAGAGCGCCAGATATCTCCCCAGTCTTCCTTCACAGAGGCAGTAGCACCGGCACCAATAGCTTCAAGAATGTACTCAGCAGGATTTTCATCATCTTGACACTTTCTGGCTCCAGATCTTTCAAAGTAGTCCAACATTGTTCTGGAGTGGTCACCGATTTCACCAAAATAAACAGTATGACCTCCCTTTTTCAACAATAACAATCTATCAAACTCTTCAAACAAAACGGCGGAAGGTTGATGAATGGTACACAAAATAGCTTGCCCAGCGTTGGCCAAGTCACGCATCAACTTAACAATAGACCAAGAAGATTGGGAGTCCAAACCAGAGGTTGGTTCATCCAAGAAGAGAAGTAAAGATGGCTTGGCAACTAATTCAACACCAATTGATAATTTCTTTCTTTGCTCAACATTCAAACCAAAACCCGGTTCACCAACGACAGCATCAGCATAAGAGTTCATGTTCAAAATACTGATGATTTGCTCAACATACTCATATTTTTCAGCTTTTGGAATACTTCTACTTCTTCTAAGATTGGCAGCAAATCTGAGTGACTCTCTGACAGTCAATTCCGAAAAGTGAACATCCTGTTGCTGCACATAACCAGTTTTTCTTTTGAATGAAGAACCCAATGGTTTACCATTAACCAACATATCACCGGTGATAACCCCCATATCAACTCTTTGGGATAAAGTGTTCAATAAAGTGGTCTTACCAGCACCAGATTCACCCATCAAAGCAGTAAGAGTACCTGGCTTAACATAACCTTGAACATCATTCAATAATCTTCTAACTTCACCGGTTTTCAAAGTAACATCATAATCCACATGTTGCCACAAAAAGAGATCCTTGGAACCTAAACTGTCAAACACCTTGCTTGTAGCTTCAGCTTGCTTTTCGACATCCATAGACAAGGAGGCATCTTGTAATTCAGGTTTTTCATCATCTGCCATAGCTTGACGTTTCCCAGCCATAATCTTGAGAGTTTCCTTAGTTTTTTTGAAAATCAAAACATCATAACCAGCGACATCGGTTTTCATGTACTCAGAAGCGATTGCAGAAACAGAAAGGAAAAATACCAAAAACCCAAGCAAGATACCAAAGTTACGCCACAAGTGGTCGAAAGCATAATCAAACCCGAGCTTCAAGTAGTTATCACCATTGACATACACAGAACCAGGGGTAGAGCCGGCAAAAGCACAGACTTGGTTAGCAACAGAAGCACCTTCATAACCTGGACCGGATGGGACAACTGCAGAACAGGTCATATTGACATGATGAAATTCATTGACCATCATCGATTCGAAACCGTAACGGACAGGATTCAACCAATTGATCCATTTAAACCAAGGGTGCATAGATGGGAGTTGAATCATGAAACAGGAATAAGCAACAGAGGCGAGAACAATAAGCCCAGAAATTGAATTAGCCACTGGAAGCCCTGGAGAAACTAAGGCAATCATTTGGAAGAAAGCATTCATTGTAAAAGAAGCCAAAATCACAAACAAGAAGATGACAAAGAAGTTACCTGCGGTTTGTTTAAGCTTGGCCAAGAAGAAGTTGATAATGACAAAAGGAATGACACCAAGGATTTTGAACATGGCGTCAACCACAAAGGAGGAAAAGAATTCGGTTGATGGATGACAGAATGAGTAGCCTTTTTGCTTAAGGAGAATCGGGCGCTTACCGAAACTATTAGAAACGGAAGCAAGACCAGCCAAAGAATAATACAAGATACTGAAGAACAAGATACCACCTCTTGAGAAAGCCCCAGCAGTAGAGTGTGGAATATTGTAATAAAGAGAACCAGTAATCAATGCCTGAATTATATCAGCGGTGATTTGTGTAGCCAAGTAAGAGAAATCACCAACGGCGACTTGATAAGATCTAACGAAATTGAGTTTCAATTGCTGGGCATAACTAACGGTATAGGTTGACTTGGCCTTTTTCTTTTCAAGTTTGGAAGACTCCATGAAAAGTTGTTTGGTTTGATCAGCGTTGGCTTGCTGTTCATATTGGTCAATTTCTTCACTCAATTTCTTGAACTCTGGAGAATTGTGCCAGTACTGTTCAAACTCCATGGCGGTTCTTGGAACTTTGTTTTCATACCCAGGTTTAGCGGATCTGCCTTTTGGATCTGTAATTGCTGTCAAAAATTCCGGGGTAGCTTGACGCTTTGGACAGGCGTAGCCCATATCTTCGAAATATTGCTTAGCTTCATGAACTGGACCAAAATAAACTTGTCTACCTTCATAAAGAACTAAGACTTTATCGAATTTTTCATAAATATTTTCGGAGGCCTGATAAATTGTGACAAAGTTAGTAGCATCTAAAAGATTGGTGAGAACTCTTATAGCCGAAGCATATTCCAAGGCGGTAGAAGCATCCAAACCTCTGGTAGCATTATCCCAACAGTAAACTTTGGCATCGGCAGCTAAAGCTTCAGCGATAGAAACTCTTTTTCTTTCACCTCCAGAAACCCCACGGACAAAGTCGTTCCCAACTTTGGTGTTATAAGTGTGTCTCAAACCAAAGATGGTAGCCAACATATCGGTCTTGAAATCGACATATTGCTTAACGCTAGCATTATCAGTTACTGCATTTACTCTGACCTTTGGCACTTTACAGCCAACAGCAAATTTCAAAGTTTGCTGGACGGTCAAATGAGGAAAATGAACATCCAATTCTGGATTATAAATGATATCGTTCTTGTAGTGTTTCAACATTTCCTCTTGAGGAACTCCATCGAAACTAATAGAACCTTCAGTACCTTGGTATTGGTCAAGGCCTTCCCCAGCAATGGTTTTAAGCAAAGAAGAACACCCAGCACCCGGTCTACCGAGAACAAGACACATTTCACCTGCCTTGACAACGGCATTTGCTTTGTTGATGATTCTTCTAATTGGTTTTTCGCCTCTAGAACGGATACCTGCAATGATATTGCCAGGGATGTTAACAGTTGACCCATAAGTTGGAGCAAGAGTCGCAGACTGGTCAACGGCGATGATGGCAGCATCCTTCAACACCACTCCAGTTGATCTAAGTTTGACATTACCCTTTCCGGCGTTTTTCAAATAGCCTTTAAGCAATTGGGCAAGATCGAAATCGCTAGGATCGATAGTGAAAGTATTTCTGGTGGTGACGTTAGACAATTGTTTGGAAAGGGTTTCAAGACGGTGAAGAACATTGTTTGGGTCATTCTGGTCTACATGGGAGGCAATTCTGGAGATTGTTGCTATTTCGTCTGATGCATCGTCGGCCCCATACACATGGTTTTGATTGAAAGAACGGATATCGGAGCCTGAATCGATACCAGCATCATCCGTGGCAGAGTTTTTTGTTTCTTCACTGGACATTGTGAATGGTTGAATTGCAATGGATAGGCAACGTCAAACAACACAAGATAGGAGAAGAAAGCTGGGATTGTTTTGTTTAGCTATGAATTTTCAAGGATGGCTCATGTGGACAAAAATCAAAAGCAGGAAAACCCACAAATATATATGAGAAGTTAAAGTTTTTTTGCATGGTTGAGCCGGGTAACAGAATTTTCGTATTGGCCAAAAATTCTTTTTTGTTTGTTTGTTTGTTTATTTGTTTGTTTGTTCCGAGAAAAATATGGAAGACTTGCGCCAACGCCATGACACCAGAAGGGTTGCGAAAACCACAGCACATGCTGTCTGTAGAGCTAAACACTATTGTAATAGACCTCCTCTGGGGCAATTGAATTGTAACTGGGGGAATTGAAACATCACCAATGTCGACTGGATAACACAGCCTTCTAACATCCGATCGATGCCCGCCGTAATTCCGCTGCCGCCTCGGGGCTATCTTTAAATCCTGCACTCAGCACGGAGCAAATTTCCTTTTGTGGGCATTTTTTGACAGTATCACGAATTCATGCGATACCTCGGACCTCGGAACCCCAAACACTACAAAACAACTGATGAATTGCTAGACGTTCTCAGTGCCTCAGGGACAAAATAGGATAACAAAAAAATACAAGTATATTCCGGAATAGCTTTATTATTGCAAAGCAATGAAAGATGCTTTTGTTTTTGTTGTTGGTAACCTTTATTGTCGTGGGTGGAGATTCACTCCCCCACCCCCCTCCTTCCGATACTGCTGTTCCTTTTTGTTTTTTCTGGAACAAAAAAATTTTTCCACCGCGCAGCAATTCGGCCGAACCGAATCCAACTGTATTTGCGACGGTAGGGCCATCAGTAACGCAATTACTAATAAAATGGACACTATTATAATGTGTGTTTTATGTACATTTTGCCATTAGTAATAGTGTGGTTATTGTTCTTATAAATATAGTATAGTATATTTGTATTATAATAGTATCAATGATTCAACCATGCTGGCCACTGGCTTTCTCCAATTCATGAAATTGAAGCAATCTTTGTGATAACTGCTGCCATTGGCTCGAACCATATCATCATCAAATAATTTATCCAAATTCCCCATGCCACTAACAGTCAATCTGCTTTGACTATCGGCCACTTCACCAGCAGGGTTCCCGCATACTAAACAACACTTGCTTAACCTTTCCTTGCCTCTTTGTCCTTGTGTTGCCATCCCATAATAATAGTTGATGTCCCGAGGTTTACTATTACTGGTCACAAGTTGAGCCACCACGGCATCCAAATCTATTTGCCGGCTCAACCTTGCTGAGTTTAGCACCACTATGCAATTCTGAAGTTGGGATTTCATAGACATCACATCATCAACAATTGACCTCGCTAGACGACTTACCAATGCGTGGTCTTCTGACCCGCCAGACTCGTTAGCAGTGCCTACGGAGTCAATGTCTCCGATGAAATCATTAGATGATCTCAATTGTAGCAGGTATAAACGGGACTTAATGTGCCTATTCCGTAATGTCGCCACTAATATTCTTAAAATTTTCACTATGTATACAAGAAGAAATGTTTTCACATTAGGATGATGGATAATTTTCTTTCTGGTAGTTGGTAGCTTGACGTCAGATTTGAACGATTGGAAAAATGATTTAAGATCCGTGGTCAAGGATCCGATTCCTTCAAGGACTTGAGTCACCAGAGGATTGAGTAGTTCAGAAGAGTCAGAGATGTCTGTTAATATTGATGGTTGGGAATTGAGTATTGAGGGATGAATAATGTTTCTTGGAGTTGATGATGAGACAGGCTGTGTTGCTCCGAAAGAATGCCTTGGTTTTTCTGAAAAGGAAATATCTATCAACTGATTCATATTCTTACTATACTCCACCCTTTTTATTTTTGGAATACAAGACGAATTGGCTTATTCATTGAGTATACAAGTTTATGTACCAAGCCAGAAAAATGTTGACACATCAAAAAAAAAAAAAAAAAAAAAAAAAAAAAAAAAAAAAAAAAAAAAAGAAAAATAGTGCATCTGATGATTGTTGCATATTGTTGCATTCGGCGATGCATACATGTTATTTTATCATCAATAACTAATATTATTATTGCTTCAGGTATTCTTAGTCAATATAGTTATAAGGTCTAGTGTTCCGATATTCAATTATATTTATGTTTTTAGATATGAAGTTTTGAGGATTCAATTTATATGGATGGCTTTCTGAATATCATCAGCCGTTATAAAAAAAACTATCAATAAGTAAGGAGGCAAAACTTTTTTTTTTTTCTCAATTATATTTGGTATTAATTAAAGAGCTTTCTATTATGTAATTTTTCATTGCATTTGTTTTTTTCCTTTGTGTAAGCTTCCAAAAGCTCACCATTTTCAGCTTTATCAGTCTGCAAATTCGTAAACTCATGGGTAACCATTGAATGTTGCGAGTTGAAATCTCTCATTTTAGAAATGAGGTTGTGCAAATCATGGCTATCGTTGTCAGCTAGACAACCAATTGCTTCTGCGATGAACACAGCATTGGTGCGGAAATAATCATTCTCAACGAGGTATGGGGTGTATATGTGAGGTTGTATGGAGTGAACCGATGAATGAGACGAGTTCGTTGATTTGAGCAGTAATTCAGGAAATTTCAGTTGGCGTTGCCTTGAGACATAGGAGTCGACATCGATATTCGTGAAAATCGAAACGATCTCCACAATAACAGAATGAAGAATTTCAAGCTGGGAAATCATCTCGGCTATAGATGATTCATATTCAGATTTCATGATCACACCTTTATCAAGTTTTGTCTTTTTCAAAGGTGGAGCGCTAATATTCGATGTGATGCGGTCACCAATTTGTTGAAGACAATTCTTCAAATGTATTAACTTGAGTGAGAAATAGCAATTTACTATCCCAAGATTGAATAACTCCACCAAATTGTTAAGAAGATAGATATCCAATTTTTCAATCAACTGAAGACAGATTTCCTCGGTTATATCATCAGATGTGGTGGTATTCCCTGGCTGGGGATCAGCAGCTGAATGAACATGTTGCTTAATACCAGTACTGTTATTATTTGTTTCATTGGTAATAACATCTTTTGGAGAATGGGAAGCATGCAATTTGAGACTGCAATTTTGGGGGTTGATTGGTTGAAACGCTTGAGTCATCGTGAGTTATAAGATGGTAAAAATGGGGTGTATTTTATGATGATTGAAAGATTTCTATTTTTTCTTCTGGTTGTTAATGTGCTTGATCAAATAATATCCTTAATAATTATGACTGCTAATTTTTTTGAAGAGGATGTGCTGATCATATATATATATATATATGGTGTAGCTTTCAGTGAGTCATGAAAAATCTAACTGAAAAATATGATTATGCTATATAAAAAAAAAATAATATCGGTGAGTAAAAAAAAAAAGAAAGAAGAAAAAAAAAAAAAAAAAAAAAAAAAAAAAAAAAAAAAAAAAAAAAAGAAAGAAAGGAAAAAAAAAAAAGTGTTTAAAAATGAACGGCAAAGACGAAGCTAGTTTCTAAAATTGGTAAGAATGAAACGGTTGCCAGTATATTGTAATGAACATGGACACGCTGCATCCATAAATGTGTCAAAACAGCATAATTTCCCTAGTTGAGCGATGATCCCAAACATTGGGCGTCAAAAACCACACTGGGTGCGTTTAGACTTCTTCGCTTGCAGCAATTCATGAAGCATCAAAAGCAATGATGCTGACCTACACCACAATAATACTCATGTTCGCTGGATATAGCAGATCAATGTCGAAAAAAAAAGAAATGTTAGTCTCACGCTGCTCAATCACAACACCAAAAATTCAACGAGTGGCTCGGGATATATGAGAAAAGTCATTGCAGACATCCACTATATGCACTGTGAAAATAGGTCAGGATAAGGAATAAGAGCAGCATACGATAATCATAACTCAAAGGTGTAAAACAAAAGATAATAACACTAAGGGATAAATGAATTACTTTTTTTTCTCTCCCTAATTCACGTTAGTGACCATTTTTCAAAATCCAAAAAAAAATCCAATAAGATCCCCAAACCTGCAGATCTGGCGACCTGCATCCTGAACGGTTTGCACCGGTGACAAAAACCAACTGAGAACGGAATATTATGTGCAACACTGTGTTGAAACATCAATTCAAAAACTTCTATTTCTATTAATCCTGAAAAGCGGTTCTACTTGCCATCCGTTTGGGGGAGAGGAAATGGTTAGTATATGCCTCTTTTTAGCAAGTAATAAAAACACCCGTAACCATATATGCATGCATCTATCCAAGGATTATGGTTATTGCTCTTATTTCATCCAATATATAATAATAGGCAATAAGGAACTGTATATATCGTTCAGGCTATATGTCATCTACATGGTAAAGCTTTCAAATATTAGTGCCTTTTAGATTGAGCACATGATTATGGTTTCTCTACCAAACATTGACGCAATCAACCATCCATTTCACCTCACTTGACGTGTGACATCAGCAAAAACCAAGGGTGAATATTGTGTATGTGATATATATTTGGTGGATAACTTGCAACTTGCACTATCTTGCTTTGCTTCTAATTGACTCCCTTCTGTCTTCCATCATCGCCCAAAATAAGGCCCTTCGGTTGGCGCGAAAACGTGGTGACAACCGACCGCCTTCCCCTTTTGGGTACTCCACGTGTGTATGCAAGATAACACCCATGAGACCTCACAACGTTTTTGACCCTCCACACACTTAGCACCAGTGTAAATGTCGATGATTTGGATATTTATATATATATATTATACTTTAATACCCTTCTCTTGCCCTGTCACTAAGAAGGTTCGTTTCAGTCACAATAGCAATAGCTACCTATCCCTTTAATATCCATTTATTCGTACATATATCCTACAACTTTGTGTCATATACAACCTCTATTTGTGATGCCACCATTCCCTGCCCCACCTAGTTTTAAATCAACAATCATCCAAATAAAACCAAATAGTAAAATCCCACAAATATCGTCTTCCAAACAAACTGGAACGCCAAGACCACAGAGAAAAGCCGCCTCCAAGAGAAAGTTCACAGATGATGAAGAAGATGATAATAAGGACATAAATGATGATACTAATGCACATTCAAAGCTCACTAATGGATCAAAATCCACAGCCCTGAATAGCCTGGCCAACAAAAAGAAAAAGGATACTAAAGTCTCTCATTCAATGATCGAGAAAAAAAGAAGAGTCAAATTGAATCGTGAATTCGAAGTTTTGAAAATTCTTGTCCCTGCCTGTCGAAACTCTATCCTTAATTCAAACAACAATTCAAATCAAATCAATGATGGGATGTATAAGTTAGCGATTCTTCAAGCAAGTGTGGAATACATCAACTATTTGCACGAAATCATTAGATTAATGTATCAAAAAAACCAACTTCAAAGCCAGGGAAATAGCCATAATAAAAATATCAAAAACACTGATAACATGAACTTTGCAAAACTAAGCTTATGCTTAGAAAACTATAGAAATCTAGATTATGATTTCAATTTCAGTGAAATCATGAGAATTTTCAAGTACATGAATAGTTATGGAAGACTATCGATAACCAAAAGACTGAAGTCAAGCGATCTGTCAAACACAATTTCTAATTCTATCAATCTCGGAAGTGACAATTATCAATTGATTAGTGACGAAGGATTTCATAAATACCTTATTTCAAAAGGTATCAAACAACTGGAAATAGATAATTTCAAGTTGTTCTTCAGCATTGTCGACTTGCAAGAAGAAAATCAGCCTTCCACAACTAATAATGGCACTCCTCCAAGATTTAATGACCATATTTTCAATGGCAATGAAAACCCTCCTATCTCCAACCATTCATATCAACAATCAAGTTTTTCCAATATAAATTTTTACTCGAAAAGTTCGTCTAATAAAATAGATTCCTTGACTTGGAAACGTTGCTCTCCTCAAGTTTCCCCGGCTACAGCCAATTATTTGAATTTGCCTCTACAAGAAAACTCAGCCAATTCGTATAATGTCAATAAAGAATTCCAACTCCCTGGTCCCATTATGGATTTACCAACAAATAATTCTACCAACATCCCAAACACTAACAAATCCTCATTAGCCTATATCCAGCGCCAGCAAATGAGTCGAAAACACTCTTCCAGCTTTTCGTCGCCAATTTTTTCTGATTCATCAAATAATCCCCAATCTACCACATCTGAAAATCCTTCTTCCCATTCTTCGGCCGGTGGTAATACTAGCCTGACCCCAAATTTTTCGTTACCTTCTCCTTTCAAGATGCAAGGATTTGAAGTAAACAATTCATTGTCAATAGCAACCCAGAATTCTGCCACCGCCCCCAACAACATTCTGTACAGTGTTAGCAATGGTGATCTTTTCTCCCTTTCCCCAAACTCTTTCTCCTCCTTGTTGAAGACTCCTAAATTTGAAAACATTAACAAGCATCTGATGTCCATGGCTGCCACAGGTACCACTAATGGTATTGATAATGAGCCATTGAATAAAACCAAAGAGGCAGGCGAGGCATTGTTGTACATGAAAAGAAATAGTATTGATAGAAATAAATCAGCGGTAGGAGGATCTGTTAGCAGTTCTACTTCTAATGATATTGGCTTAGGGGTGCTGTCCTATGGCATGGGCAAACGCAGCAGCGGTGGTGATGATGATAAGATGCGGGTTTCGAAAATCAGCAATATTCTTAATTGACCATTGGTGATCGACCCAATGCCATGGTGTGAGTTCTCCATAGCTATATTATATCTTATTCTTCAATAGCATGTAATAGACTTATAAAACAATATTTGCCAAATAAATAGGTTTGCAGTAACATAAAACGCGTAGATGATGATAGATGTTGAGAAAAGTGAAGTGGCCGTACATTATTTACCCGGCCCTCCAACTGTTTTGACACGGGCCATTCAAACCAGCGAATTCTTTTGGTAAAAAAAGAAAAAAAAAAAAAAACCTGAGTTGGCTTTTTGATAATTGACGATTTCTCCAAATTAAACACATCTTAACAAGCAACAAAAAAAAAAAAAGCGAACTACTCTCAATTGAGTTATTGAATCATTGCATTTCCTTGATAAATTTGAGCATCCATCTCAGGGAATATAGACTGCTGCCAAACTGAAAATATGAAAGATCAGAAACACAACAGTGGTGGAGGTGACTCTTCCACATTCCTGATTCATAACGGAAATCCAGATTTTGCACCACGATCTAGAAGAAGGTCCTCCAATAATGGATCTAGACCAATGAGAAGAAATGGTAGACTTGCTAATATCGAAGCATCTTCTTTCAAAGCCAACAATTTTGATATCAACGAAGATGAGGAATTCAAACTTGCTGCACCATCACAAACCTTTGGGAAGCAATACGTGTATGGTGTTGATTTTTTGCTATCACTCAGAAAATCCGAGTTGATTGTTAAATGGGAAGATGTTCCAGATAATGACTTCTGGAGAAAATATTCTAATGCCCAGCCAACTGGCAAAAAGAGAAGTGATTACAACAATAGTAGCAACAGTAATAATAACAATTTTTCCAACCCAGACAGTCAAGGATCAACTGGCGAGATGGGATCCTTTTCCATAAAGCCAACGAAAGGTGATAGATTCGCAAATAGTAGGCCTAAGAAAACTGGCCATAAAAACTCTGGTGGGTTTTTTGAATTCGATGAAGGTGAGGAAGAACCTGAATGGTTGGTTGATAATGACACCAGTTTGGAGGAAGAACGAGCATCAGGTATACACCAAATTGGAAAGACGGTTCAAGATTTTGAGAAGTGGAAACTAAAAATGAAATTGCAAGAAAAGAAGAAGAATGGTGTTATAGGAGCCGATGAGGAAGCCCGATTAGATGCGATTATCAATAATAGAGATTTCCCAGTTCCTGCCACCGATGCCAAAGTTGTTGGAAGTGGCGCTGGTGGATTCTTTACCTTCGGGGCCAGTGATCCTCAACAAGATTCTTTACTTAATACAAGTATTGAGGACTCTAAACCATTGGAGGATCATCATGATTTAGAAGCTCTGGGAAGCTCCAAGTTCTCATCTTTCTTTAAGCCTCCTCCAGCTTCATCTGCCGTTCCAGTTTCTCAATTTACATCATCACCATCACCATCATCATCTTCATCTTCATCATCAGTGACAACGACAACAACATCAACAAACCCAGCTGCCGACCAAGCTGCTGGTTCAAGAATCTTGTCAATGTTGGGTAAGCCATCACCTCAAACTCGGTCGGCATCTCAACTTCCTGCAACTCCAAATGTCCCAGAAGCTAAATCTACCTCAAACGACATGTTCTTCATGACCTTGCTTAACAAAAATGGTCCTTCATCATCATCTAAGGAACCTGGACCAATTACTCAACAGCAACAACCGGGCCCAAAATCTAACATTATGGCATTGTTTGAAAAGGCCTCCACTGGTAATCAATCGTCTCCATTAGTATCTTCACAACAATCATTTCCAATCAGTCAATCCCCACAACAGGGACGTTCCCAAGTAGCAACCCCATTGTCAAGTCAGTCTCCGTTAGTTAAAAATCAAACTATTCAACAACAGCAACATCAACAACAACAACAACAACAACAACAACAAAACCAAATACAACAACAGCAAAATCAAATACAACAACAGTACCAAAAATCTGGACCTCAACAATCTTCTAATCAACAGCAAGAAAAACAACAACAAAGCCTTCCAGGTCCCCAAGGTCCTCCACCTCCAGGAATACCAAGTCAACAATATGGTCCTCCTCAAGGATTCCCTCCAGGCTTTCCGCCAATTAATCACATTCAACAACTACCACCAGGAATAAATCCTGGTCAATATGGTCCTCCACCTCCTCACATGCAACAACCAATGGCTGGTGTTCCTCCTCCAGGATTTCTCAATCAACTACCTCCATGGTTGGCAAATGGCAACAACAGTTCTGAAAATGGTGGACGTCCAATCCCAATTCCACCTAACGGTCAGTTCATGATGAGCCCAAACCAACAGCAACAACAACAACCTCAAAAACGTGGCGGTCCAATGAATTCTGGGGCTTATCCAATGTTTGTAGGGCCAGGTAGACCAATGCCTCCTCCTGGTGTGATGCATCCGGGAATGGTGCCTCCACATTTGCAACAGCATCACCCACGTCTTCACCCTCAACAACAGTCACAACAACCACAACGCGGTGGCCCAGTCCCACCAAATCTCTTTGGCGGTGCTCTTCAAAGTTGACGGTGATCTGCTAAAGATTTTAAATAAGAATTTTCATGAATCAGTTTTTTTTTTAATGAAAAAAAGAAAAAAAAAAAGTTAAGAGTTAAGATTATTTCTACTATTTTTTTCAGTTCGAATTGTAAAAATTACTACTACTAAATAACTGTCATTTATTTCTCCACAAAAAAAAAAAAAAGAAAAAAGTGGAAAAGTGGAAAAGAACAACATTTTAGGAATCCTATAGAACCTGAGAAAGTTTACTAAGAAAATTCAAAAACTGTATTTGTTCATCAGTCCCATTGGATAGCTTATCATCGGTTTCGTTAAGGGCAAAACTGATATGAATCTTCTGAGTTCCTGTTAAACTGTCGTCCAAGATCAACTTGTCGTGTAACTGATCCAACATTTGGGTGGCACTCCAGCCTTCTGCTGCCAATTTTTTGCTTAATTTAAACATAACTTGGAAATCATGAGTTCTTGCTGCTGTAACAATTTCATCGAGGGTTGAATCACTGACAATCCCTGCGATTTCCTGCACACTGGTGACGGTAATTTTTGAGCTTTCATGATTATTTCCCCCTTGTTCATCTATAGATATATCTCCATCGGCATCGACTTCAGCCACTCCGTGTAATTTTGTCGCTGATTGTAGAAAAGTAATGGCCTTTCGGAGATCCCCGTGTGAAATATCGAGGATTTTTTCCAACACCCCATCTTCATACTGCACTTTTTCCTCATTAGCAACATAGGTCAATCTTGTTAAGGCATCGGTGTTGTCAAGAGGTTTGAATCTAAATTTTGAGCAACGTGATGCCAATGGGTCAATGATCCTCGTTATATAATTACAAATGAGACAGAATCTGGTAACCCCCGAATAAGTTTCCATAGTTCTTCTAAGGGCAGACTGTGCATCATTAGTCATAGAATCAGCTTCATCGAGAATGATGATCTTGTATGGAGGGCAAGGGTATTTGGCCAAATCTTCCTTTGACGGATTAGACACCGTCAACCTGGCGAAATTCTTGACTTTTTCCCTGACAATAGAAATCCCTCGCTCATCAGAGGCATTTAATTCTAAAACCCGGGTTTTATAAAGCTCTGGTCCGTACAATTGCTTTGCCAATGCAAGAATTGTTGAAGTTTTACCAGTACCGGGAGGACCGTAGAAAAGCATATGCGGAAGATTAGAAGTGTGTAAAGACTTCTTCAATACAGTGACGGCATGCGATTGAGACGAGACATCGTCAAGATTTTTAGGACGGCTGAAAAGGGAATAGGTTAGTGGGATATGTCAAATAAAAAACAAGCCATCAGAGATCATCATCAATACTTACTATTTTTCAACCCAAGGCATACGGGCTTTTCTATCACCATCATCTTTCGAGCTAGCCTTTTTGGGAGCCCGCTGATTGAAAAAACTTGCCATGGACATCTTGAACAAAGGTATACGTTATTATGATTATATAGATTGGTCTATAATAGATGCTACTTGCTGATAACAGGATATCTGTAAAAAAAAAACCATTTGGCGCGTTTTTTTTTTATGAAAAAATTAAAAAAAAAAAAAAAATTACGCGTACATGTAGCCCTACTTGACTATATATTATTAAGAGGGTTTTTTTTAGAATAAAAACGCTCATAGTTTCCACACAAACAGAAATTGAAGTAATCGAAACAGCTTATCTCAAACTATCTTTTTTACCCTTCTCTCTATTAATTTTTGGCCAGGTGGGCCATTAAGGGGGTGTAGATGGAGTGAGGGGGTGTAGATGTATTCACCGTGCCGGTTAATGTGTGAAAGTTCCGTACCGGTAACCGTCCACACAAAAAAAAAAAAGCAAAAAAAAAAAAAAAAATTGAAGGAATCAACAGAAATGGTCATTTAGATCAAACATTCAAAGACTATAAGGAAAAATGAAGGGGATTGTCAGAATAAGACTTGCTAGATTCGGCAGAAAGCACTCTCCGGTATATAACATTGTTGTGTCCAGGGCTAGGTAAGTTGTTTTGTCGGTATATGTACATGTATCTGTGGGAAGTGTGAAAATACTAATATCATATTTTAGAACTGGAAGAGACACAAAACCAATAGAAGTCATCGGTACTTATAATCCAATACCTGCTCCTTTGCCACTAGAACTCAAAAAACAAGGGGCTAGACCAGTCAAGGATGTTGCCTTAGATTTCAGCAGAGCCAAGTATTGGTTAGGTGTCGGGGCTCAACCAACTGAACCAATAGTGAAATTGTTCAAGAAAGCCGGAATTCTCAATATGGAATGGCCTGCTCCTTCAGAAGTTCTCAAGCCAATCAATGATAAAGTTGCTGTTCCACAAAAGGATATTTTGGAATGAGGAGACTCATAAAAATTGAGGAGAGAAAGAATAAGAAATTGAAAAATGAAAAACCCTCTCAACGAATGTATTAATGTATTAATGTTTTTGACCTTGTATATATATAAAGGTTATGTTTTATCTGACCCTTCGAAGCTTTTTTTTTTATGTCTCATTAATGGAAGTTTCTTTTTACAAATAACAATAGACGTAGAATAAAGAATGATTATTAATAGTATATTATACAGATGATGCAAAGACCGAAAAGGAGATAGAAAGAGAGAAAAAAAATAAAATAAAGTGGAAAGGTATTAAAAACAAAACAAAACAATAAGATTAGCTTATTTTGGAGAAACGTTGTAACGCATTCTGATACCCATAGCAGCTAACTCAGAGTCGAGGTATTTCAAAACAAATGGAATACCAATAGTAGTTGTATCAGCACCACCAATAAATCTATTGCTTTGGCCATCTTCCCAAATTTCCGATTCATCAACATCCTTCAATAAAGTTTCACTCTCAATCTTAGTGGCACAACTACGGCAACGGATCGAGGATTTTTGACCAATTCTTGGAACAGAGGTTTGAGGATTCAACAAAGAACCACAGGATCTGCAAATAGAGGTTTGAGTGTAATCAGAGCAATTCAACAATCTATCTTGTAACAAGAAAGCGGATCCGTGACCAATCAAGGCATCACGCTCCATTTCACCGACACGAATACCACCAGATCTCTTACGGCCCTTAACAGGTTGCATAGTCAAACTGTTAACTGGACCAGTCGAACGAACTTGGAACTTATCATTGACCATATGACGCAATCTTTGGTAGTAAACAACCCCCATATAGATATCAGCTCTCAATTCTTCACCGGTGGCCCCGGAATACATTGGTTCGTTACCGTGGTAGTTGTAACCAGCCTTCAATAATTGTTCACCAAAGAAATCAGCTGGGGTGTCATCTTCAGAGAATTGCCATGGGGTAGAATCTTGAGCAATACCGTGCAAAGCACCAGCCTTCCCGGCCAAAGATTCGACAAACATACCGATTGTCATACGCGAAGGGAAAGCATGAGGGTTAATTATGACATCTGGTTGAATACCAGTTTCACTAAATGGCATATCCACAGTAGGCCATTTTCTAGAACAAACACCCTTTTGACCGTGTCTAGAAGAATACTTGTCACCAATTTGAGTGTCACGGATAATTCTATACTTTATCGTAAGCATTTGTAACTCTTCATCATTGTTGTCGCCGAGTAACTTAACTTCTTCAATGTAACCAGGTTCAGAAGAGTGGTAGGTCTTGATTTTAGTTTTACCAACGGTGTCATCAAAGTAGGCAACAATTGGATCACCTTCTTCAACCTTGGTACCAATCATTGGAAGCCCATCGGCATCCAATTTACCCTTCCATTCTTCTGGCCATTCATCACTACCGAAACCAAAGTGTTGGGTAATTGGATCACCACGTCTTCTATTCATACCCAAATCGATTTTTTCAACCTTGTAAACCATACCATAACCAAAACCTCTTTCGTCGGCAGATTTGTTGATAATCATCGCATCATCCATATCATAACCGGTGTAAGAGATAACGGCAACAACGGCATTAGTACCGTTAGGGAAATTGTCCATGCCGTATTGATCGTACAATTTGGCCTTAACAATTGGAGTTTGACCAGTTTGCAATCTATACAACTTGTTGTCAGATCTGTGAGCCAAGGCGACACCAGGAGTCCCCATAGTTTGCTTACCCATCTGACATTGGTACATATTACGTGGAGATTGGTTGAAATCAGAAAATGGAGTAAGGTTGGCCAAGATTGACAAAATATTAGTTGGAGAAAATTCCACATGGCTATGGATGTTCGATTCAATTTCAGATGGTCTAACAGCAACATTAAGATAAACTTGTTCAAATGGACCAACGATGTCCTCCTTGGCAAGTGGCAAGTATTTAACTGGTCTCATCATTCTAGCTCTACCCCCAAACAAATACAAACCAGGGTATTGACCTTTAGTAGAAGGAGGAACGTAACCAATTTCCAAATCAAGTGGTAAACCATGAGTTCTTTCCACTTTCCAATATCTCAAGGTATCAGCAACAATTCTACCTTGTTCATGAGTACACCAGCCAACAACTTTACCATCCAATTGGACACAACAAACATTTGGACCAGCAGCAAAACCGTGCTTTGGTACAATACCCAACAAACTCAAGGCTTCCCCAACCTTTGAAACATCGGAATCTTCGGTTGCCACTTTACATTTATGTGACAAATGGTTTAACAAACCACAAGGGGAACCATCCGGTGTATGGACAGGACACAAGAACCCCCAAGATTCTGGCAACAACTTACGAACTGTGGTGGTTTTCAATTGGGCAAAGAAAGAACCTCTGTGAACCATTCTGAATTGAGACAAGAATCTGTAGAAATTAATCTTATCAGCAACGACAGTATAACCCGAGACTTGTTGCAAATCCAAACCAGATTGAGACACTAAATTACCGGTACTCAAGAAATATTGCAATTTTTGACCAATATTTTCATTCACTTTAGAAAACAATCTTGTCATATACTTACGTTCACTGAAGTTGATACCAGTACCTCTATCAATGTCTGTGTTAACTTGCTGAGTAATACTTGCAAGATATTCATCCATTTTTTCCTTCAAGATCATACCGTACAAAAATCCACCCAATAAGATTTCTTGATGTTGAGAACTATCTGGATTATCGGCACAGCAATCGTTAGCCACCAAAGTGTATAATTTTCTGATCATAAAAAGTAACATTCTGAATTTATCCTCATTAGAGTCCAAGTGTACCAAAACAATTCTTCTAAGGACTTCTTTACCAACCTCAACATCAGACATATCATCAGCGACACCAAATACGACTCTGAATTTATCACCAAGATAAGCCAAAGTTTCTTGTTGAGAATGCAAACCATAGGACTTGTAACTTCTAAGCAACAATTCTAAACGATCGGTCAAGAAAGAATCAGAAGAATCAGAACCAACAATTCCATCAAAAATCTCACGGTCATTAGTCTCTGCCAAAGCCTTCATAATCATCATAACTGGAACTAAATATTCATTCTTTCTCCAAGAGAATCTAAAGGTAAGGTTACCGTCCTTCAAATAGTGAACAACATTAGTTTGAGAAGTTTGATCTGGTCTAACACATCTGATTTGAATACCATATTTTGTGTAAGCATGTCCTCTGTTTTCAAAAGATGGTCTAACGATGGCCATTGGATGATTTCTTCTTTGGACAATCAACATTCTGACTAATTTTTCTAAACCATTAACCACGAAATAACCACCCAATTCGTCTGATTCTTCTCTACACTTGACCAATTCTTCTGGTGACATAGTTTGGAGATGACATCTGTTGGATTTCAACATAATTGGCAAATATCCAGCATCACGAACTTCAGACATTTCAGGGCCATCATTGACAGACCAGCAGACTTTCAACATTAATTTCCCTCTATAACTGCTCATTCTTTCTCTGCATTCTGCTGGGTATGTTTTTCTATCAAGAGAAGTTTTGTCAAAAGAGCCGACTGCCGGTTTCATTAATTGTACGGAATCAATCCATATTTTCAACTTATTAGCTGATCTATGTTCTGTGCTGTCGTAAACAGTCTTTTTGCCAATATCCTTGACAGCCAAGTTCAAAAGGCCTCCGCCTGGGCCTTCAGTCAAGGCATTGAATGAATGAATGTGAGGATAGATGGCTTCTGCTAAAAGCGGGAAAGCGGTTTCATCCTTTGGAGGATTCTGAAAGCGCTTGGTTGTTTTCAAGGTGTTGAAACCAAGTCTTTCTTTTGGAGCTACCATTTTTCTCTATTGCTCTGTTTAGCTTTTTATTGCAATGGTATTCTGCCAAAAGATTAGTGCTAGCTTTGTTGATGATTATTAAGAAAATAACATTAAAAAAAAAAAAAAAAATTAAAAAAAAAAAAATTTTCAGATGCAGAGGGGTGTATGGGGTGGGAGACACGGTAGGGTGAAAAAGCATCATCGGTGCATAAAAATTTCATAAGCAGAAATCAATACTATTATAAACTCCATTTGATGAAAACAAACAAGTCGCAACGATACTGGATCGATCATGGCTAATTCTCAGTATGTGTGGCAATTATATACATGCAATAGTGAGCCAGACACGAGGATAAAGAAGTGAACACTAACACCTGAATTTCTAGATACGAAGTGGTGAAACAGTTTGAAAGAGAAAACTATCTCCTACAGGATACCCACATCGTTATCAGGGTAGATGGCAGGGGATTCCATCGATTCACCAAAAATTATGATTTCAGCAAACCTAATGATGAAAGAGCTTTGAAACTCATGAATAAGGCCGCCCATTGTGTTATGGAAAGTATCCCGGACACCGTGTTGGCGTATGGTGATTCCGATGAATATTCTTTTCTCCTAAGGAAGGATACCGACCTATTTGAAAGAAGAGAGGCAAAGTTGGTTTCGACTTTTGTTAGCTCCTTCACAAGCTACTATATTTTCTATTGGAATGACTATTTTGTTGACAAGAAATTGAATTTGGATGATGGATTGCCAACATTTGATGGTAGAGCAGTTCTTTACCCAAACATCAAGAGAATACGACAATACTTTAGCTGGAGACAAGTAGACTGTCATATCAATAATTTGTATAATACAACCTTTTGGACATTAGTGATTAAAGGGGGGTTAACTCCGCAGGATGCTGAAAACAAGTTGATGGGGACATTTGCTAAAGACAAGAATGAAATACTATTTTCGGAATTCGGAATAAATTATAATAATGAGCCGGAGATATTCAAAAAGGGGACAGTAATTGTTAGAGAATCAAATGAAGTTGAGAATGTATCAGATGCGCTAAATAGAACGTCCTTAGAAGAACAGAATACTGGTGCGGTTGATGCTCCGTTGAGTCTTAGACAAAAGGAGAGGAGAGCTAAAAAAAGAAGAAAGATGAAAATCCAGGAGCATCATGCTGATATAATTGGGGATACTTTCTGGCACGAGAGATCATATTTATTTGAATGAGGATTTTTTTTTTCTTTTTTAGTGAATAGTTTATACATTATCAAATCGATGGGCTTAGAATCGGAAGTAGTTGCAAAAATTCCAAAACCTCGCGAGATTAACTCAGTTCTTATTCCACACTAATCATCTTTATTTTTTCCTTATATGGTTTGAAGTAGTTTGTATGTATAGCTTTATGGTTTTCCAGTGAGGCTTGTTACATTAGCCAATTTCAATTATTCAACATGGTCAGTTATGTACAAGAAAAATTGGAATCAGATATTGATTATTGTATACTTAGGCATTAAATATTCCTACACTTTTTTCTTCCTTCTTCTCGTGAAGAGATCATTACTTCTTGAGGAGATCATCAACCTCTTGAGAACACCAACACATAGTATAATTCCTTGATTGCCGCAAAAGAAGTTTTCAAAAAATTAGAATCTTATACTTTAAATTTTTCAACTCAAAGTGGAAACTAAGTTCTTTCTACACTATCGCTAATTAACTGCTGATCTTTACAGATCAGCCCATCTTCATCCGATTTTTGTATTCCGAGAGTTGAAAAAAAAAATTACCAAGGCGAGCAGGGGAATCGAGAATTAGTCTTGTGGAAATCCATCAACGTCATCGCAGATCTCAATACTAGTTAATTAATCGATTCGCTTCTTGCACCTCGTACAGTTGCCGATACTCAAAATAATATGATTAAGCCTCGAGGACTAATTAAGCTGTGATTTTGTGTTTTTCGCTACAGATATTCTTAATTGATTGACAGTCGTCCACCAGTTGTAGCAAAAATAAAAAAAAAAAAAAAAAAAAAATCCCCACCTCCAAGGATATAACAAAAAAAAAGTAGTTTACATTGTTTTAAGAATAATCCTATTCTATCCCTTTTTGTTCCTATACAAGAATAATCACTATCCATTTTTATTATTCTTTTTCATATATTGCCCTCACTTTTTGGGTTCCTGACTTTTGTATAGAAGAAGTCAACCCCGAAAATTGGCAGGGCTGGCATCTTTTAGGTGCAGCATCTGGCGGCATCGTTCCTTAAAGTAATGGGGTCAGTTGTCCCCGATGCAACTATGAATGAATGATCTAATGACGTGAGTTCCGAACCTTTATTCATAGATTTTCCTTCCATAATTGGCTGGTATATCCTCAGTGGCAGGCTTGGTGTGTATGGAAAAAATCCCATCCCATGACGTTGAAATCTCTTGAGGTGCACCTCGACCATCCATGTGCATTCAGCCTGACCATGATGCATCGAATCCTTGTTTTAGTTTATAGTCATAAGGTTTGCATCATATATTATTTCTATAGATGAAGTCAATTATCTTATTGTTCTTGACCTTGTTTTTATAACTACCTTCTACCAGTGAGATTTTTTTGCTTTTTTTTCTTGATGAAGATGTTCTTATAAATATGATGGGGTCCCTGTCACTTGCGAAATGGACTATGCTTCTTTTGGGATGTCTCCAAATCTACTACATTCATTCATTCTTATTTCCCATATAATATATCTAACATGACTATTCAACAAATCACTTTGTTGTTCATACTCTCCTTTTCATGCTTTATAACCCAGGCATCTGCAGTATTCGATGCTACCGGTAACTCCAACCTCGTTATGTATTGGGGTCAGGCTTCAGCTGGTAGTCAAGAAAGACTTGGATACTACTGTGAAGAGGGCAAAGCTGATATGATCGTTCTCTCTTTTATGACGGCATTCCCTGGAACTAATGATATTCCTTCTTTGAATTTTGCTAGTGCTTGTGTTGGCACAGAGTACGACAATGGTTTATTACATTGTTCAGAAATTGCTGAGGATATTAAAACCTGCCAAAGTAGCGGTGTTAAGATTCTTTTGTCCTTGGGTGGTGCTTCGGGGGCTTATGGCTTTACCACCGGCAGTGAAGCAACTGAGTTTGCCGATAGTTTGTGGAATTTGTTTCTTGAAGGAGATAGCGATACCAAACCATTTGATGATGCCATCATTGATGGTTTTGACCTTGATATCGAAGACAACAATTCTGAAGGCTATACTGCGCTTGTGACTGAATTGAGAAGCAAGTTTTCTAAGGGTACTAAAGATTATTATATTTCTGCAGCTCCACAATGTCCAAACCCAGATGAGTCTTTAAACAACGTCATGACAAGTGCCGAAATTGACTTTGCTTTCATTCAATTCTACAACAATTATTGTCAACTTGGCGGTTCTTATTTCAACTATGACACTTGGGAGGAATGGGCCAAAAGCAGTGCTTACAATAAGGATATAAAATTGTATCTTGGTGTTCCTGGTTCTTACTCCGCTGCAAGTTCTGGTTATACTGATATTAGCACCTTGAAATCTGCTATCGAATCTGTTTCATGCTCATCAAACTTTGGTGGTGTTAGTGTATGGGATGCCAGTCAAGCAGATGCCAATGAAGTTAGTGGCGGTACTTGGGCGGCTTATGTGAGAGATGTTCTTGACAATGATATCTGTGCATCTGGTGTAAATAGTTCGATCCCTCTGACTTCTTCTTCTTCTGCTTCTGCCTCTTTTTCGACTACCTTAAGCACTATAATGTTTAGCTCCTCTGCCTCATCTCTGTTTGTCACTACCATCACCCCAACTGTCATTAGCTCTTCTGTCATTACCACTACTATTGAACCAATCTCTTCCAGTGCTAAATTACTTTCAACTACAACTGTTAACCCTGCTGCTTACTCATCTTTGAACGCCCCTGATTCTCTCTCCACCTCTTATTCTACTTATTACTCCACATCCACCTCTTACTCTACCTTTACCTCTACATTCACTTCTACCTCCGTCTCTACTACCTATGTTGCTTATTCACCATCCTCGAATGCCTCTATCCCTACTCCAACTTCCATGGCTTTTGATGTTGCAGTTTTTGCAAATTCAACTGCCTCTAAATCCACAGCTAACATCACCTCTTACTCAACCTCTTATTCTACACATTACTCTACTCTCACCTCTTACTCTACCTCTACCTCTACCTTTATCTCTACCTCTATCTCCACTACCTATATTGCTTCTTCCACTGAAGTGGACACCGAAACTTCTTCATCTTCAAGTTCTCCTGCTTCTAGCACCACAACCTCCTCTACCTCGTCTTCCACAGCTTCTTCTACTATTAACTCCTCTACATCGTCTTCCACTGCTTCAGCTGAAGCTCGAGACTGTTCAAGTCTTTCTGGATTGGAAAGAGCGAAATGTATGAATGCATTATATAAATTGGATTCATATTATCTTCGTGATGCCCAAGAGTGCACTGATGGTGCTATTATTTGCCGTGCTAGTGGAGAGCTTGCCATTTGTGATAACGGTACCTACGTTTCCATTGAATGTCCTTCCGGAACCACCTGTTATGCTTCCAATGATGGTGATTACGTGATAGTTACTTGTAACTTCTCTTCTTACAAATCTGCCTTCTTGTACTGATTGTGTTTTCTTGACTGATTTATTTCTCTTTTTCATTTCTCACTCAAATACTCTTCTTTAACCCATTCTATTTCATTCCCATTTAATATTTAATTACGGTTTCTTGATACATACGACAAATATAGGATAAAAATCAAAAAAAAAAAAAAAAAAAAAAATTATAAATTCTCTTGCTAAATATTTGTGCTCACTTGTATGCAACTGCGAGCACTGCAAAACTTGAGAAATGCGCTGAATTCATGTACAGAAAATTCTTCAAACTTTAAATCAAATTCTTTTGAGAGAGAAAAGCACCACAAAAATAAAATTAAATTACAGTAAATTTAAAAAGGCGAGAACATTAACTTTTTAAGATACATCATATATCACAGATCTGCTGTGAAGCAGTATATCATGTTGCCCTCTTTCTTAAGAGTATCAAAGAAAGATGCGTAATCTTACGTAAGCAGATGAGGTTGCGCGCCCCGACGCTTCGATTAATCATCATTTGCTCGAATCTTTCATTCATGTTTTGAAACAATTCGAGGTTTATTTTACCCACAAGACAAGAAGATCTTGGAGCATCAGCTATTCCAGTTTTATTTTATTTATTGACTATGTCCTCTGCTCTCGCCAACTTGGCCACCAATTCAAGCACCTTCAGTTGCAACACATGTGGTATTAGGTTCATTACCTCCGAATCACAAAAATCACATATGAAGTCAGAATGGCATCGTTACAACTTGAAAAGACGTGTTGCTGATTTGCCAACGATATCATCGGAGACTTTTGTAGAGAAAGTGAAACAGAATCAAATTGATGTCAATACGTATACCATCAACCGGTCATCAAATGAGGATGAGTATGGGTTTGTCGTTCGTGAAAGAAAGAAAAATGGTGGCAAGAGACAAATAACTAAAAAGGATTTGAAGAAAATGTCAAGAGGAAGACAAATGTTTACAGGTGCTGCTGTAGGTCATTCAATAAGCGGTAACGCTTTAGGAAACCGTAGCTCAAGTCCTAATGCATCAGAATATTCCTATATGTCGTTGGGTGATTCAGTTCATTCATCCCAAGCGACAGAAACTATATCCATTGCTGATACTTTATCTCTTGGCACTGGGCTGCTAAATAGTCCAATACTCCATCCTGTTGAAAGTATAGATGATTCTACGCTTGACACAGAGGAAGAAGTTGACCAAGATGACTATGGTGATGATGATGATGATGAAGAAGAAGACTATGATATTCTTGCAGTGAATGGATGTCTATACTGCAATTCACAAAACTCGAACTTTGAAGAACTTTTAGAGCACATGCTTCAAAAGCACGGATTATTTATTCCTGATAAGAACTACCTTGTGGACGCCGAAGGATTGGTCAGTTTCCTTTGGGAGATTCTTTCTGATTACAATGAATGTTTGAGTTGTGGCTTCTTTGGGAAGAATTTGGAGAGTATTCAAGATCATTGTATTTCTAAAGCACATTGCCGAATGCCGTATGAAACCAATGAGGAAAGGGCATTATTTTCTCCTTTTTTCAAATATCCGGTTTCACTGACGAATAATTCCGAGGCTGTACAAAATGATGAATGTAAGTTAGATCCTACTGGGGTTGAGTTGGCTTTACCCTCTGGGTTTAAGGTTGGTCATAGATCAATGATGAGATATTATAGACAAGATTTGAAATTGGATCAACCTAGAATGCAAAGTCAAACAACAGTGATGCTGGCTGATAGAAGATTGCAAAACGTTAATATGGGTGGGCTATCGAAGCCTGTATATGACAAAGAGTTTAAGAAGATGTTGACTACTACACATAGACAAAGAAATATTTCTGAGAGGAGAATGTATAATAAGAATTCCCAGATTAACCAATTCGGTCATTTCAGAGATCCAAATAGAACATGAAAAGAATGGTGCCTTTTCTTTTCTTTTCTTTTCCGATGCTCTGATGATGTGATTTTATGGATTTTTGGTTCTAAAGTGCTTTTTGAGGCGGATATTTGGTGTTCTTGGAAGTTTATTATTGTTTTTCACTCAAAGTTTCCCTCCGATGATTCCTTGTTTGTTCTCGAGTATCAAGATTTTTGTGGCCCTGAAAAAAAGTGACTGATTGCAAAGTATAATGGTCTAGCATTCATGGTGTATTTGATTCTCATTTTCATACTTTTGATATTTTGAGCATTTTATCACAAATTAACTTTTGTTATTGCGGATATTTGATATCTTCAAGTTTTCAAAACTACACTAATGATAATAATCTTAAATTTCAGTTATCTCAATTAGAAACTATACCTTCCAGATAGCATTGTTTGGCCATTTTTTATTCTGTACCATTAGATCGAAGAATATGTATTTTATTTTATTTTTATTTTTTTTGTATCGGAAAAATGTAGTCCAAACATTCAACCTTGGGCTTTCTAATCGCAGTCTGTATTTATAATTACAGATTTTGATTACTTTGAATTTATTTTCAGTTCACTTCCTTTATTGGAGACTGATCTTTGTCAAACAGTGGGACCAGAAGTGAATGACCGACGGCATACGGCGGTGCTTGACACGATAAACCAGCAAGAAAAACAAGGGCGTGAAAATAATAGAGTATAAAAAGCCAATGCGTCGCCCCTCCCCCACAGTTATCCTTAAGCATCTCCAATTAACCCACTTTTAATTCTTTCTTATCTTTTTTTTTGTGATTTGGCTTTGTTTCAATCTTATCTTGTTCTGTTTTTTCTTGCTCTTTTCTTTTTACACTTTCTTTTGAAAGAGGAAACCTCATTGAACTTGCCTACATTATTTATCTGTCAAAAATTGTGTCAAAATACAACCTTGAAGTCCAATTAACCGAACTGTCAATAACGAACTAAAAAATAACATTTTTCCAAAATGGCTGATTACTTACTTACCATTGCCTCCGTTAGAGCCAAATCAACTCCAATTTTTCAATTGGCCCTTGAGGATGATCTTACAAATTTTGACTCTCACTTTGATGATGCCTCAAAGCTCGACAGTTGTCTTGACTTTATTGTTTCTTTGATCAATCGTGATTTTGGTAAAGATTACAATTCAATCCCTCCACATGGCCGTTGGCAACACTTGGAAGCTGGAGGCGTATCAAGGGTTACAAAACTTGTTACCAAGTGGCATAAAAATAGGGTTGATCAATTGGAAATTACTAGAAGATTGATAGATTTGTTTGTGGTGTCAGTATTTTTGGATGCTGGAGCTGGGGATATTTGGAAATTTACTGAAGTTAATGAGGATGGGACCTCCACTAGTTACGGACGTAGTGAAGGGCTTGCCGTGGCATCTTATTATATGTTTGCTGGTGGTGGAATGGCAAACGATGACGTTAGTGATGTTGTTAATGCGAAGAAATTGTTCAGTATTACTGTGGAACAAATGAAATCGTGGCTACAAATTGATTCCGCTAACACAATGACAGGTTTTGAAGGACGTGTGGAATTATTAAGAAGTTTAAGTCAATCCCTTTGGAGGAATGGTGAAATTTTTGGAGGTGAGGGAGATTCCGATAATAATAGACCAGGGAACATTGTTGATTACTTAATCAAGAAATGTGGTGGCACAACAATTGACATGACTGATCTTTGGGATGCTCTCATGACAGGATTCAACAGCATTTGGAAATCACGCCTTGTAATTGAAGGCAAGTCGTTGGGTGATGCATGGTATTGTCAAAGTGCTGCCAAAGTATCCAGCAAGAAGCTTGGAATTAAATTGGAGGATTTAAAAGAAACTGATAAAATTGTCCCATTCCATAAATTGACTCAATGGTTGACATACTCATTACTCATACCATTAAAGAAATATGGTAATTTTTCTGTGAGAAATGAAGAATTGTTAACAGGTTTACCAGAATATCGTAATGGGGGCTTACTTATTGATTTTGGATTATTAAGCATTAAACCAGAGGCTTTAACTCGCGGTATGTCCTTGGGCAAAGAAATTCCGTTTTACAAACCTGATGATGATTTAATTGTTGAGTGGAGAAGCTGTACTGTGGGCTTTCTTGATTATATTTTGCCATTAGTGAATGAGAAGTTGGGAATAAAGGGATCCTCAGAAGAGCTTGTGTTACCCCAGCTTATTGAGGCTGGCAGTTGGAAAGCTGGAAGGGAGATTGCTGCAAAGAAAAGACCATCGACCAAGGGCCCTCCAATCGGTCTCGATAGTGACGGAACAGTGTTCTAGATGCTATATTGCAGAGCTATTCTATATAAAACAGCAATAATTTTGGATAATTGAATGCTGCCCAAGGATTGCTTACTTATCCAGTTAACAGAATAAATGTACGCCAAGCGTCACTAAATTGTGACTAAACAACAGCTATTTGCTTCTGAAACAGAAAAATCAAAGCAATTAACCCGCACAAGGATATAAAGGCGCGAGTGACAGCTGTTTTTAATAGAAACGGCTCTTAACTGGCAGTGTATCTGCAAATTGGGATACTATCTAGTGCAACGCCACTAGTGGAGGATCCAATAAATATATGGTTGGTCAAAATAGTATAATTCTTCGTAAACAGTATTATATACAAATCAAGTGGTTTTTGGGAAAACATTCCATGCACAGTGGCTCTGGCCAATAGATAACGGTCTGACCCAATACTGCGGAGATCTACTTCGGGTACACGCTATCAGGAGGAGGGGAGGTTGTAACAAGAGGCGATGGTAATTGTAAAGCTCAGGCAGCTCAGAGATTATTGGTGTTGTTTTTTTTTAGATTGGGTGGGCATGCTGCTTATCAGCACCAGAGCAGTTGATATCGCACCAATGAAAACGCGTCTCTGCCGGTGGACGTGTGTTGATGCAGACTCTGCGCAAATATCAGAGTGCATTGCATTGCATGTAAAACCCCCTATTTGTTGTAGTGCGATACCCCCTATTCTCCGAGCCCTTGCCTTTTCCACCGCTATATATATATATGTGAAGGGAGACCCTTATCTTCTTCGTTTTTGGGGTTCTTCTTCTTGTTCCTCACATTGGTGCTTAGATCCAATTGAAAATACAAATATAATAAAATAAAAATGTCTGAGCCAACTTATACTGGGCTTACCGATAGTGGTACCGGAGGTGACGATATGTTGTACGACCTTAACCAACCTTTCGACAAGGGTGACATGGCCTGGGTGGCCACTGCCGGTTGTTTGGTGTTCATCATGATTGTTCCAGGTGTCGGTTTGTTGTACTCTGGTGTTGCCAGAAAGAAGCACGCTCTTTCTCTTATCTGGGCTTCTGTCATGGCCTGTTGTCTTATTGTTTTCCAATGGTTCTTCTGGGGTTGGTCTTTGACATTTTCTCACGATGTTAAGTCCGGGATGATTGGTAGTCTTGAATTCTTTGGTATGATGAACACTTTGGGTGCTCCATCAGCTGGTGCTTCTACTTTGCCAGATATTTTGTTTTGTTTCTACCAAATGATGTTTGCTATGATTACTGGTGCCCTTATGTTGGGCGGTGCTTGTGAAAGAGCTCGTTTGGGTCCAATGATGGTTTTCCTCTTCTTGTGGATGACCCTTGTTTATAACTTTGTTGCCTGTTGGACTTGGAACGCCGAAGGTTGGTTGGCCAAGTTGGGTGCTCTTGACTTTGCCGGTGGTGGTCCAGTCCATCAATCTTCTGGTATTTCTGCTTTGGCTTATGCTTTGATTTTGGGTAAGCGTAATGACCCAACTGTCACCCACTTGCCAAAGTACAAACCTCACTCTGTCACCAACATTGTCTTGGGTACTATTTTCCTCTGGTTTGGTTGGTTAGGTTTCAACGGTGGTTCTGGTGGTTCTTCCTCTATTAGAGCTTGGTACGCCTGTATGAACACCATGTTGGCTGCCGCCTGTGGTGGTCTTGCCTGGTTGTTTGTCGATTACTTTAGAGAAGGTCGCCGTTGGACCACTGCTGGTATGTGTATGGGTGTTATTGCCGGTTTGGTTGGTATCACTCCAGCTGCTGGTTTTGTCCCAATCTACTTTGCCGTCCCAATCGGTGTTATTTGTGCCATTGCATGTAACTACGCCGTCGACATCAAGGAATACTTGAAAATCGATGATGGTATGGATGTGTTCTCATTGCATGCTGTTGGTGGTTTCGTCGGTTCTTGTTTGACCGGTTTGTTTGCTGCTGACTACGTTGCTGCTTCTGATGGGTCCGTTGCTAATGGTGGCTCCCCAATCGATGGGGGTTGGCTTAACCATCACTACAAGCAATTGGGCTACCAATTGGCCGCTTGTACTTCCATCTTGTTATGGTCTTTCTGCATGACTTCCATCATCTTGTTGGTCATGGACAAGATTCCATTCTTGAAGTTGAGATTGAGTGAAGATGAAGAAGAATTGGGAACTGATGCTGCTCAAATTGGTGAATTCATTTACGAAGATGACCAAATCTACATTCCAGAGCCAGTCAGATCCATCAAGTCCAGAGCTTCTCAACCTCCACCAGTCGAAGATGAAACAGCTTCTGAGCCAGTTGAAGAAAAACCAGCTCAAGTTTGATCTCTTAATTTTTTTCTCTATATTCTAATTTCTCTTATTTTCATAAATTATGTACATTTTTCTATTAACTCCGCTTTCTTTTTCTTTTTTTTAGTTTTAGTTGATTCTCTATCATTTAGTTCAAACAGATTCCTTAATTATTAATTAAACATTTCTATCAAAATTTTATCTCTAGATATAGTTTAGCCGATAGATACTTATCTATTAGTATTAAGGAATGCATTATGTCAACCTTAAAGAATACTAAACTACTTTTTTGGGGTGAATTGTAAATTTGTGGATAAAATGAAACCACGCTAAAAAAAGAACGTCACTTTTTGGAATATTCCAGGCATGTTAGAGTATGTGACGTTGATTAGACACGTCTCCAAACTTCTGGGTTCTTTTAGTGTCACCCCCCCCCCCCCATTAGATGGCCCAAAAAGGGTAAATAGATATCCTTTTTTTTTTGATACACTCACCCTTTTGAATCTTGTAAAATATAAGAAAAGAAAAAAAAAAGAAAAGAGAAACCGATAACGGATGTCAATCTTTTGATAAAGAATGTACACGGCACCATGCGCAGAACTTATCTTTATTCTTTGATTTCTGCTTATCAAAAAACGTTAGTCTGGTGATCTTCCTATTCTTCCTATCTGATGTGTTTGAACACAAGGCTCCCTTTCTAATCTGAAACTGCGATGATTCGAGTGCCTTCCAAAATTTCTCAAATTGATAAAGTTCAATGAGTGCTTCTTATGAAATTGGCTTTCGGAGGACCGTTTTGATACTGGTTTAATAATTTTGGGAGTTCATATTGTACATTGACACTTTATGGAAAGTAAGCTTATAAACATTAACATAATAATACTGTAGTTATGTGTAAAGCCTGGACTTCCACTTCCTTCTTAGTTTTGCTGCATAAAATATAAGACTATGTAAAATTCCTCTAGCAGTTTTAAAAGGAAGCCCAGAGTTTTATAGATGATAGTAGACATTCATCTTTATGGACTAACTTTAATTATTTGGTTATATCTTACGTGAATAGTCCTTACACCTCTCTTTAATTTAATTCAACTGCACGTCACCTTCACCTCTTTTAAACTCCTTATTTTCTCAACATGCAGTACTTTATGATTCATAAAGTTGGCCTGCATAAAGCATTCTTTGACGTTTTTATTGATCTGTGTTGGCACCACCATACTTGTGGTAGGTTGGTTCGCTTAGTAATCGACGGATTACTAAGATATTGCTCACTCACTCATTGACGAATGACTTGATGATACACTGTAACTGCTAACTGATTTTAAAAGTGTTATCTAAAATGTAAATCTCTATCAATGGTAATTACCTTGAGTCTGAATATGATACTCTTATTTATAGAATATTCCCTTATCGGGATATCAAAGGATTTAACTGTCTAAGTTAAAACATCTCATTATACAACAGTCTGGAGTTGCCCTGTATAGCAGGTGGCTTCAAAAATCTGCTTGTTTTTTTGATAATTTATAGTATTATGGGCGCATTTTTTCCCTTGGTGTGGTTTCATGCGAAAGTGAATGTGTCAACAGTCTAAACTTTCTTTAACAATCACCAAATATTTGAAAATAGGCCCTTTTTAAGGGTGATAACACATCTTTTCAGATATAAAACTTCTGCTTCCCTTTCGTGCTGATAATTGATGAATGGCTTAATTTTCGGTCATATGCTTCACTGACGAGTGATGCCTTGAAAATCACGAAAGAGTACTGTATTGCCAGATAATGTGTGTGTCCTTTTTTTAGATACTCGAGCAAATGGACACCGGTTTACTACTATAGGACCCAGTAATCGTACATTCGACCACATACAGTAGAAAATGATAGAGTACAACTGATTACTCCTGCTTGAGCTTCAATAAACGGATATTCAGCTCAAACATTAGCTAATAATGCCTGATCTACCTATTTACACCCCCTGGATCATCACTTCTGGTGACAAACAAAACGGTGCCACCGAATTGCACAGATTCTTTTTGGAAACGGTAACCAATCACAACCCGTACTTCCTTTTATACAAGCCTGCAAAGGAAGTAAGTTTGCATTCAAGTTACTTTAGCAAATGATGAATGAAATTCTTAAACTGTATACTGATTTCTCATCAGATTAGTGATACAAACTCCCTGATTGTTACCAAAAGTACGGATCAGATTTTTTTTTTTTTTGTTCAGTGAAATTGACCCGTAAGAACATACACTCTGGGATATCCCATGTTAGAGAAATTGAGATTTCATTATTGAGTGTTACAAAATGATTAGTAGTGTCAAGTGGTTTTGAAAACTGCTGATTGAATATAGGATATCTGGCAAAAATGAATGCTTCTATCATTAATAAGTAATTGTTAATAGATACACCCGAGAAGATACTAGGTTACAGTTACACCAAATAGGAATTTAAGCCCAATAATCCATAATCAGGATTTGGAATTTTAACATTCTGATGCTTAAATTAGCTAGACATTATAATAGTTGTTAGTTATTATCTTCCTAGTTTACTTTGTAGGATGGTATTATTTGGGGAGTACCACAAATATGCAAACCCTTTCTTGAGCAAGTTGGTTTCTTGCAAATGAAAGTATTGAGTACAATACTATTTTATATCATGAATATCACTAATAATTAAATGAAAATTTCAATATAAAATGAATGGCCACTGCAAATGCAGCTCTGCATCTAACTTTTCACTGAATGAATTGCACTCTTGAATAGCACATGATTGGGCCTGACATGCAGAAATTCTTTCAAAATCGCTAGATACCGAAGCTTTTCTCAGATCTTCTCTTTTTACCCACTTAGGTTTTTTTCTTTTCCTCTTTCCACATTCATCCGCTTACACAATTAGCCACCATTTTAGAGAGTATTTTTATTACTTAGCTGCAAGTTTTCAAAGAGAAAAAGCAGTAAAAATAAAATAAATCACCCACATGTTTACTTTTTGGTGTTGTGATTTAAAATGGATGGAAACATTCAATACCACAAGACCTACTTGAAAACCTCAGTATTACAAATTGTTCAAAATAGATTGGACATCTAAACTATAGTTCTGGCAAAATTGTGCTGGGAACGTGAGTGATTTACAGTCATAACAATATCATCCCTTGTCAAAAACTTACACCTAGATTATCATACAAATTTCAGATTCTTGATTCCTGATAGTATAGACCTAAGCCAATACCTAGAGCAATCAATCCACCAAAATAAATTAAAACACAATATATAGTTTAAGACTATTTGAAATTAACCTTCTATTTTTCCAGATACATAATGAGTTTTTGTTCATAATGCTATTATAGTAATTTAATGGTTTCTGAGAAATAACGTCGGTTAAATTTAAGCAGCAACAGTGACTTCGACATCCACACCTGGTTCAATGGTGATTTGGGTGATCTTTCTAACAATGTTAGCTGGGGCGTGCAAGTCAATGACACGCTTGTGGATTCTCAATTCGTAGTGATCCCAAGTCTTAGAACCTTCACCATTTGGAGTCTTTCTGGTGTTGATGGTAAGGACCTTAGTTGGCAATCTAACTGGACCCTTCTTGACCAAGTTGTGTCTGGTAGCGTTCAAGATGATGTTGTTGGAAACCTTTTCCAATTGCTTGACTTTGGTGGAAACCAAAGTGATTCTGATCTTGAGGACAGCTTCTTGTTCTTGGACTTTCTTTTCAGTAGACATTTTGGGATATGCTATATGAATCTTCTTGAATACAATGTAACCGAACAGGGCTGAAATTTGCAGTTTTTAATATTTTTCAATTTATTTTTCTGATTATGATTTTCTCGGCGTAGGGAGGCCGCATTTTTGTCACGGGACAAACATATGATATACACGTGGTAATGAAACACGCCCTAACGGCAGTAATTTCCGGTGAGAGCGAAAAAAAGAGCCCTATAAGGCGGATGCCGGGAGCGGGTGAGAACCGGTAACCGAGAAATGGGGGTGAATGTGCTACATTATCATCGTTTGACATAAACCATCAACAAGGTTACATTATAGGAAAGATCATACTTTTCATCTTAAACTCCCAGGAAGGTCATTTATTTCAAAGAGAGGTAAGTACCAGCTCAACCAAGCACACACAAAAACGTATGATTAAGTGCTAAAGCCCAATGGAGAGTAAACTGTTATCATTGACACATGAATCCTTGATTTTGATTTTGATTTGATACTGATATTGATATTGATATTATTGAATATATTCTTTTTTCCTTTTGTTTTCCATTTTTCCGAGAAATGATGATCAATTATACATCAGAAGGTGCAAATCATGACGATTATTGTTGATACTCCTGTTTATGGTGCTCCTTTTTGAATTTTTGAAGCAAAAACGAACAACTCTTCTCCCGGTCCGATCACTTCCTTTTATTATGGAGCTTTTTTTTTTTTTTTTTTTTTTTTTTAAACCCTTTTCCAACAGCCTTTTTTTTGAATCATGATATAAACACTACTGATGATCCCAGTATATTGGATAATATTGTCACGCTAATGGTCAAAACCAATCGAAATTTTGGTTTACCATAAATCATGCCCATTTTCGAAAAAAATTATTATGCTTTGTGCAAACAAAAGCTCATCAAACTCCTAGGAATCAACACCGATACTAAGATTTATAAAGCTTGGAGCTGGCTCTTCAATTTTGTTCTTTCTCAATGGTTTTATGTGTTTCTTGCAGCCCTTATTGCCATTGCTGCCAAATTCCCGAACTTTGCTCGTCATGGAGGAACCATTAGGGCCGAATACACCATTGGTTACGCCGCGATCGCGTTGATCTTCTTTCAAAACGGGTTATCGATGAGAACCCTGGTGTTTTTGTCGCATTTATATGATTGGCGAGCCCATATTGTCGCTCTTGTGATGCAGTTTCTAGTCACCAACGCCATTGTCTACGGAATCTGTTGTGGTGTAAAAGCGGCCAATAACCCTAATATCGATGAATGGTTACTTGTCGGGGTGATCGTCACAAGCACTTGCTCAACCACCATTGCCTCCAATGTGGTCATGACAAGAAAGGCGAAAGGATCTGCCGAAAAGACAATTTCCTGTGTATTTCTTGCCAACCTCGTAGGGGCATTCATTTCTCCGTTGTTGGTGCAAATGTACTTAAGTGGGTCAACCTGGTCTTTTGGTAACCCTAAGAATGGGACTTCATTCTCCGAGGTGTATAGACGGGTTATGAAACAATTAGGTCTTGCAGTGTTTGTGCCGTTATTTGTTGGACAGTGTGTGATCAATATTAATCCGGATAAGGTCATGGCTATCAATGCCAAATATAAACTCAACAAAGTCGGTAGCATCTGTTTGTTACTCAATTTGTTCCAATCTTTCAGTACCGCATTCTATCAAAAGGCATTCACTTCGGTACCAGGGGTGTCAGTGGTGTTTGTTTTTTTCTTAAATACTGGGCTTTACTTGTTTTTCACGTTGCTCACTGCTGTAATTTGCAGAAACCCCCTCATCAAAAAGTTGTTTATCGATACCCAAGACTCAGTGAAACCTGGGTCGATAAAATACTATCTAACCAAGTTCTTGGCCCCATTTTATTTCCTGCCAGAAGATACGGTTGCCCTTATATTTGTTTGCCCTGCGAAAAGCGCGGCCCTCGGGATCTCTTTGGTGACGTCGCAATATGGCGATCACTCACAGTATTTGGGAAAAATCTTGGTGGCGTTGGTGCTATACTCGACCCAACAGGTCTTGATTGCTAATTTCATGGTGATTCCTTGTAAAAAATGGATTCTTATTTGCCAAGCTACGCAAGGATCGGAAAACGAAGATGTAAATAATATTGAGAAGAGTTTTTCCAACCAGGAAAGACAGCCCCAGACTGAAAATCCGCTTCAAATAGTGAATGAGGACGTTAGTACCCAAATAGTGAATGAGGACGTTAGTACCCAAATTAGCAATGCCAAGGAAAAGCATCCACTTTGAAGATATTCAACATTATTTAGCAAATAATCTTCACTTTTTATTTTTCATTCTTTCTTCCTCTCAAATATTTGCACAAATATGAAAACTGGTTTATTAGAAATATTTGTATTTTAATTAATTATTCTTAACCGTTATGTAAAAGCCTATATTTACCAGTCAAAAGTTTGTGAATATTACTGTCCCGGAGATTTACTAATCATATGTTACCTCCAATAAATTGATCATATATTGTACAATCGATACGAAAATTAAATAGAATAAAGGGACCTGCAAAACAAAAGCAAAAAAAAGAAGAAAACAGAATAAAACGTAAAAATATGGAGTGAGAAAATGGCAAAGAAACTTTCAAATTCTAATGGTTCAAATCCCAAATTATATTAGGTCCTGATTCTTCGAAATCTTCCTTTTTCACCATATACAAGTCATTACCGATATTATTAAGTGTGGCATGGTGACTACCAGGACCAAAACATAATTTGATATATACCACTGCCCCCAAAATTGTAAGGTCATTATTAATTCCCTTTGGATCGGAGAAATCTTTCCATTCTTGGAAATAATCTGGCTTTTTGATGGTGTTAATTGAGGTTGGGGCCTGCGAGAATGCAAGACCAACGTCAACATTACTCGTAGCGCGAAATTTAGATTCTGGATCGTTATCATTATCCAACGAGGAAACTAGGTGGTGTGAACTAAGGACTTCGAGAACCCTGTCTTTAAACCCGGATATTGAAGTTACTGGCCCATTAAATATTATATTTGACCAAAGTTCTTCGCGACGCTCGACATCTGGGTATCGAGAAATACAAAAATCAATGTAGAAATCAAGAGAATCAATGAGTTCTTCGGCTCCCAAAAATCGTTGCTTACCCACATTATGCTCAACCCCGTCAGAATCAATGAATGTGTTGAACTCAAGTTCAGAATTTTGCTTTGGCTCCTCTTTTTCATTGGACTTCTTTTTGCTCCGCTTTTCAAGTATTTCTTTTGGTTTAGGAGCGTTGACAACCAGAAGAACATCAAGCTCTTCTTCAAAATCGGTATTTGTTTTACTTTTATTTGCGTCACTAAGGATCTCATAAATATCGGACCGTTTCAAGTCTTCAATCTGCTGTGGGGTCCATCCTGGTAAAAGCTTAGAGAGATGGGAGTTGATGGAGTGTCCTCCAATTGGAACGGATACCGATGCAAAATTGACAGGTAAGTAATCTACAATCGAGGTGATTGTGAGTTTTTCTTCGCCAATATCCACGGCAAGCGCGGTGCTAACACTATTACCCCCATGCGCCAACAACAAGCAAACCGAGTTGGATACAAGAGTAATTGACGTGAGATGGTCCAAGTTTTCGTAAAAGTAGTTTATCGATTTTTGGACCTGAACTTTAGAAAAGCTGTCAGAAAGCGAGCCAGAAGTAATCACCATCAAATGAACAGTGACCAATTCCAAATTCAGGATATCGGGAAACTTGTATTTGACCACAGACTTATAAACTAATTTGACGAAGTAATTGAAGGCGTGATGGTTTGTGATATGGCCATTTTTAATAAACTGAACTTCTGTGGTACCAGTGGAGGCGAAATAGTTTGGTTCACCATTTGGATGGGCGTAGACTTTGGATGGGATGCTGATCACTTTGGAAGGAAGTGATTCATGAAGACCCAGGATCGGGGCAAACTGCACACGGGTTGTGGTTGTCCCGATGTGGATGATACAGTAGTGGTAATCTCTGTGGGGGGCCATTTTTGATTGATCTATCAAAAATAATAAAAACAATAATAATAGTACTGATAAATGGTTGTTTCTGTTATTTTTTCTCACCAATTTTCGCCGGTCCTCCCCCACCATCGCTGCTAACACTCCAGGCCTTAAAAAAAAAAAATACAAAAAAAAAAACAACGCGTCGTCTAAAAAACAAACAACCAAAAAGTGGCTGGAAGCAGTTTTTCTTTCTTCTTCTCGATATATTGATACTAATCACCAATACCGGGTACCCTATAGAACAGTATAGTTTAACACCAGCCATGGTCAGAGTATCAGGTTCAAGGCAATCGCTCGAAAGAGCAAGAAAAAGATCTAAAGTGTCGAAACCAAGAGTCAAACAGGAGGACCGTGACAGCGATAACCATTCTGACTCTGGGATCCGTCGTCATCACCCAGCAGACCCTGTTCAAGGAAGTCAGAAGAAGCGTCGATATCGTCCTGGCACTTTGGCGTTGAGAGAAATCCGCAAGTACCAAAAGAGCACGGACTTGTTGCTCCGTAAACTCCCTTTCTCACGATTGGTTAGAGAAATCGCTACTGATTATATGGGCGATAAGGACGCCATTCGTTGGCAAAGTGTTGCTCTCCAGGCGCTTCAAGAAGCCGCAGAAGCTTTCCTCGTGAACTTGTTTGAAGACACCAACTTGTGTGCCATCCACGCTAAAAGAGTAACTATCATGCAAAAGGACATTCAATTGGCTAGAAGAATCCGTGGCCAGTTTTAATGAGATCTTTGGCTGGAATTGTATCAGCCCCTGCTTTTCTTTTGACAGTGAAGTGTCTATATATGGGTGCGTGGGGGTGTTTTCTTCGCCTTATTTTTTTTTTTTGTAACATTTGTTAATCTATTGGCCTTTTGGGGGAGTTTGGTTAGATTTGATTTTTTTTTCACTCTCTTTTTCCTAAATTATTATTATTATCATTATTACTATTATACTTTTTTTTTACCATTATTCTTTTTTTTTTTTGTTTTTTTACATAGTGTGCTATTCTTTTCTATTTTTGTATTAGATTTTACTTATTCTTTTTTTTTTTTTATGGATCACCAAACATTATGAAACAAACCAAACAAAAGACATCAACTACTTTAAATACTTGTAGATAAAGAAATAGCAGAAAAACAAGATAAATGCACCACCTGCGAATAGGAACCTGTCCTGATAAACTCGACGTTCCACTTTGTGGATCGTCTCTTGGGAAACTCCCAAAGTTGTTAGACTTGAAGTGAGTTTCTTTTCAAATTTCATAAGATACTGATTCTGAATTACAATATCATCGAAACTGCGCTGTCCCATTTCAAGAATTTCGTCTAACTGGGCACTGGAGCGGCCCAAAGATTCACGCTCTTTGTAGAGACCATCTTGATAATTCATTCTAGGCTGCTGCTGCTGCTGTTGTTGCTGTTGTCCCAATGCCGAAGAGTATGGATTGTCGGTTGACGTTGTGGTTCCGCCCAAGCCGTGGGTATTATTATGTCTTCCGCGATTCAAAAGTTCACTTCGACTATTTTCATATTGCACTTCTTCTTTACGCCTCTTGATCGATTCAAAACGAGTCTTGAGTTCTAAATGCTCGCTTCGGAACTTCTCTAGTCTTTTTTTGTACTTCGCCTGCGAGTCGTCGTTGGTCTCTTTTAATATTAGATCTGCTAATTCATCGATGGTTCGTTGAAGCCCATTAAGCGACACCGATACTTGGCCCTGTGCTGACAATGGTGCATCGGACGATGATTCTAACTGCGTGAGGTCTTTTCTAATACTCTGTATTTGCTTGATTCCGTGGCCGAATAACGAGTTCTGAAATAAAAAAGGAAGAAATAAGTTAGCTGCTATCCCGTAGTACAAACTGTAAACCAAACCGCACTCACCATTTTTCTCCCTAACACATTTGATGGTAAATTATTATTATTGTTCACAACGTGGCACCCACAGAGATCAATTTTTTTTTATGATTTTTCTTCGTATAGGAAGAAAAATTGCTGCTTTATGCAAGAGTAAGTGTAGTTCTGCAGGTGTGTCATGATCGCAACCAACCCACCCACAACATGAACCAAGCAATTATCAACAATCCCCGTCATTTCATCGTTCATTGCTACCATATCTACACCGTACCAATGAAACTCTCCAAGAAGTCTAGACAGTCCCATCTCGCTGGAATTGCTCTATATGAGCAAAAGCACAGGGACAATGCACTCACCAACAACCAGCAAACCACCACCACCACCACCACCACCACCGCCAGTGCTGCGGCAGCGGCAGCGGCAGTAGCAGCAGTAGTTCAGATCTCATCACCAAACAAGATTTCTGGAACCCCCAACCTGAGCAAAACCTCCCCAAAGAAAAAAATTGGCATTAATCAGCCAGATACTGGGCATCATAATGTTTCCAACACCTCTCAAATATCCAAACCTTTCACGTCGGGTAGATCTTTCGAAACCCCTGTCAAAAACCACCATCACCTTCATCATCATCGTTTGTTGCCACAATTAGTGAAAGACAATAAAAATCTCAGTTTCCAAAGCATTGATATCCATCACTTGCACGATCCTATTAATATGGACTCGCGCACCTCAACTCCAGTAGTCAAACCGCTCAATACCACTACTCGGCTGCCATCTTTGACCACAGTCGATGATGATGATGCCTATCCTGTTACATTCCTGTCATCGCCAAGTAAGAAACTTCTCCCAAACCCTGAGATATCCAGAAAAAATTCCCCTAACAAGTCGTTGGTGCTGCAGAAAAGTTCCAGCCATCTGTATCGTGCTCTTTTATCTTCATCAAGCCCAACCAATAAACAACATCATTGCGACGACACCACATTGGCAGAAAGCAGTGCTGCTGCTGCTTCGAAAGAAGCAGCGCTAGATTTGAACTTCCTTAATAAAAATGAACAAGCTCTTGCTATTGGGAGCGCCAATGCTGCCCTTAAAGAAGAACCAGAGCCAAAGTCATTAAAGCTTCCCAAAAAATTGGAGAAACTGAAGCGGAATACCCCAACGGATACCACCGATGTGAACCATCCTAAACCATCACCAGTATCAAGTCAATACACTTTGGCAAAATATACGAAGAAAAACAATTCGCCCACAGTATCACCAGGCAATGATGATTCCGTGAAGTCATTGAAAGCTGCTAAGCTTGCGGCGTTTAGGTCTGCCACCAGAGGTCATAAAAGTAACAACAGTGTGAAGGAAACACAAGCTGAACCAGATATGGTAGACTTGGGGTCTGGTCTCACTATGGATTGGAAAACGATAAATGTTATTGCCCAAAAGAGAGTGAACCCAACCCTTGCAACCATGGATGCAGAAATCAAGAAAAAAAAGGACGAGAAAGAGGCTAGCATAAAGGACAAGGCAAAGGAAACCAATAAGCATAAGATGGTCGCAGGGACTGAAAAGATACTGCAAGAGCCAAAAAGGGAATCGACAGAACTGGAAGACAAAAAGGAGAAAGAAATTGGGCCGGATAAGAGTACCAATGGAAGATTGGGATTCCTCAAGAGAAGAATACATCATATAAAGAAAGAAAAAAACAAGGAAATCGAGAGTAAAAAGGGTGAGAAGAAGAAGAACGTTGAGATAGAGGAGGAAAAGGAGAAGGATAAAGAGGGAGAAAATCAGGAGAATGAAAAGAAAGAAACCCAGGAAGAGATAGAGGAGAAGGATGAGAAGGGGGACAAAGAAATCCCAAATGTTTCAAAAGATATTGAAAATGTTGGAAAGACGGGTATACTCCGTGATAGTAGCTCTGATGCCAATACCTCTGAGATTGCAGACTCTCCCAATTTGATCGCAGATCCACAAGTTGTTTCAAAGATTTCAGAAACAGGCAATCCCCAACATCAGATAACGTCAAATGGTGAAAGTCCTGAAGAAGAATCTTCTGAAATCCAATGGTTACCAAAATTTTCGAACCAGTTGGATAATGATACCGTTGCGGCTGTCAAGAGTTTGCCTTTAACACCGCTGGATGAGAAATCAGGAATTTTTTTTGACTTTTCTTCTGGAGCCGAAAAAGAAGTGCAAAATGATCAAAAATTGGCTAATAGGGAAGATTTGAGTAATAGTGAAGATTTTAACAATAAGCAAGAATCCAGTAATAATAAGAAATTGAATAATCATGATGATGCAGAAGAAGCACCAAGTGCCTCTCACAATGGGACAATTGAAGTACCGGAAATCAAGAAACTCCCAAATACGGCTGCTCCCTTATATAATTCGAGTCTTGATCCTGGAGAACCTGTGATGCCTACTAGCGGAACAGATACTACTAAACACAAAACTTCCAATTCCCCGGGTCTGAATTCCTCGATATTGTCTGATGGAGACCCACGAGCTCCAATAAACTCAGTTTCTCAAATAGAACCCCCAGAATTGGAAGATAAATACAATTCTCTGTATAGCCATAAAGACTATGATTTGAAAGCCCTTGTCGATCAGAATCATATGCTCATTCACCATCTTGAGAACTATTCAATTAATAATGACAAGTCTGGTCTGAAAAAGCCTCACAAGTCCTTAATAAGCTTACAAGAGGAGCTCATCCGTACAGAGCATCAAGTATTAGATAATGAGGTCAGAGAGCTTGGCGAAGACCATTTCACTGAAAGCCCTGAAAGTCCACTGAAAGAATTGAAGGACAGACACCGAAATTTAGCACAGCGCCGTAAATCCTTAGTTGAAGATGGTAAAGTACTTGAAGGTGCCCGGACAGCTATTATTGGTGGATCCCCTCACAAAAATTGTCCAAATCAAGAGAGTGACGATGCAATAGTAACTGAACCAGCAGCAGCTCGTTCGGTGTTTAATGGAATTAATGAGAAAAGTACCGGTGAAGAGAAACCAGTAAATACCACCCATGAAACTGAGAAACAAGAAGAAAAAAGAGAAAATGGAAACAAGGGTATATCAAGAAACCCATCCAATGAATCAATTCTTACAGAATCAAAGATTGCCCAAGGAAGATATGATCCCTCCAATTCAGAAATAAATCCGTCCATCCAGACCCTAAGAAGCAATGAAGGGGTTATTGGGCAAAAGATCACAAATAACTCTGGTGGTGCCTCGGGACTTTCAGAGAACAAGAATAGAAGAAGCTCTTTGTTGAACAAATTTGGCAAATATGTTGCCAGAAAACATGAAAAGAGTAAAAAGGTAGTTGCATAGTTGTTTATATGATACACTTATTTCTACCCTTACATTTCTATATTATTGTTCACATTCAATTTTTTTTTTTTTCGTTTTGTAAATTACGACAGACCAGAGACCATTTTTCTCAACAGTTATTCCATTATTAATTATAATATGCTACTTCGTTTGAACGATACTTTATTACGTTGTAAAGAATTCTAAATATCGTGATGCCTGCGGCATGTTGGAGAAGAAAAAAAAATCTTTCTCACAAAAGCAAGAAAAAAAAAAAAAAAGCCATCAAAAAATACATTGGATGGAAATTTCATTACATTACTACATGTGCATACACTAAGAGCAAATACTAAGGGCAGTGCTTCTCTTGAAACATGAACAGGCATCTGTTAATACTAAGGACATGCCGTTTTCGAACAACTTTGAGCCTAAAACGAGCCTCAGAAACCGCATTCTTAGTGCAGAGATATTTCACTAGCAGTTGCACAAGTTATCGGAGCTCTCCATCAAGGAATACCAATGTGGAATCAGAGGTTTCTGGACATCGCTCAAAGAATAGAAATGAAGCTTCAGATTTCTTAGGATCATTAGATCAAGATCCAGATTCTGAGGCTGATGACCAAATTTTCAGGCTCATGAAAATTCGTAATGAAGACAAATTGTTCGTCCCACAAATGGTCCATCTGTGGAATAAAATAATACCAAAAGCTTATATCGAGGAGTTTAATACAGTGTTAGTCAATAAGGCCTCTAAGGGTAAGGTAATTAAAACCCCTGAAGATGGAGTTGAGACCGACTATTTTAAGTTCACTTCGGCTTTTTTGGAGAATATGGGTCAGTTTGTGGAAGAAACCAATGCCAAAAAATTCAATAGATTAACAAACCTGGCATTATTGTTATTGAGAAAGCAACTTCTCGTAGGTATGAAGCGCCTCGCTAAGAAGTCAACCTGGAAAGACGGAATCAAAAAGCGCGAAATTGTCCTTGAAGATCTCATTGCTCCAAAGATTGATGAAATTCCAGAGATTTTGTACGAACTATTTCTTACAAAACAAAGTAATATATGGCCAGGTCACTTCGTTGAAAAATACAAAATCGATCCCAAATCTTTCAACTCACAGTTCAAGTATCTCATTAATGAAGCATACAAATACAATTTACAGACAAGTGAGATATTATTTTCCAATCCAAGAGATGCCAAAATTGAAATTTCTAATCCTACAAAATGGTTCCCACTAGCAAGACAGCTCAAACGTAATATCATTATGCATGTTGGTCCTACAAATAGTGGGAAGACCTATAATGCTTTGAAACGGCTTGAAGAAGCGGAATCAGGATACTTTGCTGGACCACTTCGATTATTGGCTAGGGAAGTGTTTGAAAGATTCAAAGAGAAGAATATTAGTTGTAATTTGATCACCGGGGAAGAAATCATTGAGGACACTGATGAAGTTACGGGAAATCGCGCGAAGAAATCGTGCGGAACCGTAGAAATGATATCATTGATCGAGGAATATGATGTTGTGGTGCTTGACGAAATTCAGATGATTGCTGATCCGCGTCGTGGTTGGGCATGGACCCAAGCGTTACTTGGGGTCAGAGCTAAAGAGGTTCATTTATGTGGTGAAGAAAGTTCGGTGGCACTAATTCAAAAAATTGTAGAATTAACGGGCGATAACCTCGTGGTCAACAAATACAAACGTCTTGGAGAATTAAAGGTGCTTAAAGATAAATTTGGGCATTTTGGAGAATTACAAAAAGGTGATTGTGTGGTAGCGTTTTCTAAGGCAAAAATATTGGATTTGAAGCTACGTATCGAAAGGACTACCAGTCTCAAAGTGGCAGTCATTTACGGGGCTCTACCTGCAGAAACAAGAGCTGAGCAGGCTAAAGCTTTTAATAGTGGTGAAGCTGATGTTTTGGTTGCCTCGGACGCCATTGGAATGGGATTGAATTTGAGTATTAGAAAAGTGATTTTCTCAACAACAGAGAAATTCGATGGTGGTTCCAGGAGAAGATTAACAGTCTCTGAAATAAAGCAAATATCAGGCCGAGCTGGCCGTTTCAAGCTGGCAAACTTCGGGAATAAATCATCATCATCAGAGCCGGTTTTTGATGTGTTAGAGGATGAAAAAGTTATGAAAGAAAAAAGTGAGCCTTCTTCTTCTTCAGCAGCAGCGGTAGGGTATGTCACGGCGATGCATAACAGAGGCTTGTCCTATATACGCTCTTGCTTATCACACAAAATCACCAATATCGAAAAAGCCTGTCTTTGGCCTCCAGACCATATCTTAACCGAATATATTTCCGAGTTTCCTAGCAAAACCTCACTCACCCACATTTTGAAAGTTTATGGAAAAGAAGTTACGACTAGTGAGTTATTTTTCAGTTCTGATGTTGAACCTAAGATTGAACTTTGTGAAATTATTGAGCAGTTCCATCAAACCAGCAAGAATCAAATATTGCCTATTGGAGACCAACTTACGTTACTCAAAATACCCCTTAGTCGTATTACCCCGCTTACTTATAGAATTTTTCTTGAATTTTGCGAGACCATTTGTCTGGGGAAAACGAAGTATATTTTTGATTTCTCTCTCCCATTTGAAATGCTTGCCAATAATGAATCCCAGCCAATTTATGATCCATCCAAGCCTCAGGAATCATCCGTGTTTTATAAAGGGCATAACTTGGTTGATGCCGTATTCAATAAAACCAATAAGCCATCAAATTCAACCCTAGAGTACTTGGCCAGTTTGGAATCTTTACATTCATTATTCATGGTGTTTTGCTGGTTGTGCTACAGATATCCTTATAACTTTGTTGGAATCAATTTTACGATTCAACTCAAACATTTGTCAGAATACAAAATTTCTGAAATGTTGAAATTGCTAAAAACTCAAAATCGGTCCTCTAAATAACCAAACCAGTAGGTTTGCTGTTTGATATTTTTTCTTAATTGTACTATATTGTTCATAGTTTTATATTTCTGTTTTAATAGAGTTTGTTTGCAGAACAACAATTAATTACTGTAACCTTTTTTTTGTATTGGAGTAAGATATACATTCTATAAAACCATCTTCATTCTGCAGTAATTGCTTTAACCACCTTTCTCTGTCAAATTAAAACAATTTATTTTTTATTTTTTCAAAAAAGGTAATAGAATCATTCAAACCAAATAAAGAACCGCACGATAAAAAAAAAAAAAAATCAATCTAGCTGCTAAAAGTAATTGTACAACGAAGAAGAAAAATTCATAGAAAACGCAAACGGTAAAGTGAGAGAAAAAAAAGAAGAGGAAAAAACAATACCAAAAAAGTAATAACAACACACCAAGTATTTTCATTTTAGGCACCTAATTAAAATAAAAAGATGCAAGCATAGGCTTAAATAATACAGCCACCACTTTTTGGGTAGAATGGGCAGCAAAATCATAGTCTCATGAAATTAGGATTCGTGATCCAATGCTTTTTGCATTGGGGCTTGTAATAAATAGAAACAACAGCAAATGGCGAGCAAATAATGGGCCATGGGTGATGGCGCTGCTTGTTAATCATAAAACAAAGGTGAAATGAAATGGAATAAAGATCAAAATATAACAAAATTTCATCAAAATATAATTCGGATCATCACCATTTTTTTAGCTTATCATTGAGGATGACGAAGCAAATCATCATCTTCTTCCTCATTCAACGTAGTCAACCCCATAGCTTCCTCGTTGTCCAAGCTGAAGAGACTATGGCTGTTAGAGCCCACTCTTCTATGTAATTGTAAGGATCTTCTGATAGAGACGCCTGCGCCCACAGCATTGTCCAAAGGAATATCTTCAATGTTCTTACCGCTACCAAACAATCTCTCAGGGCCATCACTAGAATTGATTGGGAGCAAATCATCATTGGAGTGTTTTCTGGAAATGTTCAACAAATAAACCCCCATAAAGATAATAATAAACCCACAAATAAGAGAGATAATGTTGATGGAGGAGGCGGTATTGAAACCTCTAAACAAGATAAATGAAGCAACTAATGTGGCAGTTGTAAATGACACGTAATATAATGGGTTAACGATAGAGGTGTCGAACTGATCCAAAGCTTTATTGAAGTAATTCATCTGGGTCAAGATACAGAAAACCACCACAAAAATGAAAAAGTAAGTTGACAAATGGGTGAATTGGTTGTTTCCAGCAAATGTCAATTTCAAGGCAATACCAAATGCTTTGATGGACATGACAGAAATTGAACCGACAGTAGAGCAAATAGAGACATAAATGACAGGATTCTTATTACCGTATTTTGGAGCCACTTTATAAATCATAAATGTTGCAAATATAGCAACCGCGAGACAATAACTGATGAAGCCGGGTTTAAGAGCATAATCCAATATCTCATCAACGGTTTCAATTTCTTTGTCTGGTGGCGCATGTAAAACAATAATGACCGATCCTAAAATACAAATAGCACAACCCATTTTCCCCAAAGTTCCTAATTCTTCTTTCAAAAAAATTGCGGCCAAAATTGCCCCAATGATAACTGACAATGCGCCTAGAGGAGTGACCAAAATTGCTGGAGCAAAAGTATAAGCTGCAAAGTTGGCAACTTCCCCAACGGCCATAGTAGCGATCCCCGCCCACCAGATTGGATTTTTAAGATATTCATGCCCTTTACCTTCGAACCCTTGATTTTGAGCGTCCATAAGGCCCTTTTTGGTGATGATAAACGAGGTCCCGATAGCCAAGGACGAGGACATTGCTAGTCCTAAACCGATATATTTGTCTTCCATGGTTTGTGATTGAGGTTATAATATATTATATTTCTATTTCAGATCAAGCGGATGTGTGATGTTGAAGCAATTGATAGTTGAGTTTGACGTATATGTATATTTGGCAATTAGAGTCAAACGAAAAGAAAAACAAGACTGAAAAAAAAATTGGAAAATGGCAATAATAAGTATAAGTCAGGCTTTGAAGAAATTGAAACAAGATTCTTTCAGTAATATGCTTGTGTATGTGTGGATACTGGGAAAGTTGTTTGAGCACGTACCACTTATGAGAGAGTACAAATAACAAGTGAACTGGGGAATCCTCACAAGTGGATGATGCAAAAAAAGAAGAGGAAAAAAAATCAACCAGGCACTGCCGTACCGGAATGCCGACACGGAGACACAATAATAAATAAAAATAATACTAACAATCAATATCCTAGACGGTGCACCAAATAACATGAACAATAGTAATACAGGCCTTGGTCTATATTTAATTTTATTCATTTATTATTCAAGTTGTCTAGACCAGTAAGTATTATTATTATCATAATCATCATCATCATCATCATGTTATTATTATATGACATACAACTCCACGGCGGTCACTAGGAGAGTAATCGATGTGTCAGAATAAGCCCATTTCGTGCACTTTAATGCATATACGGTATGATAAAAAAAAAAGTCCACCCATACACCCACACACCAGATTGGCGGCTCTCATTGGGGCGGGTCACCCGATAATCATCGATAATAATATGTCACAATCCAAACCTCATCTTCTCCCACCACTGACAATTTCACCTCCCGTAAGCAATACCCTCACATTCTATAGTGGCTGATGACAGCCGCCTACAACACCAATCAGGATGACTTTCTCAGCGAGGTCGAACACTCGATCTTCGCCTTAAACTACCCTCAAGCAAACCCTTCATCATCAGCATCATCATCCCCATCTACTACTGATAACATCGCCACATCACTATCGTCAAGCATTCACCACCCACTGCTTCCTATACATCCCGGCATCAATAACACATACCATATTCAAAACCTAAACTCTCCTGTTGCATCGGGATTTTCTCCTCAAGCCATTTACATCACTCCTGGGACCCATCATGATTTTGCCAACATGCGTCAAGCTGTCAATGCAATGCCTCTATCTTACATTCATAATAATAATCACCAAATAAATGCATCACACAATATCAACGGAATAACCTTCAATGATTCTAGTACTCACATGGTTCCTGTGGCCGATTTTGGCTCTGATCCAGTTAACAGTAATACTTCAGGATTCCAAAATATCCAACCACATCAACTATCAGTCATTAATCAACGTTCTTCTTCGCAAACCATCATGGCTTCTTCAGACATATCAGCATATAAAAAAGTGGGGCCAGCACATACAGATGCAATTCCAACTTTGCATGATACTTCTGGATATATTGACGGCAGTGTCATTATAGATCAAGAGCTGCGGTCACTTCCTATAAACACCCCGAGAAAAATGGAAATTACTACTGATACCACTGTTTCCAATAGTCCTAACATGTCATCTACGTATAAAAAATTGGTGCCAATTCATGAATATTCGGAAATTAGCGTTGCAGATCTTGCAGCATCCTCCAGTTCCCTCAATTCTGATGTTAGCTCTCAATCGTTGGAAAATAAGAATCCTGATATTCATGCCATGTACAAGAATCACACTAGTATATTTAATGGAGTTATACCCATCAGTAATCCACAGAAAATCACAATGCATAATTATCTACCCGGAAGTTTATCTCGTGAACCTTCCGCAAGATTCAATATTTCAAGCTCTGCTTCTTCTTCCTCTGCTTCATTATTATTGTCGAATCCTTCGAATTCGGTACGATCCTCAATATCTAGCGCTACCAATGCTGTCGAGAGCTCAGTCTTGACGAATACGAAGAAACATAATCGATCTTCGAATTCCCTTGCATCGATTGATTTTCGGTTTAACAACTTACAAATAGATACTGATAATCAAGATCTTTCTTCCGGTACGGCTCCTCTCATCTCCAATGATTGCAATATAAATGAGGCAAAAACTTCCCACATGGATGTCAATATTGATCATAATCATGATAGCGAAGATTTTGTTATGGGTTCAATTACCATTAATCCAAAGAAGTTGAAAGATGAGAAATTTCAGGAAGATACTGAAAATTTGGAATCAAAGAAATTTGATAAGCAGGTCAGAATTTCATCGAGTCTTAATGCTGATGGGAATTCATTAAATGGTGTTTTTAATGATGATAGTTTGGTACCCAGTGGTAATTACAAAAATATTGACAATCATAAAAGTATGAATGTTGCTAAGGACAGTGATAACAATAGTGATAATTATTGTGAAAATAAAGATGACTTTATATCACCAACAATAACTAACCTGATGAAAGATGATGGCAAAATTGATTTTAGAATGCAAGGAGAGGCCGTGACCGCCATCGCGCAGTGGTTAGACCAAGACTCAGAGACTGATCCTGAGACTTCATTACTACTACGTCGAGAAAATGCAAAATTAGGAAGTATTAATCATTCAGGGATTCATAGAACCGGATCTTTCCTTCTTGAGCTGTCATTATCATCAGCCCACTACAATGGTTTGGCAAGCGGACTGTCTCATAGAATGAAACATAAAAAAGCTGCCAGTGATTCAGGGTATTTCATGCTGAATTTTGGAGTATCAATTTATACTAGTGGCAACCCATTTGAGTTGGAGGGTAGCAGTAATCCTAATGTTTTTGGAGAATTTTATGATACGTTTGGCAACGAATTAGAGAATCGGTTGGCCACCAATGATGAGTTCTTATTTGATGAAGATGATGAGGACAAAATTCGGGTTGATGAATTAGAAAATAAAATGGCTAAAGATATTGATAGCGAAAATGACGCTGATGATTACGATCATAATACCTCGCAACTTGAGAATATGAAGGAGGAGATATTATCGTACCCATCGATAAAAGATACCCCAAAAATAGTTGGCTCCATTCCTGTGGAGTCGTCTTCCAGGCTTTCCAGAACTTCGAAATCCCTCAAAAATTTATCGAAATTTGAATCCCCAACGGAATTATCATCAAAAGAAACAAAGCGGAAAAGCCTCACAAAACGTCGTAAACGTACAAAATCAGAGTCTAATATTCTTCTGTTACTGGATCCAGTGTCTCCACTTTCAAAAATCACCAAATCTAGACCATCAACCAAGAGTTCTGTGAGTTCTTCGAGCATAAATTCTGGGTCAAGCTCTCCCACAATGGCAATTATCAGCTCCTCTAGATTTGATATCACAAGCTTGGAGGCTATTAGTATTCCATCCGCGAATCTTGGAAAACCTTTCCAATGCTCGCAATGTGAGAAATCATTCAAAAGACAAGAGCATTTAAAGCGTCACTTCCGTTCGGTGCATAGTAATGAGCGACCTTTTCTATGTGTCTATTGCGATAAAAAGTTTAGTAGAAGTGACAATTTATCGCAGCACTTAAGAACCCACAATAGGGGTAAATAGAAAGGTGCTGTTAAGAGGACTCTTGACTAATATCCTGCTGCCTTTTACATTTCGTGATCAAGGTATTGTCATATTATATTATTATTTCTGAAGACCATTATAATAAAGAATCAGCGATCTCAAATATGATTTGAGACTGTGTTTATACACAAATTTTTGTTTGCTACTTTCGAGCCCTATAAATTTTTTTATTCACTTTTACTTTTTTTTGACGTGTCCTTTTTTTTTTCTTCTTCTTTATGTTGCGATACAGTGGGCATTTTTATTTTCTTATTCCTTTTTTTTTTATTTAAATTTGGTTTTATTTTTTACTTTTTATTATTTTGGTTTTATGTTTTTGCTTGGAATTATTTTTGGTTGAATTTGGTTGTTTTTTTTTTTGGTTCAGGATTTCATTTTTCTTCTTAGCTCTTTTGTTTTGATAGGTAAATGAATAACACTATCTACTATTTTATTTCAATTAATTGCGTATCCCTTACTGAAGATTTCAAGAATCAATGGAACGTTAGTATTTTGTAGGTCAGCTGGGAAGTTGAGATGTTGCAAGATTTTCTTTTATATTGGTAGAAATACCTTGCCAACCAGCTGAAAATCTTTGGGGGCAGACTGTTGGTGTTTTCGTTTTATTGAGGAAGGCTTTTATTGGTAGATTGGTGTGATAACGAGCAGGCAAATCGTCACTATTAAAATCCCCAATGACGTTAGCGCTAATGTTCAGTTCTCTCTCATGGTCTGCAGGACATCATCATCTTTGATTTTTCTGTCAAAGCAAAAGTGTAAACCCAAAGTGGTCTGGTGTTGATGGAATTATATTGATAATAGATTCACCTTAACAGACTAGTGATTTCTGTATCCATGACGACGAAACTGTTTTGTTTGAAGAATTCATCACCAAAACTGGTACCAACTGCATTAATGTATTTACCAATGACTTTGGGATCAGTGATACTGGTGCTAGGGATGACTGTACTTCCATTTGATACCAATGGATTGTTGAAGAAGTTTGATTGTACTAGTTGGTGAAGATAGTCTGGCGCTTTTTGTGGGTAAGGTATCGTTTGCATCCATTAAGGTCGTTAGATGGGTATTGATTACCGTCGACAAAATGTGCATCACAAAGTACCAATCTGGTAAGTTGCGATATTACTTCTTAAGCTTGCTGAATATATTCCATAAAAAAGGGTAGACTAATTAAGAGCTATAATACATATATCTATGACTTGCTGTGATTTTTTATTTTTGGTATCTAATCCATCCTGCTAAGGACCATTTTTTGTTCGTGAAGGAAAAATACTCTCTTATGAATATGATCGAATAAATAAGGTCTCAAACACCTTCTTCTTGGAGTTTATTGTGGGTTTCGAGAGGTCTTGGCATTTTATTCTGCTAAACCAACCGTTTTGTAATTCACCTGTTGATTCTGTAGCCTGCACGATTGCCAACATCATTTCCATACAAATGTGGAAAGGAAATCAAGGAGGAGGATAAGTTTTGCAGGATGTGAAAGAAATCCTATTTCTTCAATTACTATTACTATCATTATGATCACAATGATTCTGAAAGAGAGAAACCAGGAAAGAAGAAGCGTATATTGCCGAAGATCACGAGGCCCAGTATAGTAAAGCTGTGGAATTTGATTCAGACACAAAGAAAGAAGTCACTGATATTCAGTAGACTGGGATGATTCAAAAAATAAGCTTTTCATTCAACCGCGGTGAAGTTGTGCTTCTACGTCATTTTTTTTTCTCCCCAACTACGAATAGTTTCGGGCACAATTGTCATTTTCTGTCTATATTCGTTATCTCATTCAGTGTTGAAATTGGTTTAATTTTTAAAATCACTATATATTTGATAACTAATAGTAATATAACCCCAATAAGGTTGTTTTGTTACTGCCATAGGCCAGACGATCTGCGAATCATTCTTGTATTCCAGTCAAAGATAGTGTCCTGATACGTTGGATGTGTGCATGTTAATTAAAAACATAGAATAATACCCCAAATCGGATTACCAGTCGTAAACTAGAGTCCGACGACAGAATAGGAGCAAAAAGAGATCGGATTGGCGATCAATATCATGGAGGTGTGCGCCGAATCGATCTTCGACCTTAAAACAGAAACCAAATAAAAATGAAAAAGGGACACGGAGTTAACTCTTCCAACATAATCCATTCCTGTTTCATATTTGAATTTCTATTGTCAAAAGACGATACTATTTTCCAGTATTGTTATTGCTATCCAATTCTCTAGTGAGTGATCTGCGTTATTTTCTCTAATTTACTCACCTATTGTCTCTTCTAGTTTCTGATTTGCTCAGGTACATATTTTTGGTCATACCTCATCATATGTACTAAAAATAGCGTGAAAAAAACAAGAAGGTGAAAAAACCGATTGTTTTGACTCGGCGGAGATAGATATTCACAACAATATTAAGTTTTTTCCTTCTTAATTACATATTTTCAAACAACCGCAAACATCAATCAAAGGAAAATAGAAAGCATTGCCTGACTTTCTGAAAACAAGTGTGGATATTCGCACGTAATTCACTTGCTTATAGACGGCAGTCTCTGCGTGAATTGATCTATCTACAAGCAGCAATGACAACAATGTTGACAAGGATTTGTGCATTGCATGAAGTAATTCGATATGCGTCCCTGCTTCCAATTTCTGCAATTTTGACCCATCATAAACTCTGGGCAGGAGTCTAGATAACAATAATTGGTTGCTAATCTTAAAAGTTGCTGCAGCCCAAATCACTGATAGTCATTTGGTGAGGTCGTATGGCATTTCAACAAAACACCAAAATTCTAATCGTCAATATAAACTGTAAATCATCAGACAATCACAACAATAATAGTGTCTGGTTCAGGTGGCACCAGTCACATTACCTCTCAATATTATTCAGTTGATAAGAGATTTTTACAGTTCACAGTTTTCATCACTTGAGTCTTGGAATGGCGTGTCAAATATTTTCCAACTATGGTTTACGCTCTATTCAAATAGGGGTACTTTGAAGATATCAAGAAGAAGAATCAAAAGATATAAATAATTGGGCGGTCCCCATCCTATTTGCAAACAATTAAATTTATATTCTTTTTTATTATCAATCAATCTAATACCCATCTTTTTCTCTTTTCATTTCTACATTTTTTCAATCTTCTCTTTGGTTGCACTGTTACAATGAGATTTTCCAACACTGTTCTCTTTTCTGTCTTTGTCGCTTTGACCTGTGGTGCTCCTGTCCAAAAGCGCGGTACTCCATCTGCTCCACGTCTTGATTTTACCGTTGTTAGATCCAGTGGTAAAGCAATCAATGGTACTTCAGCCTTAACTAAAAGACGTTCTGTTAAGTCTGCCAGCGACGCTGGAGTCAGTGTCACTTTGGACAATGAATACTCATTCTACCTTGCTAGTATTGAATTAGGTACTCCTGGTCAATCTCTTCAAGTCGATGTTGACACTGGTTCTTCTGACCTTTGGGTTCCAGGTTCTGGTACCACCTCCAGTTACGGTACTTATGACTCCTCTGATTCCTCCACCTACTCTGAAATCGATACTGGATTTAGCATTAGTTATGGTGATGGCTCATCTGCTTCTGGGGTTTGGGGTAAAGAAACCCTTACCATTGGAGGTGTTTCAATTACCGATATTGATTTCGGTTACGCCACTACTCAAAATGTTGGCCAAGGTCTTTTGGGTGTCGGTATGAAAGGAAATGAAGCCTCTGAAACAGACTCTCCAAGTTTCTCCTACGACAACTTGCCACTCCTTATGGCCGACCAAGGTATCATTACCAAAGCCGCTTATTCCTTGTACTTGAACTCTCAAGATGCTACTGCCGGTTCCATTTTGTTTGGTGCAGTTGATAAAGCCAAGTACTCTGGTGACTTGGCCACTTTATCACTCGTTGATATTGACGATGAAGGTGACTCCACCAGCAGCCCTGTTGCATTCTTTGTCAACTTGGATGAAGTTGCAAGTTCTTCCAAAACTTACACCACCACCACCTACCCAGCCTTGTTGGACTCCGGTACCACTTTGATTTATGCCCCAAGCTCCATTGCCGCCGCTATCGGTAAAAAATACGGTACTTACTCCAGTGACGAAGGTGGTTACGTCACTTCTTGTGACACCACTGGTGAAGACTTGACTTTCACTTTTGACAGTGCTACTGTCACTGTTCCATTTGCTGACATCTTGTATGACCTTGACAGCAACAACCAATGTTTGGTTGGTGTCTTAGACTCTGATGCTGAGTACTACATTCTCGGTGATGGTTTCTTGAGATCAGCTTACGTTCTCTACAACATCGCTGACCAAGAAATCGGAATTGCTCAAGCCAGCTACTCCACCGATACCGATATCGTCTTGGTTTCCTAAATGGTTTCTTAAACCAAGAGCTTAAATTTTGAATAGGTTAATATTAACATTCATTTCAATATTCCATTTTGCTCAAGAAAGATCAGCAAGATCTTTTTTATCATCTTGTTCAGAGTCTCTTTTATTTTTTGATACCTGCTCTTTTTTTCAGCTGATTATCTTTTCCTTTTAACTGTTTGCTTTTGTTTTTGTCTCTTCTTCGTCTGTTCACTTCGGTGATGTTTTTTTTCCTACTCTTGACTTCTGTTACAAGCTTCTTTTTTATATGAAATATAATTGAAATTTCCATTGGTTTTTTAATAATTACTCGTAGAGAAGCTACTTTTCAACAATTTCAAGCTCAAATAGAATACAGATTCTTTGTTTATTTGTTTTTTGAGAATTGGATTTGTCAACTGCATAGATCGGAAAAGTGGGAACTATTATTATCGAAGTCTAAGAAGGTTTTTTTTTTCATCATTATTCTTTTTGCTTAAGATTAGTATCAAGCTTTGACATTTCTTTTTCCAGAGTAATTAGTCTCTGTAATCAATTCTCCAAGCAGTTTGGCTGGAACTTGAATAATGATTCGTAACACATGAGCCTTCTTTTCTTTTGTCTTAGTAGTTCAGAAGATTTTGCGTTATTAGATAACTAAAAAGATTTAGTATTAAGGCATTAAGAGCCTTATTTGAAAGTTGTGTTCAATGTTTTGCAGAATTTTATTCAAGAATTTTTGAATATTCCCAAGGCATGATGATAGAAGATATTTTTTGACTGCTTGAATTGATATTTGTTGTATTACACCTTCTTTTATCCTAATATATTTTTGCATTTGCAAACTTGTGAGATGAACTTCCTCTTAGACTTGAACCTTCAATACATTCCTGGTATTCAGAGTTGATTCATTAAGGCAAATACTCTTTAGACTTTTGCTTGTCGATAAATACTACGAAAAATAACTAAAAACACTTATCTCCAGCAAGCAAAAAACAAAAGAAGCAGAAAAATAACTATAAGATAATTGTAAAAGGTATATATACAGAACGCGGTCATTTAAACGAAAACTTAGAGATAAAAAGACAAATTTTTTATGTTTTATAAAAGATACTTTCTAAGGATACAGGAGTGCTTATTATACTTCTATATTTAGAGTAACTATATTAATATTATTTACTAAGTTACTGTAAACCATCCCTAGATGACAAAAATACGAATCATATAGAAGTGGACAGCAATACAAGATCAAGAAGTGCGGCGTGTTTTCATTGTCCTTTACTGTAGCGAAGAAAACAAAATTTTCATTATTCAGGGCCACTTATAATGATCTAACCAAAAAATGCAATACCATTTGATTATTATGTTGTCGTGCCTGCATTTTTGAATAACTGTTTCGAATGTTGGGGAGGTCACAAGAGCATATAGTTATAATTTCCGTGGGGATGGTGTACGATATCTCACAGGAAAAAAGAAAAAACAAACACAGAAAAATGCCATCATCAGCTTTCGATATATAAATCACCAACCATACAGCTATACAATATTCAACATATCATATTAGCAAAAATGTCAGCAAGCCTCCCCAAGCCAGTGCCGTTTCGTATGAAACCAAAGAAGAAATTTTCATCAATGAAAGTCCGTAAAGCCTTTTTCTACATACTTGCATTACTTACCCTTGGTTTCATCATTTTCAGCATCACAAAGGGTGACGACAAGAAAGAAACTGTGGATTACCAATTGGCAGCCCCTAATGAGTTCATTGGAATCAAGAAAGGGAAGACTTCTGATTATGATGCTACAGAACAATATGTTGATGACAATGGTGAATATGTGGAAGTTGAAGACGAAAATGAGGATATGGCAATTGGCAAATCAAAGAAAGTTTACAACGCTAAGAACCCTCATATTGAATTGAAACCAGGCAAAGGGGTAAAGTTAGACGAATCCGCACAAGAAATTGCTAAGAAGAAAAAGAAGATAGCGGATGCCTTGTACAAAGGAAATAGTCGTGGTAGAGAAAAGGAAACTTGAAGGAATGGCAGCACTGTTGTTACATATCAAACCTCTTTATTCCCAATGATTGATGCTATAGTCATGGATTGATTGTTTTTTTTTTTCATATTATTTCTTTCTTTTTACTGTAATATAAACTCATGGTGTGAATTATATTGATAAAGATCACAACAGGTATATAATTATGTAGTAAGAATGACCCCCCTCCCGTGGCAAAAAAAACAACAACAAACATTAAATAAGCGTAAAGAAGCAACGTAAAAAAATAGAAAATCTAAGTATTTTGGATAGTTGAATCAGATTTTGATACCATGATGTATAGCGTCTGATCTTTCTTGCCAGATAGTTTTGCCTGTACAACTGCATACTTGCTTGTCATTTTGCCAGATACCAGCGCTTCTAGCGACAACCCCGACTAACGAATCTTCAGACAATTCGTCTTCTTTTCTGCTGATTGCCACACTACGACCAATCAACTCACTGATCTTCAAAGGAACCTTGACAAAACTTTGGCCAAAAAATAAGCTATTCAAATTATCTGATTTTTCATTCACGATGATCGGGTCCAATTTTCTCAAGGTTTTGCCGGTTGAATGGGCGCCATTGGAAATATTGCCACTCGAACGAATAGATGGATAGTACACCCCTTTTTCCATTCCATTCAAAGTCAAATCGATCAAAAGAGATTGCTCTCCAACGCTGACCATTCTGGCGAGGCCTTTAACCGGAGCCAAGTTGTCGCGAGGATCAAAAGATTCAAGAATGGCCACTGCTGCCGACTCTGGTTTACCAGTACCTCTAATGATGGCGTCCTTCCCGGTCTCTTGGATTGCTCCTACCACTTTCGAAGGAGCTGCTGAACCGCTAACGTTCACTAGCTGTTTCCGAAGATCAATGTCATATCTGGTGACCCCATCAACTCCAGCAAGCGCTTTGGAAACCGCATCAACGCAGGCATTGCACTCCATAGGAACGGCATATACCGCCTCAAACGTATCCGCCATTGTTATTGTTGTTGTTGTATTCTGTGAAGAAGAAGAAGTTGATGATGAAGATGCTCATCGTTACTAACGACTTCTGTTGTGATCGATTTTTTTGCCCGCTTAATAATGCTCGATTCGGTCACATGCACGGTCTCCACATTTTGTGGTAGTGATTATATAAATCGTTCCATCTGCCACATCATCACCACCATCACCACCGCCATTTATTTACCTCTAATAAATAAGGAAAAGTTAATTATGTCGCAACTATCATTCAAGGACAAGGTTGTTATTGTTACTGGTGCAGGTGGTGGATTAGGAATGCACTACGCTTTGGAGTTTGCCAAAAGAGGTGCCAAGGTGGTGGTGAATGATTTGGCAAATGCAGGCGCTGTAGTGGAGCAAATCAGATCACAAGGTGGGATTGCCGTCGCTGATTCCAACAATGTCATCGACGGTGATAAGATTGTCAGCACTGCTATTGAAAACTTCGGAACTGTGCACATTATAGTCAATAATGCAGGGATTCTCAGAGACACTTCGTTTACCAAAATGACAGAGAAACAGTTCAGACAGGTTCTTGAGGTGCACTTATATGGGGCTTACCATATCTGTAAAGCGGCCTGGCCAATCTTCAGGAAACAAAATTTCGGGAGAATTATCAATGTGGCGTCTCCCGCCGGTCTTTATGGTAACTTCGGCCAAGCTAACTATGCTGCTGCTAAAATGGCACTTATTGGTCTTACTGAAACATTGGCAAAAGAGGGGTACAAATACAACATTCTTGTCAATGCCATTGCCCCTACAGCAAGATCAAAAATGACAGAGAATATCATGCCACCAGAAATGTTAAAGAAGCTTGGTCCTGAGTATGTTACTCCGCTTGTGGTTTATTTATCCCATGATTCCGTTGGTAATCAGGATACTGGTAAGACTTTTGAATTGGCTGGTGGGTTCTATGCCAACACCAGATGGGAAAGGTCATCTGGTGAGCTTTTCTACCCAGACGAGTCTCTCACGGCGGAGGCGCTTTTGAACAAGATGGACTCAATCCGAGACTTTGAACATGATAAATCGTTTAAACCCCTCGAACATCCAAGCCAACCTGCTGATTATACCCATTTAGTCAAAGAAGCCAAGAAATTACCATCTCCTAATTCTCAAGGTAGTAAGAAAGTCTCTCTCAAGGATAAGGTGGTGTTGATTACTGGCGCTGGTGCAGGCTTGGGGCGTGCCCATGCTTTATGCCTCGCTAAGTATGGTGCAAAGGTGGTTGTTAATGATATCATGAACCCTCATGATGTTGTTGCAGAAATCAACAAAGCTGGTGGCGATGCCCATCCAGATAAACACAACGCGGCCACCGATGCTGAAGCTATTATCAAAAATGTCATTGATAAGTATGGTAGAATCGATGCGTTAATTAACAATGCTGGGATTCTTAGAGATAAGTCATTCATGAAGATGACTGAAAAAATGTGGGTCGATGTTTTGGAAGTGCACTTATTGGGGACCTTTAAATTGTGTAAAGCTGTTTGGCCAATATTGAAAAAACAAAAGCACGGGAACATTGTCAATATCACCTCCACTTCTGGGATTTATGGTAGCTTTGGTCAAGCAAATTATTCAGCAGCTAAAATGGGTATTCTTGGGTTGTCTCAAGTCTTGGCAATCGAAGGGAAAAAGTATGGCATCAAGGTTAATATAGTTGCCCCTCACGCTGAAACTGCGATGACTAAAACCATATTCACCGAAAAGGATTATGATTTGTTCCCGCCAGAATTGGTTTCCCCATTATTGGCGTTATTATCCTCCGAGGACGCCCCAGGAGCTGGCCAACTATTTGAAATTGGTGGCGGTTGGTGTGGTGCTACCCGTTTACAAACCGCAAAAGGTGCAGTTACCCATGGTGAGGTTAGTGCTGAATTTATTCGTGATAACTGGAAAGATATCAATGATTTTGGTGAAGGAGCCGTTCATAATGCCACTATTAGTGATTCCCTCATGAACATTTTGAACAAGCTTAGTGGCGGTGATGCTCCTGAGGAAGATGACGAAGAAGAAGAAGACGATGATGTTGAGCAAGTCGAGAAAGATGAAGTTGATGCTAAGGGTAATCCGATATTCAAATACACCAACCGTGATGTTATTATTTACAATGTTGGCGTTGGTGCTCATGCTTCCGAGCTTCAATATGTATATGAAAATGACCCTCAATTCCAAGTGATTCCAAGTTTTGGTACAGTTATTTCTCAGAATATCAAACAATTTCCATTGGATTTTGCTAAATTAATGACCAATTTTAGTCCAGTGATGTTGTTGCATGGCGAGCAGTACATTAGAGTCGAAGAATGGCCAATTCCAACTGCAGCAACAGTTGCTACGGAAGTTTTCCCGGTTGCAATCCAAGACAAGGGTAAGAAGGCCGCGTTGTTGGTCACTGGTTCCCGTACCTATGATATATCTACTGGAAAAACAATATTTTACAATGAAATGACTACTTTCAACCGTGGCGCTCAGGCTCGTGGTGGCTCCAAATTGTTTAAAGAGCGTGCTTCATTGGCGACAAAGAACTTCAAGATCCCATCGAATTGTCGCCCAGATTTTGTCACCGAAGTTCAAACCAGCCTGGATCAGGCGTCTTTGTATCGTCTTTCTGGCGATTACAACCCATTACATATCGATCCTGTGTTTGCTAAAAACGCAAAGTTCCCTAATCCAATTTTGCATGGCTTGGGGTACCTCGGAGTCTCTGTTAAATCACTTTTGGAGCACTATGGTCCAATTAAAGAAATTAAGGCTAGATTTAGTGGTAGTGTGTTCCCAGGTGACACGCTAAGAATCAAAGGATGGAGAAAAGGAGATGTAGTCATCTTTGAAACTTATGATATGAACACTAAGAATGTGGTGATTAGCAGTGCCGCCATCAAATTATTCAGTAGTGGCAAGTTATGAGTTTATGTTTTTAATATGTTGTGTGTTTTGTTTTATATATAGTTTGTGATCAGTGGGGTTTTCAGTATTTTTTTTTCTTTCTCTTCAGGTTGCTCGGTTTGATGTTATTATAAGTTTTTATTCTTCATGATAGCATTGGTGTGTATCATGAACAATTTCTTAGGAAAGGAAAGGGATAAAATAATATATATGTCTGTTTTTATGTTTTCGAATGAACTGTAAGTATATGCATCGGTGAAGAAAACGCTGTTTCCTCAATTGTTTGGACCAAAATTCCTGGTATTATCAAAAACACCAGATGAAGCAATCATAATATTATATATATTATAACCCACATTCGAAATGTGAATTAAAATATATAAGTACAAGAAAAAGAAAAAACAAAAGTGACGAAAATGACAGCAATATTAGCATTAATACTTATGAACAGTGATACTTTAAATAATTGAAATGAAAAAAAAGGAATAAAAAAAATTACAAAATAGAACAAAAAAAATAAATGAAAAGAAATATAGTAAATGATTTAGTAGTTGGTCCCAATAGTATCTAATTCACTTCACTTCATCGAGTCCATAACATTGACATAACCACGACGAGTACCTTTCTTGCCCTTTCTTCTCGTTGATAACCCTCCTGGGCCAGCCATACCCAAGAGGTCCTCAAGTTCATTACCATTCTTCTTCTTACTAGCTTTAGCTGTATTAGGATACCCAATCGATGGGGCCATACTAGCCACCCCTGGAGTCACTGGGGCAGTATTACCAGAAACAAGAGGAGCAGCAGCAGCAGCAGCAGCAGGGGAACCTGTCATAGGAGCTGGAGGGGCAGAAGCAATGGATGGGGGACCGCGGTTGATACCAACGTCCGAAGCATTGATTGGAGGACCGGCAAGAGACGAAGTGGTGGACACCCGCTTTTTGGCCTTTGGAGGCGGTGGAGCGGCCTTGACCACCTGATCTTCCAATGGGATATCCCTGTTAATCCAACGTTTCAATTTCTCGTCGTAGTAAAAGTTACTCTCCTCACCCAACTTGGCCTTGTAAACTTTTTGACCTTTATCATTGACAGTCTCACTACTACCCAACCAATTGAACCAACCAGAAGATTTCCGTGAAATGGTCTTTTCGGCAGCAACAGGCTTCGCCTTTTTCTTTTCTGGTTCAGGTTTCTTTTGCTTCTTTTGGTTCTTGTTTCTCAATGAGCTTTCCATCTTGACTTCTTCCTCATCCTCACTCACCTCATCATCATCTTCATAAATGGTGTCGTCTTGGATATAAGTAGCAACGTGACTCGCGGTACCAACACTGGAGACACTAGGAGCTTTGAATCTACCAAACAGAGGGTCTTGGAATACATACTTATTTATTGACCCTGGTCCACGTTGGTTACGAGTATGTGTTTGACCATTGTAGTCAGAAGCAGAGTAAACCGAGCCAGCATAGTCATTATTTGGAAATTTAGACATTTGTTCTTGTTGACGCAACAAACTTTCTTGAATATCCTCGTGAGTCACAGGCGCAAAAGCAGAATAAGCAGCAGCAGAGCCACCGTATGGACCAAATGACATGTCTTGGCTAATCTCAGAAACTGTGTGTTCAATAGGATTGAAACGTGAGCTTCTGGCAGAATCAGTACGACTAAGTTGATGCTGGTGCATTGGTATAGCAGATGGTGAATAATCTGGTGCCATCTTAGAAGACGATGGTTCTGGACTACCAGGAGCTTGGACAGGAGCTTGGACAGGAGCTTGGACAGGAGCCTGAGCAGGAGCAGGAGCTGAAGCAGGAGCTTGAACAGGGGCCAGAACATCCGGAACAGGGGCTTTGGCTTGAGTACCGCCAATATTATAAAAGTCAATATCACCATAATCTTCCATTTGCATGGTAGCAGCACCAGAAGTGGCAGTACCAGATGCTGGGGCATATCTTGAACTGCCTGGTCTACTATAAGCAGAAACCTTGGATGGTGCCGAGTGAACATTTTCTTGAGAATTTGGAGGAGCATATGGATTACCACCCTTGGCCTTAGACGCATATAGACTATCTTTTATTACATGAGTTGCAGCAATTGGAGCGACAGGAGTAGCTGTAACATCAGTACGCACTTCAGCATCAATTGTTTTTGGTTGTTCAATATTAATTTCTTGGTTTGCCAACTGCTCTTCTTTGGCTATCTCAAATTCTTGTTCAAACTCTGGGTGGATAGGTTTTTCATTAGAGACGATTTCAGCTTCCTTTGGTGCGCTATGGGTACCACCATATGGATTCACTTGTATCAAGTCAGCTCGAGCTGGTTCTCCCAATGGAATACCAGATTCAACAGGCCACGAAACTTCTTCAAGAAGTGGCTGAGGTTCTATTTGATCAATGATTGGCTGATAGTCTACTTGATCAAAGTTTGGCTGATCAATCATCTTAGGTTGTTGTTGTTGTTCTTGCTCTGGAATCATAGGCTTTGATGGTTTTGCAACTGGTTTCTGCGATAGATCTAATCTAGAAGAGTTAGCAGAAGAACTCATTGCACTCATCATATCAAAAGAAGCACCTGGTGCGTATCTTGAGCTCTTCCTGCCACCCTTCTTTTTTCCTCTAGTCAATCCCATTGATGGGGGAGCAGCAGGTCCACTAGAAGAAGAATCAATTTTCATCGGTGGAGGAGCAACAGTACCATTAGAAGAAGAATCAATTTTCATCGGTGGGGTGCTCATAGGAGCCGCAATTGGTGGAGTATCAACTAAGCTATTCAAACTTGGTGCTGGTTCATTAGAAATAGCGGAAGCGTCAACCCTAGAAGTTACTCCAACAGATGGTGGTAAAACAGGTGGAGCAGCAAACTGTTGTGGGGTATCAACAACTTCTAATGGAGCCTCAGATTCAGTTAAAGAATTAACTGTGGCCTGGGCTTCAGGTAATGAAGCTGGCGGCGCACCATTTGCAGAGCTAGACATGTCAAAGCCATTACCAAAATCATCACTATTAGGCATGAACTCATGCGGATCAACAGCTGATGAGGTGGTGCTTCCAGGTGGCGCATATCTAGATATTGGCTGGTCATTTCTTGTAGGGGCAAGGAAGTATGAATTAGCTTCTTGATTACTGGTCACACTGTTATTATCACTATCATTGTCTTGGTAACCGACAGAAATATTATTGTGGACAGCTTTTACATGCATTTTATTTGAAGTTGGACCATATCTTGAAGTCTTACGTCCCTTTGGCCCACCATTTCTGGTAGGGGCCTGCGGGATTGGTGGTGAGCCAGCATTGAAGACAGGGCTCACAAGGCTAGTCAAATCAGGAGCAGAAGCTGACATATCAATATGTCCTGGACCATATCTTCCAGACGGTTGTGGTTTTTGTGCTGGAGTGAATTGATTAGTCACACGGGTTCCATTATTTCCAGGAGTGAAAATATCACCAGCCGCGCCATCGATGCTACCCAAAGATTCATTTTGCCTGATTTGAGCAATTGGACCAGTGTTCATCAAGGCACTTCTAAGATTTTGAGTTCCACCAATTGGAGTATATGGCGACTGTATTGGGGACATAGCATTATTTTGCAAGTTAAGGCCATTGGTGATAATTGAATTATTGAGGTTGTTGTTACCAGTCGTCACATTGCTTGAAACTTTATCGAATATACTTGCCTTTCTACCTTCAGTGGCGTTCTCTTCACCAGCAATGAACTTGTTAAATTGATAAGACAAATCAATCTTGGATTTACTTCCAAACCAACTTGAAGCAGACTTTTCACTTATAGCTTTCTTGTAACCATAATCACTGAGATAGCTGTTGATGTTATCCTTGATTAATTTTTTATCAAGAGTGAACAGAATATTTTTCTTTTCTAAAATGTAAGTGTAAATATCAATTATGATGAAATATAAAATGTTACTAGAGCTGAATTTGAATAAATCAACCGGAAGTAACGCAAGAATAAAGTTGATTTGAGCCTTATTTCCACCACTAAGAGAGGATTCCTGAAAGTATTTTCCATATTGTACAAGAATGTTTTGAATTATTTGAATATTATTTTCGTTCACCACGTTCAAAATATAGGCCAACAAATGGAACCAGTTTTCTTCAAGGAATATTTTTTCTTTTGCGGTTAAAGTGGCCAATAATTCCGGAACATTCACAAAACTTTTGAAGAAAATGTAAAGCAAAAAGCTATCTCTATTTTCTTCATTTTTGAAAGAAGCATTCACAAATTCACCAGCTACTTGCAAAAAGTGATCCCTGTTGAACAAGCCAGCATATAATAATGATAATGCCCAATCGTCGTTAGCTTTGGCTTGTTCAATTGTTGTACCGTCCATCAACAGCCTTGAAAGTTGATTTAGATAAATTGAATCAATATCCACACTATTTTTTTTGAATACCTTCATATTATTACTTGCAGAAAAACCACCAGCTGCAAATCCAAAATGTTCTAATAACATCTTTGAAATCTTCTTGTAGTAATCAATCGGTTCATAATTACTTTCCATTATGGTTGAAAAAATCTTGAATATCAAATCAACATTTTCATTGTTGTACCCAGTTATACCAGTCATTGCCTCAATCTTTTCTTGAAGCCACTTGTCCAACTGACCCTTCTTTTTGTCAATAGGATAACTATCAACCTTTGGTTCAATATTCAACACATCCTTAGCGGCTTTAGTTTGAACAACAACTGGGGCACCACTAACCATATATTGATTACCCAGGGGTTCAGCAGTCTTAACTATCACCACATCACCATTATTACCAAAATTTATCACTGGAATTTGAATACTGTGATAGTACTCAATTGGATGTCTTGGCGTTTCTGCTTGAGCACTATGGGCCGCATAATTACTGGAAATTGATTGCTGAGGAATAGAAGGCGAACCAACAACTGAAGCATGGTCATATCCAGCAGCAACTGAAGTCCGAGGAGACCCAGAGATGCTAGAAGCGGCGGTGGTAGAGCTCAAGCGGCGAGAGCCATAGTAATTCTTCGATGGCTTCTTAGGTGAGGAAATTGGAAAAGCAAAAGGATCAGCAGGCTTGACAATTGGGTTTTTCGTCATTATTGGTGGGTCCATAGCAACAGGAGGAGGTTGCGGCATATGGGCATTTTGATGAGTTGGTGCTTGTGGAGGAGCATAATTATTGACTGGCATTTTTGGGGGAGCCGAGACCAAAGAAGGAAGGACGCCAACATTTTGAGGAGGACTACTTACCAACGGCTGTTGCGGAGAATATTGATTATTCGCTTGAACTGGCAACATGTTTACTGGCGGATTAGGAGTCATCATATTTTGCTGTTGTGTCAACTGTTGTGGCTGAACTGGTGGCTGATAACCATTTCCTCGTCCAATTAGTAAGCCATTAGTGCCTTGAGAAGTGACGATACCAGGAGCTTGAGCAACACTAGGACCATAGCGACCAGGACCAGAGCCGGACACGGCACGATTCTGAGCCTGTGGAGTATATGGCAGCCGCTGTACGTTCGGAGGAGCATATATGCTGGTATTTAAGTTCAGTTTTACTGTATGAGGGGAAGCATGGCTGACTGGTTCATTATGCGGAATATTGGCTGCAGGCTGAGCACCAATAAACTGGGATGCCAGCTGGTCTGGCGATTGATTTTGTGGTGGTTGTTGTTGTTGTGGAACACGGTTATTAAAAGCCCTATGCATCGGAGGGGCGGCGCTAGCAGTAGTAGCGCGGGTAGGAGGAGCATATCTACTATTAGAAGAAGAAGCAGTCTTCTTTGGAGCTACTGCAGGTAAACCATACGCACTATTATTCGCACTGACGTTGCCACTGGTAAGGGACATACTTGGCTGAGTACCAACTGGAGGAGCCTGTTGCTGTGGTTGCTGTGGTTGGTAAGGCGAATGTTCAATGCTTGATGGTGGTTTTTGGTTCATCATCATTGGAGGAACAGCGGCACCGCCATTACCAAATGAGCCTCTAGTCACTGAAGGTGGTTGAGATGGGTGGGTCTGATGGCCTACTGGAGGGGGACCAAATTGTGGATTGATCCCATGGGCCCTTTGTTGGGCCTCTTGTGCTTTCTTAGCCTTTAATTCATCATGCTGTCTCTTCAATTCTGCTTTAGACTTATGACGGGCACCAACAACTTGAACCGGTAATTCTTGATAGAAACTACCCCCTTTAACCTTTGATGGCGGAGGACCAGGATTAATGTTTGGTTTTTGGGGCTGTTGCACAGGAGCAGTATTAACAATGTTCGGAGTATAAGAATTAGCAGTGATATTATTTGGAGTGTTTATTTGAGCACCACCATGTATTGATGGCGTAGCAGCATATTTATTAACTGGCAGTACAGAACTTTGAGGTTGGTATCTATTAGACCGGCTAGATTTTTTCTCAGTTGCGCCTGTAACAGCAGCAGCAGCAGTCGCTGTGGTAATAGAAAGTGCAACCGGGGCCTCATCATCATCCAACAATTCATCACTATCGTCATCGTCATCATCAAGGAACCCAAACTTATTTTCTGACACGGCTTTTTTGGTATCACTTACTTCTATAGGCAAGAAATCATCATCATCATTGTCACTAAAAATATCATCCAATTTGGAGGCTTCAGTTTTTAGCTGTTCAACTTGTTCAACATTCTTGAGTTTTGATTCTTTTTCTGCAGGATCTTCAGTAGATAATTGTGTCACGCTAGAAATTGGTTCTTGATGAGATACTGCTAAATCATTTGGTTCATTGTGATGCCCTTCTTCATCACCAAAAATGTTATCAAAATCATCCTGTTGATCATCCTCACCTCCAAAAATATCATCCAATTCTACTTCCTTTTTAGTAGGTTGAGACACGGCTTCTTGTTGATCTTGTACTGGCTTGGCTGCCTGAGTTTCCACTTGAGTTTCCACTTGAGTTTCCACTTGAGTTTCCATTTGAGTTTCCACTTGAGTTTCCATTTGAGTTTCCATTTGGGTTTCAACTTCCTCCTGTAACTTCTGTACCGGCGCAATAATATTATGCTCAAACACAGATTCATCAGTCGCTTGAGATGGTGCCTCTATCGGTATTATTACTTCCTCTTCTTTGAAATCATCAACAGCAGGGATTTCTGTTGCGACATCTTCACCGAATACTGGAAAGTCATGAGCAACCTCATCATCATTACCACCGAATATGTCATCTAAATCCTTAGAAAGTTGGTTTTGTTGCAGATCTAGTTGTTTCACAGCTTTTGATTCAGTAACCTCTTGTTGCGTTGTAGTCAATGGTGTGTTGATAATAATCGCAGCATCGAGTGGTTCAATGGTCGATGGGGTCTCGTCTTGTTCAACGGGAACTGGAGGTTCTTGCTGGCTTAGCAGCTCTTCGTGGACTAACGGTTCTTCTTGGATTAATGGTTCTTCATTGACTAATGGCTCTTCACTGACTAATGGTTCTTCATTGACTAATGGCTCATGAACTAATGGTTCTTCATTGACTAATGGCTCATGAACTAATGGTTCTTCATTGACTAATGGCTCATGAACTAATGGTTCTTTATTGACTAATGGCTCATGAACTGATGGTTCTTCAGCAGCCTGTTCAGGAGCTAAAGATTTTTCAGCAACTTGGTCAAAAATTGATGAGTCTTCACCATTATCATCCCCCAGAAAAATATTGTCCAAATTTTTGGATGCTGTGGATGGAGAAACTTCTGGTACTGTAGGAATTTCTGATTGAGGATCACGAGCCGGAATTTGAGCAGCTTGCTGGATATTGTGATCTGTCACTTTAATCGCCTCGGAACTTTCTGGCAGAGCTTCCACTACTGGATCTTCTATCATTGAAGAGTCAATGTCGTACGAATCAATATTTTGTTCTTCACCATCAAAAACAGGAAAATCATTATCATCTTCACCTTCGAACAATTCATCTAATTTCTGCCTTTCCACAATTCCTGGTGAGGCAGATAACCCCATCCCAGTTTGTGCCACTTGGACATCCTCCACAACTGGCTCACCTTCCAAAGTTGGAATCACTGGTTCTGCTGGATCATTCAAAAATACTGGCAGAATTGACTGAACTTCCTCAAGACCTGGAACAATCTTAGTATTGGTATTGATTTCTTGTTCCATTATCATATCCAATTGTAGAATTTCGTGGGACTTTGGAGCCACCACTGGAGGATTTTCAATGGCAATGGTCGAGCTTGGACTTTCTGATGGTGGTTCTTCCGATGGTTGTTCAAGTATCACCTCATCTTGATCAAGCAATGCATTAAATTCATCGTCCCATGCAGTGGGACTATTGTCTGCCATATCATCCAATAGGCTTTTGTTGGTATCATCAATATTCATTGTATGTCTTCTATTATATTATTTGTGCATCTAATTCAACAAAAACAAATGAAAAAAAATAAATAGGGATCAATATGAGCAAAATGAAGCAATTGCTGCGGTTTTCCTCGGATGATTGATATCTGCTATTTTTTTTTTCTGATGATTGTTATTGTTATTTCTCTTTCCTATTCTGTTGACAAATGAGGATGGCGATCTTGTGAAAATTTCAGCCAACAATCAAATGGGGTAAAAAAAAATAAGGAAAGAAAAAAAAAAAAGGAGAAAAAACCAATGCGAGAAAGCACCAGAGTATCACCTATGAAATTATTTCAATTCAATATAAGAATCCGTTGTGGACTAGAATGAATATTGGTTTTGAAAGTACTGTACTTTTGAGATTGATTCGATGGAGTCTGTTTGATGACACGAGATTTTTTTTGTCGGTTTTTTTTTTGTTGATGATTATGTGCTATCCGCACTCTGACACTGCTACGATAAGTTGAGGAAACATCAAAGATTTCGTCGAAATTTATTCCTCAAAACATCTGAAATTCGAAATTAGCAATATAATATAGATATAATACACAAAATAAATGGATAAATTTGATAAGAGTCCGACAAACTCATAATTGGTCGCTCATAAACCCATAAAATCTAGGATCATAACTTTCTCTCCCCAGAATCACCTCATCGACATTATACTCAAGTCTAGAAATCGCATTCATCCTATGTCGCCATTTTTTCCACATCCATTTAAACCCACTGGGAGAGCTTGTCAATAAATCTTGCGTAGCGAAATTAGGAGGTTGCTCATTGAATGAGCTGGTGCCATACATAGATGCCTTGAGAATGGTAGTCAATAAGACGATCGCTACCACAACGAGAATCAATGAAAGTGGTCTATTATGTTCCAAGAAATTTTGTATTCTAGCTTCCAAAGTCTGCAGATCATCAAATGAAGATAGCACCAAGGACTGATTTCTCAATTTCTTGCTATAACTATCTAATTCTTTCAAGGTTTTCAACTTTGAATTCCTAAGTTGACGGTATTCTTTGGTGGAGATTAATGTCTTATCCCGACTTTTCATTTTCAACCTTGCCAATTCTTCTTGAGTTTGTTCCAACTTTGCTTTAAGCTCAATGTTTTTTATTCCCAAACTGCTTTGTTCCAACGATACTTCGTTGGTCAAACGTTCTTGGCGCAATTTCTCGTTTTCTTGTTGTAGTCTTGCCACCTGCGATTGTAACGATTCTAAACGGACTAAAGTTTCAGACACTTTTTCGACTTGACGTAATGAGTCTTCATTAGACTGAGAAAGTGTGGCATTGGAAGCCCTTAGGGTCGAATTGGCGGATCGTAGTGCCGCGACGTCTCTGGAGAGTTGTTCATATTTTGCATTTTTCTTTTCGAGGGATTGAATGTGATTTTTGTTATGTTCAAGCTCAGAAATGAGCTGCTTTTGAGATTGCTCTTGTTTTTGCAAAGATTGCTTAAAATCTGTGATTTCCGACTGAAGCCTGGTGATTTCTTTGTCACGATATTCGATATCTTGTTCTTTATTGTCGATGATCGCTTGAAGTTTATTAGACTCCACCATTATTGACCTAGATGAGTCATTCGATGATGATTGGTCTCTTTTCTCGCAGGTATTACCAAGGCTGCGATTTCCGAGAGGGGTTGATGTCGCCAACAGGGCTATCGAAAAATCGCGCTCGATAGCTGCTTTTGGAGTGCTGACCTTTGACGATAGGCGTCTTTTTGGTTTTGGTTTGTGACGCGGCTTCTGAGAATTGTTACTAGTTGTCCCAATATCTTCATCGGAATCGGTATTGGCAGAATAAATCTCGTGGTGAAAATTCACTGCTGTAGGGATTCTTGACTTGAAAACTTTAGTTGGGGTCACTGGTGGTTTAATATTTTGTTTAATATCCGATGGATTGACAATACTATCATCTGCTGGAACCAGGGAGGAATGGGTACCTTGGTTGATGTTTTCTTTGTGAGGATCATCCATAATATTGGTATCTTTATCAAGACCTTTGGCGGTAATTCCTTTACTTTCGATGAATTGTTGAAAATCTGAAGTTCCGTTGAATGTTGAGTACAACCCTTTGACATCGTCCTGCATCATTTTCAAAGGTTCGACATCGATGATACTAGAAGTATTTCTACTGTTGTCATAATCATTCAAGTAATTAGCCAATTCTTCTATTTGTTCGGGGGATAGTAGTTGATGATCAAATTTCTGTTCTAAAAGCTTGTGCAATTTCCAAAAATCGTCACGGTACACGAAAAACTGACCGGGTTTTCTGGTACTGGGTCTTTTGAAAGTGTCCCAGCATTCTTCGAAAACAATATCTGCGAACAGCGACATTATTCCTTTTGGGGATTAGATTTTGTGTCTGCCTACAAAGCTGGTTCATGTGGAGCCCCTAAATTTCCGATTTTTGTTTATATTTTACATGTGACACCCAGACATTAGATCAGTCCACGCACTTTTGCTTTAACATCCCAACACCAGACGGTCAAATAAACGGCACAATATTATGTTAATAAATAAGCGACAGTTGCCAATTTGACTTGATTGTTATTCGCCTGACATGACTAGGACAATAATAATACTAATAACAATGTAGGCTAGCATCAATTGTTCCCGGAGTTCGGCATGCGATGTTACATTATACTTGATAATCTTCTCTTTTTGCTCATCGGTTAATTTTATAATCTTTGGCGATCCATCGAGGCTATTATTAATTCACGTATATCACATCGGCAAATGCTGCGACAAAAAGCAACCCAGGCGGTATGTATGTGTGTGTGTGTGTGTGTGTGTGTGTGTGTGTGTGTATTCTGTTAGCAGTCATTCACTCTGGTGACTTCGGAAGAAGAATGTAGCACTTGTTTATCATTTGACTTCTCATATTTTATATATACATGGGACAAAGATACTCCCCCACTTTGCACCCCACCCCCGGTCTCGCACGTGATAAACGACAGCAGCCATCGAGGGATTAAGGCGTCGACACGCGCCATAATGCAGAGAGATACAATCGGCACTCCACCACACACACGGGTGTGTCTGTTTGGTTAAATTGGATGATTAGTTCACATTGTGGTGGGGAAGATAGAGGTGGTGGGTTATCGTCACTATTGCTTCATATTATTGTTAAGAGATATTGTTATTATCAATGCTAGAGATGATATTACTTTGCGGTATAATAACAATGCCATATCCCTATACAAATGGCAACAGATCATAATAAGCTTATTGCCCCCATCTCCCCACACGCCCTCCACCTCCAGGCTTTGGGGGAAAACTACAGCGTCACCCTATCTTCCCCATAACTAGCTTTTGGAGTGCATAACACTGCAGGTTCGGAAAAAATTTTCTGCGCAGCAAACCAAAAAGCAACGACAAAAAGGGCAACTGGAAGTTTTTCCGGAGGCTTGTCGTGCATCCCCACCGTTGCTAGTGTACCAATGGCAGTGGGTGGAGAAGGAGGTTATTCCATGAGTAAATGGGGCAGCCGGGGAGGGAAGGGCCTTGATTATTGATTTGGGTGTCAATAGAGGCTATTAATGAAAATGGAATGGAACAGTGGAGTGGAGTTTTGAGAGGTATGAATAGGTGGGAAAACAAAGTTCCCGGCAACATTATTCTTTTTTTCTTTTTTTTTTTTTTTTTTGTGTTTGTCCGTTTGGGGGGTTGCGTAATTTTTCTGATTTTTTTTTTTTTTCCTTTTTTGCATCTATAAAAGACATCACCCTCGCAATCAATTTCTAGGTTTTCTTGCAATTGTTTCGCATTCCGAATCCCTTTTTTTTTTTTTAATCTCATCCATTATCTATAAATCACTTCATCTTAAACAGTGGGAGATTGAATACCCGTTCAACCACCCCATAGAACAATCTTAAATTTTCTCCAAATTTTATTTTTCCTTCCTCATCACCCGGTCCGGGTCTCATTCTCTCTCTCTTTTTTTTTTCCTAATCCCCATATTATTTAAAAGAGATATCAAATCCACTTTTTGAGAGATTTTGCCCATACTAACTCCGAATAATTACTCAGTCATCAACTATTCACACTCACATCCATAATAAATTTCCTCACAAAAGCTATTATACTATTTGTCTACCGGTTGCATTGTTATCATTAATTCAAAATTATAATAATAATGAGCAGCTCTACTAAAAAAACTAGCAAGAGTATTAAACCCGACGGTGGTGATCGCCCTTACAAGTGTCCAATGTGTGATAAGGCATTCCATCGTCTTGAACACCAAACTCGTCACATTAGAACCCATACGGGAGAAAAACCACATCCTTGCACTTTTCCTGGGTGTAACAAACGATTTAGTCGTTCTGATGAATTGACTAGACACTCGAGAATCCACAGTAACCCTAATAACCGTCGCAAGAACAAGTCTTCGCAAAACATCTCGGTTGTGCAAGTGGAGGGGCCCCCAACAATGTTTGCACAGGGCCCAGTGTCCCCTAACTCACAGTCTCATGCTCCACAAACCCCTCAAATTCCTTCACAACCTCCAGCACAACAGCAGCAGCCTATTGGGGTTGATTTCAATGGTAACCCAATTTATCCTTACATGATCCAACTTCCTCAGGCGATGAACCATCACCATCAACAGCTGTTCCGGTCGTTGCCGGCGTCTCCAGGAACCCAGGAACCGCCAAATTTGGGTCTCTACAACCCTCAACAACAATCATATTTCCAGTCCCCAGTTAACAACCATGAGGCTAAGTCGTCTTCCTCCTCCTCCTCAGGGTTCCACATGTCAAAATCAACCACTTATTTGAATCATTACAACCTTCCGTCTGTGAACTCTTCCACCAGTATTGCTGGCAACAACTCTCACCATTCATCGCTCCATTTCCTCTCATCGGCATCATCTTCCAAAACCCATTCGCTTTGCAATTCGCCATCTAACTCCTCGACCAATTTATTTGGGTTTTCTACCTCTTCTTCCGCAACTTCTTTGCAATCGCTAGCCAATACTCATTCGCTGGGGTTGAATTTACCTCCACTTAATATGGCGCAATTGATCAACCCTTCAGCCACCAACAGCAGTAGCACCGTCAATATGAACTCGGCCGACGAGCCTCTTACATTTGGTGCAGGTAAGAAGTATCGCAGAATCAGCACTCCTCCATACTCTACACCTCTTCAGTCACCAAACATTTCCCCGGTCGGTAGTGTTGGCAACCATCATGATAGAATCACTTTGCCACCAATCCGGGCTTTGTTGGCCAACTTGGATGAGGAAAATCTTGGCCAGACCAAGAAGAGCAATTCCGGAGAAAATGTTCGTTTGCCTCACATTAACGAAATGTTTCATGAATAATTGATTTTGTTACAAATCCTTGATGATCTTTTTTTTTTTTTTTTTTTTGTTTCTCTCTTTTCTTTTGTTTCTTGTGCTTATTGGTTTGTTTTTCCTGGTTTCTTACTATTATTATCTTTAATCATTATTCTATTTTGTTATTCCTAATATTTTTATATTATTATCATACCTTATTAATTTTTTTTTTTAGCTTTTATTTTTTTTTAATGCTGGAAGCCAATTAGTTGTTCTATATTGTCTAGTTTTGTGTTCTTGTGTTTATTTTTGTTTTTGGGACGGTCAAGCTTTATAAATTTTTATTTTCCTTATATCTACTTTTTGAAATATATATCAAAGAAGATCAATCATGATTCAATTTCGTAAGGGTCTGGAAATATATCATTATTTACTGCGCGATAATCCACCTGTTTTTCTGTCATCATGCAATCGTTTTGTTTTTTTGAACGGAAAATTTTTATAACTGTAGCAAACTTAATAATATATGATCTTTGGGCATCAAAGTGATCGCTGGACATCCGAAAAGTTATTTAGTGAAAGAAAAACTAGAAAACAAAGTGACAGGAAGGAGCTTCTCTGATTGTTTATTGGTTGTTGTTTTTTTGTTTGTTTTTTTATCTCTCGTTTCATGATTATCCAAAGAATAATACTTAGGCGAATACCGTCTTTTAGAGGATATGCCACCTCCCCTACCCCAACCACATCTACGATTATTGCTGGTTATGAAGCATTACTGAAGAAATATCGTTTGTTAAACTTATCAGGAGATCAAATATCTCAAGCCGCCGCGGCTCAAGGCCCAGCAGTGTGGATGTCGAACATCACCGATCCATACGTCAATCTCGCATTGGAGACTTACTTATTCAACAGCAAGCCCACCACCACCACCGATGACAACGACCACCACCAAATATCCAACAATCGACTTTTCTTGTATCAAAACTCTCAGTGTGTGGTGTTTGGAAAGAACCAGAACCCTTGGAAGGAAATCGATTTCGGGTACTTGAAACAAAAAGATAAATTATCATTTGGCTCATCGCCCACTGACCACCACCGTCATCAAGCATCATCATCATCATCTTCTTCTTCTTCTTCTTCTTCGAACGATACTGGGAAATTCGAAGTGCTCCGAAGAATGTCTGGAGGTGGTACGGTGATCCACGGCCCAGGTAATGTGAATTATTGCTTCATTACCACCAAGAAGGCCTTTGATAGAACAGCATTTAGCAAACTTATTGTGCAAGAACTCAATACCATTTATTCATCGGCCCCGGAGCACGATAATCCTACCAACAATATTTATCCGAAGTACCCCCTCACCATCAACGACCGAGGAGATTTGGTGGCGTGGGATCCACAAAACCACCGAGAACTCAAAGTTTCGGGATCTGCTTACAAAGTCTCCAGAGGGAAAAGTTACCACCATGGAACAATGTTGCTACATTGCGACTTGTCGACATTCCACAATATACTAAATCCCAAGAAATCCCTGACCAACAGTAACAACAATCATGATGATTTCATCATTGATAAGAGTGTCGATTCGAAACGCGCCCCCGTCGTCAACCTCCAAATCGAACCGTTGATATTCTATTACAGCTTAATCAATGGGTTCATTGCAAACTTTGGGGTGCCAAAATCTACATTACTACAATTGAACCCCAATATTCCCCCACAATTCATGCAAGATCTTGTGGTTGGAATGTCGTCCCGTCACCATGAAAAAATCATCCCGGTTCCTCATAATAACCCCGAACTGAATCAATCAGCAGCAACCTTGGTCATCGTCGATGATTCGACCAATTTTCCCCCAGAAGTTCATGAAATTGCCGATCAATTGAGATCTTGGGAATTCAAGTTTGAAAGAACCCCTAAATTCGAACACGTCGTCAATAAATTGGCAATCAAGTTAGTAGTAGAAAAATCTAGAGTAATAGAGCTCAGTGAAATAGGAATCTTGCAAGATAATGATGTGTCATCAGCAGTTACCAAAATAAGAAACGTATTAGCGAAATCTCCCGAGAATTCCATAGAATATGACGGTGAAACCCTAAGTCAATTCTTTGAAAACCCAAAAACTAAACAGTATATTAGAAGTATAATTGTCTAGACTCTCAAATTTTAATAAACAGAATAGCAATGATAAATCAATATTCCGTTACGTATTTCAAATAAATATAAAGACAAAATCTATTAAAGCAAAATAAAATAAAAATGCAAATTGGGGAATATGAGAATGAGATCAAGTAGTAATAAATAAATATAAACATAGAAAATGGAGTTACAAAATATGTGCTAAGTTGCACAGATTAGAAATGAAATAGAATGTTTAAAACATGGTAAAAAGTCTTATATCAAAGAAAAAAAAATTAAATCATTGATTTGGCTTGAAATAAGATTGCAAAATAAATCAACTTGATAGCATTGGCCAAACATAGAACATTAATCATTTCCCATAGTGGTGAAAAAAAAAAAAAAAAAAAAAAGTAATAATACAATGAAATCATTATCGCTCTTTCTATCAAAAGGAATTGGATTTCTATTTTTGGGTCGTCTTTTTTTTTTTTTTTTGTTTTTTGCTTCTTGTTTTTGACTATTTTTTTTTCGTATTGTATTTATTTATTTCTTTTTTTTTTTTTTTTTAGTTTAGTTTGTTTTCGTTAAAAGATTCTTTTCCCTCAATTATTTATATATTTTACATAAGCTCAAATCTATAATAACAGACGATGCAACAAAGAAGATAAGCAAGACTTTGAAAAATCCAGTCAGTTTGCTTGTTTTTCTTCTGCTTTTGAGCCAGAGTCAACTGAAGTGGTACTGTATTGACCATCCTGTAGAGTAGCAGTACCATTGGTTGAAGCAGTGGTGGTAGCTTGTGTAGTGCCAGGTTGACCATAATAATATTGGCCTTGAGTTCTTGTAGCCTGTTGACCAGGGGCTGCTTGTTGGTAGTACCCACTGTATTGATAATAGTTATTGGCGTATGGATATTGGTAGTAACCTTGTTGAGTAGCAGGTTGAGTTGTGCCGGTGGTGGCTTGGGTATCTGCAGTGGCACCGTTTGGCTGGGCAGCAGCTGCGGTAGGAGTCGAATACTGAGGAGCAGTACTGGCAGTGGCGGTAGGGGTAGCAGTAGCAGCAGCAGTAGTACTAGCAGTGTTAGTAGTAGGTACTGTTGTTGGTGCAGTATTGCTATTTGCTGCGCTCAAAGGATCCTGTTCTCTGTAATTGGAGCTCCATTGGTCGGTGGTTCTGGTGGCAACAGCAGGAATAGAAGTGGGGGTAGTACCAGCGGCAGCAACAGAAGTTGTGATAGCAGACGTAGTGGCTGCAGCAGCAGCATCGCCATTGTTTTGCACTGAACCTTGTTGAATTACTCTTTTGATGTCTCTGACAAACAAAGGATACAAAACGTCAACAATTTTTTCTTTTTGAGCCATGGCCAAAGCTCTATCAAAAGGAATCCAGACACCTTTCAAATGCATCGAGCCAATCTTGACAACATGACGGATTTTTTCAGATTTTAAGATCCCATCTCTTCTACCTCTAGTCATATGCGCGACATTTAACAACTTGGTACCATTAATCATATTATTATCGGCTCTTCTGACTACCGAGACACCATTCGCTTCGACTTGGTAGCAAACGGTTTTTTCATCTTCCCACATTGTGGTGGTCACTCTTGGTCTTGTTCCCGCTGGCTGAATCTGACCAACTGTACTGGCGTTTGTTTGGGTAATGGCGATTGGAGCAGGAGTTGTGGTGCTGATGGCATTCAAGGAAGACCCGGCGGTATTGGCAGTTGGGTAAATTGGGTAACCTTGGACATAACTATAACGCGAATAATCATAAGCGACCCCGGTGGTACCAGTAGTTGTGCTCTTGTAGTATTGGTTTGCGCCCAGCTGGAGGGCGTTTGATTGATAATACCCAGAGTATTGCGACTGGCCTACAGTTTGGCCAGGCTGTTGCAGTTGCTGGTAATATTGTTGATATTGTTCTGGATAGTACCCGCCATTAGTTGAAGGATAGTTGCGGTAGTAAGCGCTGTTATAAGGTGTTGCCTGAGAACTACGTTGTTGTTGTTGTTGTTGTTGAAGTTGTTGCTGTGAAGCAGTATTTGAGGTGGCAGCACCGGCAGCAGCAGCAGAAGAAGCTTGTTGTGCTTGTTGTTGATACGGATAAGCCTGTGGGATTGCTTGTTGAGATTGAGATTGTTGATTTGGTGAATCCGACGATTGAGCAGAAGGTTCGCCAGCGACCTGAGGTGAGGGATTCGTAACTTCGGTTGACATTTGGGTGAAGTTCTGGGTAATATGTCGAATTTCAAGAAGAACAATTGACCAAATCAACGGAAAAGCTTAACGAAAATTTTTTGAAATCCTTTTTTTTTTTTTTTGGCTTTGTGATTTTTTTTTTTTTTATTTTTATTTTTTTATTTTTTATTTTTTTTTCTGTAACAAGCAATGCGGTAACGAAAAAGTATGTGATGGAAACCCAAATTCTGTAGTGATGGGATGATAATTACCGGCTGAAAGCGGTTGGAATGAGCACCTCTGGAGATTACACTGTTTTCGGTTTTGTCTGTGGGTGGTCGGAAATAAATTTTGTGGCCCTTTACCGTGATGCTATGGTAGTTGTTATTATAATAAGCGGGAGTTTTGTAGAATTATATTATTAGAGCACCGGCCAAATTAGCAGCTTATTCAGCCGCCAGCATTGATGGGGGTAGGGGGTTCATTAACCCCCCCGTGTTACGCAAAATAAAAAAAAAAAAAGAATCGAAGAACAAGAGCTGGGTGCGCTAGTACTGAGCACCATGAGTGCACAGTGTGCTGCTATTATTTACGCTACGTGGTAGATGGCATTCCCCAACGCCCATGCTCCATGCTCGCCATCATCACCCATCGATTGTTGTTGGTGCTGGCATGGCATACTGCTCTGCTTCCGGGTTACCACACAGCTCCCGCGGCAGCCCCCATGCAAGGTACTGCAGGTGATGCCATACAAAATCTGCACGCGGTGTTTTACAATTACAAAAGTGATAACACCCAATCCATGATCTCTGGGGTTGCAAGTGGCTAATAGGGTGTAAGAGAATAGTCCAGGCATCATTCTGGTGATATCAATGTTGCTCAGCCTTCTCTCTCCTTCGCTGGGCCGTCAGTTGTCCCACAAGGTGAAAGAAAGAAAAAAACCATACTTCTCGCCAGTGTTTTGTTGCATTCGAGGAATCGCAATATCCTATCCCAATCCGAACAGCCTGCACTTTAAACAAGCGCTGCTTGTTTAATCCATGCGTATGTTAGATTTGGTTTGCAAATATACTTTGTGCTTGCTTCTGGGTCGCTTTTTTTTTTTCTAATTCTATTTCTATTCCAATTTTCTGTAGTTCTTCCTAGCTTTCATTAAAAGGTGAGAATAGAATGATTATCCGTAGCATATATTTCAACATCACGTTTCCAGCACCTAACCTAAACATGGATGGTTACACTTCATATTGTCATTTGCGATGGCTTTTTTATCTACAATCTATGACCTCATTAGTTGTTTTTTTTTGTTTTTTTTGGCATTTCAGGTAGTGCTTGCTTGTTCTTTTCTCATTGGGAAAAAAAATATCATCACCACAGTGAGCGACAAGAATTCTAAAAACTCTTTTTTTATCGTTACTCCTGCTTTCTCTCCTCTTGCTTTTGTTCAGAATTCCCCATTTATTTCAAATTTTTCCTTTGTCCGCCTGTGATGGATGGTGTTTTATCAGTTGTAAAATTATTGAACCACAAACAATATAATGAAGGTTGGGGCCATAATTGTATGAAGAACAGCATCCACAAGCTGGTATTTGGAGTGAGAGAGTGAGTGAGTGAGTGAGTGGGAAGCTTTGCAAGCTCTAGCGTGTGTCTCACACTATATCCTCCGCGTTTCATTCCCGAAAAAACTTTGAAAGACCGCTTGTCTGCTTAGTGCTTTGACATAATCAACATGGCATGCACTGGTTAAAGTTTTCCCAGGTGATGTGCTGTAACCCAATAATGTCCTCCATTCTCCGGCATTTTCGTTAAAGCATCATACACTGACCTCCCAATTTCGAATTTTTCAGTATTTTAGCTTTTCCAATATCCGTTTCAAAATCGCGATCGCTTTATCGGGTCGTACTGGTTTAAACTTGCATTTTGGCTTCCTATTGCTTCCCTATATTGACCACTTACGAGCTACCCAGCAAGGGCGGGCACCTTTAGGATTTGCAGCTGACCCCAAAGCTTTCTGGTTCCAGAGTTTTCAGCACACTGCAAGTTTCTAGAGTTTCCAGTAAGCTCAGCAAGTTTCCAGAGATCTTCAAGATTGGCGAGATTTAGTTAGCTTTTTCCCTCGCTCTGCGGAAAGCATAGGCATGTTGTTTGCTGTGTGTGTCTGTGTGTGGAAGGACGGATGGGTGCGCTCGATCCCAATCCGCGGAAATGGTACCTACTGATCTTCGTTCTGCAAATTTATCACAAAAACCATCACCACTCTATGGCTGCTTGCAAAGCAATTGCTTTTTAAAATATACTTGTCTCCCATGTAGCGGGCGCTCCACCTTTGATTTTCCAATTATTGATAAATCTGCAGGGCCTTTCGGGGCTCTTGTGTATCATTTGATCCCAAGAGCGCCACATTATAGCTTTAACCATAAGGGAATGCTGGCATAATCTATCATCACTTAAATAATTATGAAACATAGATAATCAATTAGATATTATTACACTGTTCTCGCTACACAATGCTCAAACCCTTCCTGCTGATGGGGGGAAGCAGCTCCTCGTTCTGAGGACGAAGCATATACTACATATACAATTTAAAGATACTTTCAAAATTACAATTTGCCTTCCTTCATGAGGATGTTGTTCACATTCATCGTAGTTAGGTTGCTTTGTCCTATGAAACACAAGTTTCCCCATACTTTACTGGACAATGCACCAATGTGAAGGGACCTTTTTTTTTTTTTTTTGTATGAAAAATTTTTTGTGATGAATTTCACATAATTTCCACCGGGGAAATGAGTCAAACTGAACGACCTTAGAAAGAGGACTTATTGTTTCTTCTCTTAAACATTTCTCAATGTACTTATATGAAACTAATTCCCCGAGTAGAATAATCAACCATTGCTCATGGGCCAATCTTTATTGTAGCCATTAGCGGGCTCAACTGTAGTGCTTACCCGCATCGAAAAGGATAAACTCGGGCCAAAATCAAGCAGACAAATTCCGTACCCAAAGAATGCCTTGGAGAAATACAATAAACTACTTGTAGAAGCCCTCTCCAAATAACGTTCCAACACAAGATAACTCTAGGATATCCAAGGATTCCAACGATACACTAATAATCATCCGAATAAAAAATGAGCGCCAACAAAGATGGGAAATCAACGTCTCATCTCATGGCTGGGTTCATTGGTGGATTGACATCCGCGGTGACTCTCCAACCTTTTGATTTATTGAAAACTAGGGTTCAACAATCACAGACCAATTCACAATTACAATCTTCTAGCAGTAAAGTGGCTGCGAAGTCGCTCCGAACAATCATCAAAGAAATGCCATCATTACGCAACCTATGGACCGGAACCCTTCCATCGGTCCTTCGGACATCCATCGGAAGCTCATTGTATTTGACCAGTTTGAATATTTCACGAAACTATTTGGCCGAAAGAAAAGCAGCCAATCTTTCTGATTCCAGGGATTTGAAGAGTTCTACATCCAAACTTCCCAAGCTTGCAATGTATGAAAATTTAATTAGCGGCGCGGCGATGCGAAGTCTAGTTGGGATCCTTACCATGCCTATCACCGTTATCAAAACTCGGTACGAATCCAGTCTTTATAACTATACATCTTTGAACCAAGCTGCCCGTGATATTTTCCGTGACCATCGTTTCAAAGGGTTCTTTTTGGGTTGCGGGTCAACGATTGTGCGAGATGCCCCATATGCCGGATTATATGTCTTGATGTATGAACAATTGAAAGTGATGATACCGAAGGCCCTAAAAATTGATGAGGGCTCTCAAGAAAATAAACCCAATGGCACCATGAAAGGGAATCAAGGTATTGATTATTACTCGATTATGGTAAACTCAATGTCAGCGATGACTGCTGCATCGACAGCAACCCTCATCACCACTCCATTCGATACCATAAAAACTAGAATCCAGATCGAACCTCAATATTATAGAAACTTCTTCCATGCCAGCAAATTGATCTTGACCCAGGAAGGGGTATTGGTGTTATTCCGAGGAGCTGGTTTGAGATTGGTGAGAAAAACCTTGAGCGCAGGAATTGCTTGGGGAGTTTACGAGGAATTATTAAAGTTTTTCTGACTTTCTGTAATGCTGCCATGTTAATAGAGAACATAATTCCTTGTTATAAATAGAAGATTAGAATTTTGAATTTGATAATCGATATAGCATTTAGTATATTCCAGTGACTTTTGATGAAGTTTTTTTAACGATTGTATGTCTTGAGCTGCTCTTTTTTTTTTTTTTTCTGTATTGTATCATTTCTTTGCAATATTTAGTAGCCTTTATTGGTTGTTGATGTGTTGGTGAGCAGTATCTATGAAGATTTGCTATTCCACAAGTATAATGAGAAAGTAAAGAGACTAGGGTATGAATGGAACTTAGTGGGCCTACAATAACGATCTTACGGAGATCAAAGTCTTTTCTTGCATTCCAATACGCAAGCTGGCTCAAGTTATACATATAAATTTTTATTTCTTATTGGACGTACTTAAAAAATTCTCGAACTTTGAAACTTTAGACTCAAACAACCAAAACAAAAATACCTTACATAAGTGATATGTGAAAAAACCCGCCACAATATCCTCCAGAGACTACTAATATGGTTCTTATAATTTAGCAGCACCCTTAACGAAATCTTCACCCTTCTTGATGGATGGCTTCAATCCTTTCAAGGCAACTTCCACCAATTTCTTTTCTGAACCAGTGAGACCTTCCAATGGGTTGATAACGGTCTTAACTGAGGCACCGGCACCAAACACCACTGGAACAGCAAAGAAGTCCACTCCGGCTTGTTGAGCAATTGCTTTACCACCAACGAGTCCTGGCAAGTAAACAAAGGCAGGTTCAGGAATCTTGGAGGAATCATAAGATGGGGTGCCAGTAAGAGCACTAATCACAAGTTCAGCAAATCTGTAACCAGCATAAGCCATGGACAAAGTGGCTGAGCCAGCGCCTTGCTTAGCATTGACAACTTCATCACCACCAAATTGCACTCTGTTGATGTACTTGGAATATTGGTCAGAACTCAAGGCACGAGCAACTTGCTTTCCAAGTGGGGTAGATTGAACCAATGGAACAATAGTGTCACCAGAATGACCCCCAACCACGGAAATTTTACCCTTCACTTCTGCTGGGTTAATCTTGAGCAATTGGGCCAAAAAGGTTTCGGCTCTAACGAGATCCAAGGTGGTGATCCCGAATAATTTCTCTGGGTTAAACACTCCGTATTGTTTAAGGGTTTCCGCAGCAATTGGCACGGTAGAGTTGACTGGGTTGGAAATCACCAACAAGATGGCGTTTGGAGAAAATTTAGCAACACCAGTGACCAAACCTTTGATAATCCCGGCATTGATCTTGAATAAATCAGCACGGGTCATACCTGGCTTTCTTGGGACACCAGCTGGAATGATAACGATATCACAGCCAGTCAAAGCCTTTTGCAATTGTGATTCATCCTTTGGACTGGCTGGTTGGTACCCAGTAACCTTGGCTTGAGTATTGACGTGGGACAAGTCAGCAGCAACACCAGGAGCCCCACGAATATCATAAAGAGAAAGTTCGGTGACTCTAGAATCAAGCTTAGTCAACAAAGAAAGTGGTTGACCAATACCACCACCGGCACCAAGAACTGCAACCTTGACCATTTTTTTTTTCAGTAAGTAATAAAGTGAATTGACAAAAGAGAGTCAGGACAAATGTTATAGACTAAAAACTCTGAATAAACCGAAAGTTTTTTGTAAATAGAAAAGAAATTATCTGAGAAATCGATAAATTATTTTCCAATAATGGCCCAATTCCCTAATTATTAGTAGGAAGATCATCGATGAATCATGGGGAAGAATTTTTTTGCCCATTTGGTTTTTCCGGGGCTGCAAACAACAAAAGAAAAAAAACATCCCCCCGGTGATTGTTTTGTCTTCCTCGGGGAACATTAATGATGTCCATCGATCCATAATAATTTGAAAATACGACTACTTACGTAAATGATAAAGAAATAAGAGTCCTTACATAAAAAAAAAAAAAAAAAGAAGCGATCACTTTCAAATAACCTGTTCCAAGTGAATAATTTATATAGTAAAACAAAAGATGGAGGGAACTAAAGAGGCCAAAAGACGATAATAATAATAAAAGATTCTATTTAATTGAAAAAACTACGAATGAAAAATAAATTGAAAGAGTCAAATCCTTAAAGTTCATCATGGGAAACATCTTCTTTTTCTTCTTCTTCTTCATTATCTTCAGCTTCTTCAGATTCTTCGAGGGCTTTCTTCAATGCAAGACCATCAATCTTGTTAGTACCCTTGTCCTTGATAAATTCCGCCAAAGTTTCTAAGTCTCTACTTTGTTCAAAGTGAATTGGGTTAGATTTGTCACCGGCTGGGTATAAGATCAAAGTTGGGAAACCTTGGATATCGACATTGACATCATTTTGAGTGGCTTCGATATTAGCGATAACAACCTTTCCAGAAGCGTTTTCATCGTTTTGGTAGATAGCAGCCAATTCTTCATATACTGGAGCCAATCTCTTACAGTGACCACACCAGGTAGCATGGTACATAACAAGGACATCCTTAGCATCATCATTGATGATTTCGTCGTGTGTGTAGGCAACCAACTTGAAGACGGCGTTTTCTTGAGTTTCTGGAATTTCTTCAGACTTGATCTTTGGAGTGGCGTTACCAGCTTCAAAGTCTTTCAACAATTCTTCAATGTTTTCAAGAGTTAAGTCCTTGGTTTGGTCCAAACCAAACTTTTTGTTGTCAGTCAAATCGTGGATGGCAAACAATGGGAAGACTTCCTCTTGGTTCAAGTTTTCGGCGTGCTTACCAAATCTGGAAGCGTCCAAACCAACAAAGTTGACCTTTCCTCTGTATTCCTTGGCGAGCTTGGTCATCTTAGAAGTCCATTCTTTTTGTTCTTCTGGAGTGCTGTAGAACAAGTAAGCCAATGGTTGCTTGGCGTTCATGTAATCTTGGAAAGTTTCACCATTAATTTCCCCAAACAATGGCATGGATTCAGTGCTAATGAAGGCTTCCAAGTTTTCGGCGGTAATGTCATCGGAAAAAACAGCTGGTTCATCACCTTCCTTGAAGTCAGATCTGTAAACGACATAAGTTGGCTTAGTGGCGCTGAATTTTTTAACGACTTCCTTGTTATCAGTGGACAAGAAAGTGAATTTTTCTCTTTTGGCGTCGGCAATCTTGATATAAGTTTCATTGGAAGTCTTCTCATCCTTTGGCAACACTTGCAAGATAACTGGTTCCTTAACGTCAGCGATAATGGTTTCCAAAGCTTTGGAATCAACACCAACTTGGACAGCTGGTAAAGATTGCTTGATCATGTAGCTGGAAATGGCGTCAGCCTTTCTGGCACCTTCATAAGGTTTGGCGTCGTCAGCACCTCTGAAGATCTTGATGGTTGGGTAACCTCTGATACCTTGGCCTTGACACAATTCTTCTTCTTCGGTACAGTCGATTTGGACTAATGGGATATTCTTGTCCTTCAATTGAGAAGCAGCTTCAACGTATTCAGGACCCAAGGCCTTACAATGACCACACCATGGAGCAAAGAATTCAACCAAAACCAATGGGTTTTCTTCCAAGAAACTCTCAAAGTTTTCAGCTCCTAGCTTGACGACATCGGAATCAGTTGGGGCGACGGCGTCAGCATTGCTGGCGGCGGCTGTCACGATTGGGGTGATGGTTGCCAAAAGAGCAGCAATAGTCTTAATAGAGAATCTCATGTTGCTAAATGTATATATATATGGTGTGTATGTATGTGATATTAATTTTAGGGCGTTGTTATGGCCAGGTGTTGTATTTTCCAAAGAGCAATGCAGTGTCCTTGATATTAGGTTGACAAATGGATCTAGAAAAGTTGCACTTTTTATATATTTATCGTCAACACGCTGGCCTTACCCTATGGGTCGGTGGGGGAGTTCTCAGAAGAAATGTGAAGCGCACCCCCACCCCCCGTTTTGTACACGTGTATATCATGCCATCTGTCATTCCCGAAAGCATTTACGTGTTGAAAAAGATATACGGATGATTTCCCCTAGTAATGTGGGTGTATATTTCTACCTCATAGTTGATATTATTGGAGAGTTGAAGAGCCATGGCAAACAATAACAGGGAAGCTCTGAGTTGACTTTTGCTTTGAAGCTATGTAATCAAATTCCAAAACATACTGCGCCTTTGGGACACTTGAGTGGCGACACGCATAGACACACAGATCAGCTGACCCTCTGGCAAAATCTCTGTTTCTCTTTCAGATCATGATCTACAAATGTCAATCATGCCAGAATAAAATATTAATATTCGAATAAATAATAACTACAAAAAATTAAATGAGAAGATACAAATAAAAAAAAAAAAAAAGAAAATGTGAGATAGTCAATCAAATTTATGTCATAATTATTTGATATCAAACACAGGCTTTAAGGCTTTAATCAACAACCAGTCTTCTCTTGGGACTTGGTCTCTAAATGCGGCATCCTTCAAAGTATCAATACTCTTTCTGGAGATCAAAGAGTACAACTTGTCCTTTTCATCAACATGTCTACCCCAGACCGGCTGAGCACCACTTGGACCTTCCAATCTCATAGCCACACCTTGGGCAGTCTGTCCCTTCTTGACAATATTCTGGGAATTGTGGTTAACTTCAAGACTAACAACCTTACCCAATAGCAAAACATCTCTTTGTTTAGTCTCTGGGTTTATCTTAACCGCACAAATTGGGGTACCAATACGCACAGAACCTTCGGCAACGTCAACACCAATAATCATTGGGTTTCTCTTATTAATAATTTGAATGGTGTTCAAAACACATGGGAAAATAGCAAACTCCATAAAGTTCTTTCTCTTTTCTTCCAAAAGTTTCTCTTGGTAAGCAGTAAACGCATCAAACAAGTGATAAATAATTTCGGCATTGAAAATAGTAATCTTGTGCTCTTCAGCGTATTGCTCAGCTTCTTTATCAATCTTGACATCAAAACACAACATAACTGCATATTCTGGAGCCTTGTCCAGCATAGTAGTTGCCTTCATGACATCTCTCTTGAAAACTGGACCCAAACCAACAGACATGACTGGAATCTTCATATCTTTCAAGAAACTCAACAAAGCTTCTAAGGAACCCAAAGTTGAGGCTTGGACGGTAACACCTCTACCACTGGAATCGACGGAGTTAAGCAAACCAGTCAAGTCATCCATAACTTCGTCCATTAATTCTTCTTCATCATCTTCTGGGCCAACAACCAATAATCTAGAACCAGCAACAGCTTTTTCCAAGTCATTGGCAGCGATCTTAACACCCAAGGCAGCCTTGACTTCCTTATTATGAACGTAATCAGATTTAATTCTTAATTCTCTCAATGGTTGTGGTGTCAATAAAGCTCTGATATTAGTGACAATAGGACCATTCAAACCACACAAAACCACTCTATCACCTTCACGTAAGATACCATTATTTAAAACAACATCAATAGTGTAACCGAAACCTTCGACAACTTTAACTTCCAAAATGGTAGCTTCAACTTCAGAAAGGTACATCAATTGTTTGGACATTCTCTTGGTAGTCAATTCCAACAATAACCATAACAAATCTGGAACACCTTCACCAGTAACGGCGGAAGTTGGAACAATAGAGACGAACTTAGCCATGTTCTTGTTTTGGAAATATAATTCAGAATTAAGACCTTGTTCGGCCAATTGGACCTTGATCTTTGACAAACGATCTTCGAATTCGCTCTTGACAGCCTGTGTTTGTTGAGCAAAAGAGTCTCTGAAAGAGTTATCCTTAGACACTTCCCAACCGTACAATCTATCAATCTTATTAAGGGCCACAATGAATGGTGCCTTTCTGTCTCTCAATAATCTGATAGATTCAATAGTTTGTTGTTCCAAACCATGCATAATATCAATGACCAAAATGGCAATGTTACACAATGAGGAACCTCTGGATCTCAAATTGGTGAAAGACTCGTGCCCTGGGGTATCAATAATCAATAAACCTGGGACTTGGAAAGAAATATTTTCTTCGAATTTTTCCATAACCTTAGTCTTTTGTTTGATAGCGGTCATTGGGAAGTAAGTAGCACCAATTTGTTGGGTAATACCACCAGCTTCACCACCTTGAACATTAGTTTGACGAATTTTATCCAATAATTTAGTCTTACCAGTATCGACATGACCCAAAATACAACAAATTGGAGAACGCAAATCATTTTTACCACTACTCTTGGCAGCAGCACCTGGAGTAGAGATTTCTTCGATTTCTTCAGCGTACACTGGCTCGGCAGATGTGCTGGCAGGAGTTTCGGATGATTCATTTTGCTTTTCTTCACTGCTTTCCTTTTCTTCTTCTTCAGCTTTCGCGCTCCAATCTTCACCAGTAGCAGTTTGTTCTTCTTCTTCTTCTTCTTCATCATCATCCAAAGCCATGGCTTCCCAGTCATCTATCAAATCATCATCCTCATCTTCTTCTTCGGCCTTGGCGGCAGCAGCTTTGGCAGCCTCTTCTTCAGCCTTCTTTCTGGCTTCTTCTTCCTTCTTAGCCTTTTCAGCGGCTCTTTCAGCGCTAGACTTCTTCTTTTTGTCACCGTAGACAATCTTCTTCTTCTGAGTACTTTCTTTAGAACCATCGGCTTTCAAACCTGCAACACTAACATTACCACTTTGCAACAATTGCTGTTTTCTTCTTTCTTGCAATTTCTTTTCTTCTTTTTGTTTCTTAGTCAAGAATTTACCTTCAGCCTTCAATCTTTCGATTCTTGCCTTTTCCTTTTCTTTCTTCAATTTCTTTTGTTCTTCTAATTGTTTTTCTTCGGCAATTCTCTTTTCTTCTTCTTCCTTAGCTAATCTTTCTTCTTCTTCTTGGAGCAATCTTTCCTCTTCTTCTTGTTGCTTTCTCAATTCCATTTGTTTTCTCAAGGCAGCAATGGCAGGGTTGATCTTCTTACCTTTTCCCTTCTTACCAGCAGCAGCTGAAGCTGGGGCTGGGGTTTCTCTAGGAGAGTCGGAATCAGCCTTCTTGCTATTCTTTTCCTCTTTAGCCTTGGCAGCATCATCGGCGTTCTTTTGATTTTGAGCTGCTTGTTGGGCCTTTTGTTCTTGTTGCTTGGCCTTCTTTTTAGCAGCCAATTCCTTCTTTCTCTGCTTTTCCTTTTCTTTCTTCTCCTTTTCCTTTTCCTTCTTAGACTTTATGACCACTTTTTTTTCCTCTTGCTTGGCCTTAGTCTGTTTCAAAACAGACATGAAATCTTGAGGTCCATCTCCTTCACTCATTTTGGATACTATCAGTGATTTATGTTATAGATAAAGCCCCTTCAGATCAAGTCCTTTACTTGTGGCGTCGAAAGATTTTTCACCTTCAAAAAATTTTAGGAGACTGGTGTGTGGATGAAGGGGTGATATGTAATATAGGGGGTAAATACTAGAATCAACATGGTGTCCGGATATTTTGGCCCCAATTGATTAAAATGTTTTGCCACTATGAAATAGTTGAGCAAATTTGTTGAATGATATATGGGAGGGTTTTTTTTTTCTTTGTTCATGGACATTAGTTTTTGTTAGAATATCATGCTGCAATATTTGGTGATATGCATACCTGTGGTATGTGTATACTGTTAATTGCAGCATCTGATAATTTATTGGATGTTTATTTGAAAGCTTTTGTAGCTAGTAAATACGAGGATACTAAACTAATAAAGCATAAATCTAAACTCCAATAAATAAGAAGTCTTTCATCAAAGCATCTCTGTTTTAAGCATCATCATATTCTTGTCGCCAATTTTGGCAGCAGATCACGGGACGCAGAAAAACATTTTAAATCTTGCTCCCTGCTCATCGTCAAGTCATCTCCATCTTTTGATTCTTAACATTCCTTTTTATTCAGAGGAGCTCTAATCATTGAGAAAGCGCAATGATCATATCAAAGCTTTCGAGGTCTATTTTTGGCCATAGAGGTTTGCAATCTGCTCACAGATCTGGCTTTGTACCTCTAGCAAAGAGAATCTATTGTGGCAAACGATTCTACGCTTCTAAAGATATCACAGAAAAGGACAAAGAATTGGGTGAATTAGATGATACTGCTAACACTGGTGTTATTGAAAAAACAAACCAAGAAACTTTGTTATATTTTACTGATGTGAATCCTGCTGATTTTTCAAGATTCAAGGCTTTGAATTTCGTCCATGATTATATATCCAAAGTTAAGGAAACCACAGGGGATTCATCCCTTGAACGCCAAATTTTGAAATTGGCCTCCCCTGAAGATAATCCTGTCAAAGGAATCTCTGTGAATTCGATATTGACAAAAGATGGTGGGGCATTTGTGAAATTCCAAGTCCCTTTTGAATCATCGATTTCTGAAGTGAACACCAAGATCCAAAAGAACACTATGAAATCTTCGCCAAGATTTCTTGGTTTATTATCAAAACCTCATTGTTTCCCTGTGAAAGGCACCCCATGGGTCGAAGATCTTAGGCGTTATCCCAGCTCCGAGTTGAAGGTGTTGTTTGAAGGAGAAGAATTGACAGAAGAAAAAATTTATCAGATTTTCAGAAGATATGGTACCATTCTTGATATTGTCCCCCAACCTGCTGACTCTAAAGAAACCCCTAGATATGCAATTGTTAAATTTAGAAAATTGAGATCTGCTATTGCTGCCAAAAATTGTGTGAATGCTTTCAGCACTGACAAAACCACAATTCACATCAAATACCAAACAGCTATGCGGGAGAATTTGATGAAGCAATATGTGTTTGATCACCCTAGAATTTCAATTCCGTTAATTTTGGCTGTTTTTCTTGCTATTGGGTCGATTATCTTCGAACCGATCAGAGAATTTTTCATTCAAGAGAAAATCGAGCATAGATTTGGATTGAGCACTTATAAAAACAACAAGTATTTTGTGTATATTGCACAATATTTAACTTCTGTGAAAAGATTTATGAGCTTTAGTAACAATCGTGAGCAGAAAGATTCCACGATCCATATGTGGACAGAAAGACTTGACAAGGTGAAAGAATTGAAATTATGGTTGACAGAAAATGTCAATACTTTTATTGTTGTCAGAGGCCCAAGAGGAATCGGCAAAGAGAATGTGGTGATTGATCATGCCTTGCGTGATAGAAAGAATGTTTTGCACATTAACTGTGAGGAGATTGTCAAATCACGTAATGATTCTGAATTTTTGAAGAATACTGCCCATCAGTTTGGCTATTTTCCTATTTTCCCATGGTTGAACTCATTGAGCACCTTTATTGACTTGGGTGTCCAAGGTCTTACTGGACAGAAATCAGGACTTTCCGAATCTAATGATGTGCAATTCAAGAATATCTTGTCTCTTGCTGCCGTTGCCATCAGAAGAGTTTCTTTGAGATTTTATTCTGCTTATGTTGTTCAAATGGCCAGCGACATGAACATTGGCGAAGAGGCTACCAAGAGGATTACCGAAGATGATTATTTGCAGCAGCACCCTGATGAAAAGCCTGTTATTGTTATCAATAAGTTTTCTGCAAAATCGGAGAATTATTCATTTGTTTATCAAGCCTTGGCTAGCTGGGGATCATTCTTGGTATCCATGAACCTCGCTCATGTTATATTTTTAATTGATGATGTCAGTCCAGTGCCATTATTAAGTGAAGCGTTGCCAGATCAAATTTTCAAGAGCTTGGTATTATCGGATCCTTCTAAGTCATCGTCTACTGATTATGTATGGAGTCATTTGAATGATGCTGACGATTTGGATAAAATTAGAGATGGTGATAAGGCGAAGAAAGGCGATTTTCAATCCAAGTACAGCATAGGAACCATAGAGAAAGCTCTTGAACCTATTGGAGGGCGTATGCTTGACTTGCAGGCATTTATTAGACGTGTCAAATCCGGTGAATCACCAGAAGAAGCCAAGGAAGAAATGATCAAACAAACTGCGGAACAAATCATCCAGATGAATCTTATCAAGAATAGCGCTGACAGTGACGAATTCCAAGTTGCCAGATCTTGGGAAATCATCAAATTCCTCGCTTCTAAAGAATCAATTGCTTTCTCCAATGTTTACACATCCCCATTATTCAAATCTTCACCGGTTGAATACTTGACTGAGTTGGAAAAATCCAACTTGATTTCTCTCGTCAAGGAAAAAGGATTGATCAAAGAAATCAAGGCTTCAAGACCATTGTACAGATCAGCTTTCCAGAATATTGTTGGGGATGAAACATCATTCAATGTGTTGGAAGGAAGCTACTTATTGAAAAAGATTGCCTATGAAACAAAGGTTATCAAGACTTGCGAAAGCGAAATTAGCTCTTTGTCATATGTGGCTATGTCAGATGTAATCAGGGCACGCTTCAATTATTTGGGTGATAAGATCACTGCATGTACTAACAATATTAAAGTATATGAAGCACAAATTAAAGAATTAGTGAAAAAATCTAATGAATTGAAGGCTAAGCACAATAAGCAATCATCGAAATCCAGGTTTGGATTTTTTTAGATTTCTCGCATTGGTTAATCTTTCGGTGCTATTCATTTGTCTTTTGTGTCATGTATGTTTGGCTGTTTATTTTTTTTACTTATTTATTTATTAATTTTTGATTTTGCGTTGCTGTTTTGTCTATCTATACGTGTTGCTTGGATGGGCTGTTATTAAGCTGTGCAATCGAGCTTTGCAATATAATTGATATTCTCCTTCTGAAGCTTTCGTCTTTTTTTCTTTTTTTTTTTTTTTTTTTGATTTAGGATTCTAATACATTTTATTACCCATGTATATATTTTTAATGTTATAAATCCATTTATTCTCTATTAATATTTGGCCAGTAATTTGGCTTAGTACATTCATTCAAAGAAAATGTTCAGTGTTGCGCTTGATGATACAGAAGATGATTATTTTTCTATATGGTGGGCGGCACACACTCTAGGAGATATTTGCTACAGTATCCGGTTATTGCTAGCCTGTATAATGATATTATTACGCATGCTGTTCAAATATATAATCCAGATAAAAAAAAAAATTTAACACTAGGTTATATTATTATATTGCATTTTTAGGTACCACACCCCGCGTAAACCAATTACTATCATAATCGGATAGATACTGTGTAATTGCGGAGGGATTATATAAAAAAAAATATCGCAGCGACACTTCAAACAGCAGGATTTGCTGCGGGTAAGACTACTACTACTTTATTAATTTACTAACGCTCTTAACCAATGCGAGGCTTGCATTCGAGTGCAGCACGTCAGAAAGCTCCCTGTGGTGTGTGTCTGTTTGGTATGGTATGTTGTTTGATAAGCAAGAATCGAAATATCAAAAGGCAAAGAATAATGACAACACGACCACAAAATACAGAACTTATTATTCACTAACAATGGCGCTCAAAGTGATTGTAAAAGATTGATATTGCTTGGATTAATTTATGCAAAAGTAATGTAGAATTGGCTGGCCAGTTTTTTAGTTTTTTCAACAAATTAATTTATTATTTGATTTTAGTTATTTCAAAGTGAATTCTGAAGTTTATGGATACTGTTTATTCAAAAATTTAAGGCGCGAAATGAAGATAGAGAAGTTGGAATATGATTTGCTGAAGAGATTAGATAATTGTGAGCATATCATAATAATCATTCACAACGAAAGGTGAGGGAGGAGCTGTGTCATAATACACATAATGTTAATGATTTGCATGAGTATTATGGTGGAAAATTACAAATTTGAGAGTTTTGAGACGTCAGAAATGAATTTTATTGATGCCATTCAAGTTTTTAGCAAGGGTTGAAGAGACGGAAATAACTGGCTCATGCAATTTTCAATTAACAAAAAAAGACTTGCTGGATCAAACAAAGAACCAAGCAAGAACAAATAATTCAATAAGATGATATTATTGGGATTTGGTCAGCAATTTTGTGTTTTTTTTTTGAAATTCTAAACCTGCAAGCTGGAAGTTCACATTTACGCTCAGTTGCCCAATATCTGTGAAAAAACAGACAGTCTCTAATGTTGAAGCCAAATTGAATTTACATGAAACTCATTAGGTATTTACGTATATAACACTAATGATTAGAGCTAAATATATATTATGCGCTTCATTATATACTAAACATACAACTATATATTTACTATTTTACCACGGAAAACGAATGCGAATCACACGTAGGCTCCCAGAGACATCACCAACTTATATAAGGAATCAATTTCTGAAGAAGTTCTGGTCGTACTACTTGAGGTAGAATCTCCATTGAATGAATATTTTTTTTCCAAACCTGAGGAATCATATTTATCGGAAATTAAACACAAAATATCAACAACACTTGAAAATATACATTTTGACAGCAAGGAGGTTGAATAATTGACAAAAGTGTCGAAGTTGAGGTCATCATCTAGATCTGGGAAGGTAGTTTGCATGAAATAAGCTATTTCCCGGGACTTCGTGGTCATATCTGGACCAGTATTTTTTAACAAAGGTTTTTTATTGTTATATTGAAACGATTTCTTCTTTTTCAAAGTAGTAGTGCCTTGTTTATGATTATTGTTGAAAGAGGGTCTTCTTAATTGTGAGCCGTGTCTCAGCGAAGGAGATGATTTTTGAGGCTTTGACATTAGTTTGTTGAAGTAGATGCTATAATACAATGAATTGGGTGATATTATTTAAAAAGAAAGTAGATTTACTGAACATTTTGAATAGGAAAAGATGGGAAGGAGAATGAAAGTCATCCCCACCTCAAAAGAGAAAAAAAAAAAAAAAAAAGAAGTGTCATCCCAGATACATCGTTGAGGATCAGGATCCTGAATTATGTGCGACTGGTTACAAGAAAATTTATAAGACAAATAAAATTCACTTCTCACAGTTTGAATCTATAAAAAAGAAAACGTTTAATGGTACTTGATCTGATGGTTTCTGAAATTAAAATCCAGAGAAACATGTCATATCGAGATTACGTCCAAAGGCAGGATGGTGCTATTTTTTTTTTTTTTTTCGAGAGACGCTGCCACAAAATGATATTGGCGTAATCCTACTGATATAACATAAAACTCACGACGACTGGGGGTTTTTTTTTTCCAGTCCTAGCATACAGAAATAGTCATGGTTCATGTTGCAATCTGCAAAAACCCAATGTTAGAGGAGTCACAATTGTTTCTGATTTACATCAGTTAACGGCAGGAGTTGGAGGGCACCAACTGGAATCTTATTTTTTTTTTTTTTTTTTTTTTTTGCGAGACTATAGGTGAGGAAGAGGGCCGTCACATTGGTATACTCATCGAGGTAACTAACTAACTAACTGTCTTAGTTAACAACACGCCACACCACTGGTTGATCTACCATAACATGGGTCAATTGGTAATAGAGAGTCTAGATAAGGCTTGTGATGGTGCTGCACAATGAAAACAACATCAGTTGTTTCCCAGCATTCCTGAATTTTTGTTGGTCGATAACTAAAGTTTGTGATGCAACACAGTGAAAATACGCGGGAAATTTTTTTTCTTTCTTTCTGTGCCATCTCCAAAAAAACTCTAAAAAAAAAAAAAAAAAGAAACAAAAAAAAGAAAAGGAAGGAAAGAGGGGCACCGCACAACAACTCAAACCAGAACATTTTTCTGATTCACACCTTATTAAAATTAGAGATGAGAAACAGTTATTAATTGTAAGCTTGTCGTTGCAAAATATACACGGCTTATCGAACGAATATCATGGATACCTGCCTATCCACCAACGCCCTTTTCCTTTCATTTGCCACGGCTTTTTGAGCAACCTGCAGGATGCCACCAATATGCACAATACAAAGGATAATAGAGAATCCGGCTGATACAAAAAAATTTTCAACGTCCCCTGAGTATAAATACATTCTCATCTCTTTCTCTTGCCTTTAACTGAAACATTTACAAAAAAAAAAAAAGAAAGGCATTTCTTCCTGCTCCTAGTCTGCTGCTCGGATACTGTGCTTTATCTGTCACTTCTATCTGTTTTATTTGCGATAACAGTAAACATGTCTTCTTCTAAGGACATCAGCTCCGCCAATTCGGAGAGCCCTTATTCAAATAAAGAATATATCGATAAAGATCAATTCAAAAATGATGCTGAAGATTTCGAAGTTGGATCTGTCGAACAAGAAGTCAAGCGTGATTTGAACCCTAGAGTGGTTTCTATGATGGCTTTAGGTGGTACTATTGGTACCGGTTTGTTCATTGGTATTGCTACTCCTATTTCTGTCGCCGGTCCTGTCAATTCTCTTATTGCTTACATCTTTGTTGGTACAATCGTTTACGGTGTCACTCAGTCCTTAGGTGAAATGGCTACTTATATACCATGCCCTGCCTCATTTACTGTCTACAACCAACGTATGCTTTCTAGCTCTCTTGGTTTCAGTGCTGGTTACATTTACTGGTTTAGTTGGGTGACCACTTTGGCAGTTGAACTTTCTGTCGTTGGCCAAGTCATTGAATATTGGACTTTTGCCGTGCCACTTTGGGCATGGATTTTGATTTTCTGGGTGATTCTTACCGCAATCAATCTTTTCCCGGTCAAGTATTATGGTGAAGTTGAATTCTGGGTTGCCTGCGTTAAGGTCGTTGCTATTGTAGGGTTCCTCATTTATGCGCTTTGTATGGTCTGTGGTGCAGGGAAAACCGGTCCAGTTGGCTTCAGATACTGGAGAAACCCAGGTCCTTGGGGCCCAGGGAAAACCCCAACCAAGAGATTTTTGGGATGGGTCGATTCCCTTATCAATGCTATTTTCACATACCAAGGTACTGAATTAGTAGGTATCACTGCTGGTGAGGCTAAAAACCCAAAGAAGGCTGTTCCAAAGGCCATCAGATCAGTGTTTTACAGAATCCTCATCTTCTATATCGGATCTCTTTTCTTCCTTGGTTTGCTCGTTCCTTACAACGACCCAAAACTCAGTTCTACCACTTCTTACATTGCATCCTCCCCATTTGTGATTGCCATTTCAAACTCTGGTACCAAAGCTCTTCCAGGAATTTTCAATGCTGTGATTCTCACCACAATCATTTCTGCAGGTAACTCCAATATTTACACCGCTTCCCGTATTCTTTACGGTCTTGCTCAAAACGGCTCCTCTTTAAAATTTTTCACCAAGGTCACCAAAGGTGGGGTTCCTTATAACGCCGTCATTTTCTCATCATTATTTGGCTCACTTGCCTTCCTTTCATGCTCCACTGCTGGTGCCGAGGCCTTCAACTGGTTGATTCAAATTACTGCTGTTGCTGGCCTTTTTGCATGGTTAGGTATATCCCTTTGCCATATTAGATTCATGAATGCTCTAAAATTGAAGAATATCAGCAGAGACGATTTGCCATTCAAAGCTGTTGGTATGCCATGGATGGCCATCTATGCTGCGTTTTGGGTCTTCATCTTAATTTTCATCCAAGGTTATTCGGTATTTTTGGACTTTGATGTCAAAACTTTTTTCATCAATTATATTTCTGTTATCATCTTCGTTGTCGTTTGGCTTGGTCATCAATTTATTGTTAGAGACAAATGGTGGATTCCACTTGAAGAAGTTGATATTACTACTGGTGTCAGAGATGCATACGAGGATGCTATGTGGGAAAAAGAAGAAGAAGAAGCGAAGCAGGATGCTAGTGCCTTGTCCCGTTTCATTGACAAGGTTCTTTGATCTACGTCGTGATAAGCGCAATTTTCGTTTTGTATTACACTGTATTTTTTATTGTTTGGATCTTTGCATTTTTTTTTTTTGTTTCTTGCTCTGTTTTATTTGTTCTATTTTTGCTTCGTTGCTCTTTGACTCTGTTTCTTATATCTTTAATTACCTTTTTCTTGCATTTTTAACCTCCCATCTGGATTCCCTTTTTAAACTTGTATGATACGATATGTATCTTTCAAGAACCTTTTATCCGCTTACAATAAATGTGGAGCTGTATGATAGTGTATCAACTGTGAACAGTGTAAATTCTCTTCGTATTTTAAATAACACCCGCTATAGAAACAGTACAGCTGAAAAGGATAACACCGGTTATAATAGGCCATGGGGTCGTAGTAAAAAAAAAAAAAAAAAACACCAAACAAACCCAAAGCTTATTTTCCATCCACCCCCTTTTTCCAGATATCTCTCAGCACCAAGAATGACTCATTTCGATATTTAAGTATGACTCATTTCCATTTTTGAGGTACCGCATGTCATAATATTGAAGGGATATCCGGAGAAATCTATGTACTTTCTCTTTTAAAACGATCCTACAATACTATACACTAGATGCTTTCAGATACACTGACAGGTTAGTTTTTCCGTGAGAGGTTAAGATATTGCGTGGGAAAAAAATTTGAAAATCTTTTAATGCCTTACTAATTCACAATTGCGCGGGAAAAAATTTCTCCGCAACTACGTCGGCCCTACAATTATGACACACCGCAAACAAAAAAATTTAAGAGTTGAGCCAGCAAGACACCAAGAGTGAAAATATTAACAGAAGGAAAAGGAAAGAAGATTAGTATTTTGTATACTGTTTGGGAAAGGGGTCTGTTCAATTATTTGATCCAGCCTTGACAACTTGCCGGTAGGGCTAATTTTCACACTGCAGGTCATGCATCAACAGATATTTTTAATAAGAGCGTTTTTTTTTTCTTTCTTTTTTTTTTCCTGGTGGTGTTGTTTTTTCGTTTGATCAATTCTTTACCTCATCTTTCTTTCTCGAATTGCTGAATATTCATTATAGATAGCTCATCAAAGCAGATTGCATTTTTGGGATCAATACAATGAATTTATCAAAAATAAGCTCGAAGCTAGGGTCTCTGTCCTCAAAAGAGCTTGGGTCTTCGCCCTCGAAAGAAATATCATGTTCCAGCTCGCCATCATCAGATAACCAAGTCCCTGAACATATCAAAAAAAGTTTCCCAGATGATCATGACTTAGAAGTAGGGTCATTGGAGAATGAAGTCAAGCGTGATTTGAACCCTAGAGTGGTTTCTATGATGGCTTTAGGTGGTACTATTGGTACCGGTTTGTTCGTTGGTATCGCTACTCCTATTTCTGTTGCCGGTCCTGTCAACTCTCTCATTGCTTACCTTTTCGTTGGTACAATCGTTTATGGTGTCACTCAAGCTTTGGGCGAAATGGCAACATTTATACCTTGTGCTGGGTCTTTCACTGTCTACAATAAGCGCATGATCTCTAAGTCCTTTGGGTTCAGTACTGGTTATATGTACTGGTTCAACTGGGTTATTACTTTGGCAGTTGAGATTTCTGTTGTTGGACAAGTCGTTGAATATTGGACTTTTGCCGTGCCACTTTGGGCATGGATTTTGATTTTCTGGGTGATCCTTACTATCGTTAATCTTTTCCCGGTCAAGTATTATGGTGAAATTGAATTCTGGGTTGCCTGTGTTAAGGTCATTGCCATTGTGGGGTTCCTCATTTATGCCCTTTGTATGGTCTGTGGTGCAGGGAAAACCGGTCCAGTTGGCTTTAGATACTGGAGAAACCCAGGTCCTTGGGGCCCAGGGAAAACCCCAACCAAGAGATTTTTGGGATGGGTCGATTCTCTTATCAATGCTATTTTCACCTATCAAGGTACTGAATTAGTAGGTATCACTGCTGGTGAAACCAAAAACCCAAAGAAGGCTGTTCCAAAGGCCATCAGATCAGTGTTTTACAGAATTACTATTTTCTATATTGGATCTCTCTTTTTCCTTGGTTTGCTCGTTCCTTACAACGACCCAAAGCTCAGTTCTACCACTTCTTACATTGCATCCTCCCCATTTGTGATTGCCATTTCAAACTCTGGTACCAAAGTTCTTCCAGATATCTTCAATGCTGTGATTCTCTTAACCATTATTTCTGCCGGTAATTCAAACATTTATAGCTCGTCCCGTATCCTTCATGCCCTTGCCCAAAATGGTTCCACATTCAAATTTTTTGGAACAGTGAATAAAGCTGGTGTTCCATACTGGTCTGTGATTTTTTCTTCACTTTTCGGTGCCTTTGGGTTCCTTTCTTGCAGTACTAAAGGGTCGGTGGCCTTCAATTGGTTGATTCAAATCAGTGCAGTAGCAGGTCTTTTCGCCTGGATGGGAATTTCATTATGTCACATCAGATTCATGAATGCTCTCAAATTGAAAGGTATCAGCAGAAACGAATTGCCATTCAAAGCTACTTTAATGCCTTGGTTGTCATACTATTCTTTCTTTTGGGTTCTCATTCTTATTTTCATTCAAGGGTACGCCGTGTTCTTGAACTTTGATGCCAAAACCTTCATCATCAACTATATTTCTGTGATTATCTTCGTGGCATTGTGGCTTGGCCATCAAGTTGTCATGCGTACTAAACTATGGTTACCTATTGAAGAAGTTGATATTACCACTGGAATGAGGGAGGGTTATGAAGATGATTTGCTTGATGAGGAGGAACTCAAAGTTGAAAAGCCAGAAAGCTTATATCAAAGAGTTCTTAATAAAATCTTCTGAAAACACATGATAGACTTTTTTTCTCATTTCAAAAATAACTCTCTAAAAGTTGTCAGTGTTACACATCAACAAGCAAAGATAATAGCTACACAGTTAGCGATAATCTTCATTCAATCATCATTTTTTTTTTCAACAGTTTATAATATTGCTTCTTTTTTCATTAGATTTATCATCACTTATTCTCTTCATATTTTTTTTCTTCTAAAATTTAGTTATTATTCCATTATCCGCACCTGAATCATCTGTAAGCATTTCTACTACGATATAGCAGAAGTTATTCCGAAGAGCAAAATGTGTGTAGAGGGAAATAAAATCCCAATAGTAATCAACTTAGATTTGATTGATTTATTTCCCATTGCAAAATTACTGTCTTTTACAGTCGGTTATCTCCATGAATAGATCTCCAATTTGCTCTTCTTTTGTGCTGCATTCGTACCATCGGTTAGTAATCCATTATTGAAGCTGTATTGTACCATAAACTATGGATAATATTCTTCATTTCCTAACAATATTATTTCAGATGCTCTTGTTCCGTGTTAATCTTTTAGATTATTTTTCTTGCTGCTTCTTGTTGGTCTTTCATTTCCTAATTATATCTTCCATCCTTGTTTTGATTATTGTTCTATTTTAATTGCTTTATTACCAGTACCATTATTGTACTACAGAACGAGTGCTGATACTCCTACTTATTCTTTTTTAGATGGATACTTAATAATCAAGCCAAATTGACATAGATTATAATATATGGAGTCTATACCAACTCGAAAATTTTAATTCAAAATCGTTACGTTTCTAACTATTCTCACCGTAAAAATAACAAAAGACGAGCTCAATTTACGCTACTTTACCGCCAATCAGCCGCCTTGAATCAACCAATGATTTTCATTTACAATTAGACGCGCTTCCCTCTACACAAATTGTCTCATGAAAATTTGTTCGTTCACTCAACATCCCAATCAACCCCTAGAATTAGTACTCCTAGCACCTTAATGCCCACTTTTTCTTGGTTCAAACCAGCAGCCGTCACGCAATATCGTTTATTACATCAAATACACCATCGCGTAACTATCTGATGGTAATTGTTATAAGATAATTGTTGACGGCGGAAATTGCATTACTGTGATAAATGAGGAGATTATAAAAAAAAAAATTCCCAGCTGTCACCTATGAGGACCCTCACCATCCAGAAGTCATGGTCAAAACCGCTTTCAGTAACCACAACTTCAGTAACCATGACATCGCCAACAAGTCCGCCTGCCTGGTTAGAAATCCCAATTTCAGAGATATACAAGTTGTTTAGGCACCCATTCTTCATTATCCCTTTCTCCGATGTTTTTTTTGATTTGGTACAGACTCTCCTAGTTTAGACTACTTAGTAAGTTCACCGTATTATTACAGGACGGAAGTGGCTGCTCATTACCACACTTGATCTCTCTTCCGCATAATATAACATCAGGCTTGTGTGATAATATATCGGCTGAACAGTGGAAATCTTATTCATCTTTTTAGATGGCACCTACCTGAAGAATATTATGTCTAAATAGGATAACGTCGGTCAGAGTAGCTCATCCCCTCGGAAAAATAAAGAAAAAAAAAAAAGGAATAACATATGTGAAAAGCTTATTTTTCCGCCCACCGCCTTTTACTGACATCTATTTTCTTAGCATTGAGTATGACTCATCTCCATATTTGAGGTACCGCATGTCATAATATTGGAAGAAATCCACACAGTTTCTGCCTCAAGATGATCATATAATGTTCTACATTAGATGCTTTCTGCTACACTGGCAGATTTGTTTTTCCGAGGGAGGTCAAGTTTTTCATTGCGTGGGAAAAAAAAAAAAATGAAAAATCTGCCACAATGCCTTACTAACATACTATTGCGCGGGAAAAAAAAATTCTCTACGTCGGCCCCTTCAATTTTCTCACCCCAGAAATAAATATTCAAACAGTCCATATAACAAGGCGTCCAGGTTAGCAGCATTCTCTGAAGGAAAAAGAAATAAAGATTTTGGTTTTTATAGGCTGCTTAGGAAAGGGTAGTGTTTAATTATTTGATAATTTGTTGGTAGGGCTAATTTTTGCACTGCAGGTCGTGCATTATTATATGAGCGTTTTTTTTTTTTTTTTTTTCTGGTAGTATCGTATTTTTAATCAATTCTCTGCCTCTTCTCTCTTTCCAGAATTTTTGACGAT